AGCGCTCTGCAATTGTTTATTATTGCTTTCTTGTGCCATATATCAGGCTGTATCCAACTGAATAGAGAATGTTGTCATTTGTAAGTCACTGGCAATGTTTTTTAAAATTAGAAGTGACTGTCAGTAGGAGCTGCTGTGTTCTTTCAGTGATTGTCAGTTCGTTCCCAGTGGGTTTGGAATGACGTCATGTCTTCTCATACACCAGCCAGCAACAAGTAAATCATTGCTCTGTGCAGCTCGGACAGTAAAGGGCTGGAACACAATGTTACTAGGAAAAAATCATCTTCCCTGCCTTTGTGTTCTGCTTTGTAAGAATGTTTAAATCACATTTTTTTCACCTGTATTGTAATACGTTTGGCCTAGTTTTCATTGCACTGTCTCAATTTGTGGTGGAACTGGTTTGTGGGGCTGAATGGCCACCTACTGTTCCTATGTCTTTGACATCTATCAATGGATTGAGCAGCTGTGCAAATGGCTAATTCCCTGACAATATACAGCTGACCAAAATAACATGTTGTATGCATCCCATACATTGTAATCACTTTGTACTGTAGCTCTGGACAGTATTGCTGAATGGGCTCGAAGCAGGTAAATGAAATCAGTGCACTATATATTGCGAGTCATGCATTTTTCATTGCATTGCAATCAGGATAAAGTCCGTGAACCACAGGAGTGCCATTTGAAAGCTGCATTCATGCCCTCCACTTCACCAGCACGGTAGTCTGGGTAATGATTGCTATGCTCCCCGTGGAGTCAAGCTGTAGAAAATTCCATCCTCTGCTGGCACCAGCCACACTTAGAAGGCTTGTCACCCTAGCAACATGACTCGTGGCGCGCTCTCTACTGCAGTGCAGTATGTGAAGGAAAAATAGTGCACAAGGGTTCTTTTTCACATTGATATCGAATGGAGATCTCGCAGTGTAGATATATCAGGTGCCTCTGAGCGTTTTTGACCATCACTTAAGCCCTGATCATGTGTTCTGGTTTGAGGTGCACATTCCATCATATTTCTGTGAGCTGTTTGTGATTTTTCCAGGTTGGCTTCCCTGAATGTTGCTCTAAGTGCTCTGACGTTCTCTTGTCTGGGCAGTGCAGTGAATGCATTAGATGAGGTGACTGTATTGTATGCCGTAATTAGGGGGTACAGCCTCATGCGACAGTTGTACTGTGACCCCGCATCATATGATGGGAAGAGGAAATGAGGTAGTTGTGTGTTTATCTGGATTTTTACAATGTTATTTATATTCATGTTGCATCTTTTGTCTCAAAGCATGAGACAGGATTTTACTGTGACTGTACTTTGCAGGTGAACAAAGCCTCTGACACCATGGCAGTGTGCTGAGTCCTCAGTTTCTCAAAGTAAAGAAATGTTTTACCTTAAAATTTTATCTTGAATTGGTTGCAGGTGTTTCCAAACAAGAGTCTGAAGTCATTGTCCTCCACCTCTCGAACAAGGCTCTGAACCACACTGCTACCGATATCCAAAGCCTTGCTTGGAACACCACTGTATAAGGGGGCTGGAGAATTTGTAAAATGAATTTTTCAGGCTTTCAACAGAAGGTTCACTCTAAAAAGAAAATGTTAATATAGAGCTAATGAGTGAAAGAAACTAAGATAAAGATATACCTTGGAAAATCAATAATTATTATCTCTGATCCTTGACTTAGAGGGTAAAAATTTGTTTAGAATTCTTATTTCATAACACAGTTACAGCAAATTCCACAGCCTCCGCTATCTTGGATAAGACAACATTTATTTCCCCAATGGAATTTTTGAATGGAAAGATTTGTTTCTTTCCTCACCCCTTCCCATCCCTTTAAGAAATGTTCTTTTTAATTGTATTAGTGTCTGGCATGAAAACCAGCATTCTAGTTAAGAATGCTTCTCGCATATTAATTTTGCTTTATAACATTGTAAATATGCTGAGAAAAGATCAGCTGTTAAGACAGCAGCTTGTGCTGATTTTAGTACCTCCATCATGATTAGTTTTTTAAAAAATCAATTCTTTCTCCTCTCTTCTGGGCTACAGTTCTATGGAGGTTAGGTATCCTCTTATCTTTCACCCTGTTCTTCGTATGTAGATCTATGTACTCTGATGCGTTATTCGAATCTGGGAATGCATCTCAGCTGAGCCTGATGCTGTCTGCTCCTGATGTTCAAACACACGTAGTTTCTAACTGAGACAAAGCCAGCTAATCTCTGCATTTTGAGGCAGCTCTGTTAAGTGCCATAGTTCGGCAAACACAAGCCAGAGAGCCCTTGAGGGTTCTGATGCACAGCAGGACGCACAGATAAAATGACAAGCAGTCAGGCAACGTGCGTTGATGAGAGACCAAATGCAACTATTCTTTGAAATAATGTTCAATAGATTTGCAATTGAACAAGATGTGCCAGTGTGGAGGCTGAGGAAATTAGTACCAGTGGAGAGAGAGGAAATTGCTTTTCCGCTTACTGTGACTTCTGCATCAATTTCCTCCCATATTGGCAATTTGTCACAACCTCCATTAACTGCCCATGTAACTCCTACTCATGTGCTTGTCACTATCTAGATCAATGTATAGATACAGTAATATGATCTGTGGCTCAGTGGTTAGAGCACTGCTTTGCAAGCAGGACACCTGGGTTCAATTCCAGGCAGGGGGAAATCTTGGGCAAGTTTCCTTACTCCCTTTCATCTTCAATCTACGACTGTTTGGGGGACATGCTGTGTCTTGAAGCGCTTTGGGACGTCCTCCCGACGTGAAAAGCGCTATATCACATGCAAGGATTATTATTATTATTATATATTATTATGATCTGGATTTGGGGGGTATCTCCTTTTCACTTATGGGCCTCTGTGTCTTGGCATACCTGCTGTTGCACCTCAATTATAAATTGGGCTACTATTTCAAGTTGGATGTTACCAGAGTTTGGATTCAGTCGGGACTGTTCTTTTTCCTCTTGTAGTCCAGCAAAAGAAAGAAAAAATAAGATCTGGCTTTTCTGCAACCCTCCCGAAAGTCAGATGGATTCCCAAATTTTGAGGTTCCCACGTGGAGATTGACTCATGTCACTTAGGTCGATTGTGGGTAGTTTTACAGGATCTTTAACGTCCACCTAAATAAGACGGGTGAATTTAATGTCTCATCAAAGAATGTGCCACTTCTTGCAACCAAAACAGAATAGAAGAACGTTCACTGTCTGATGGTTGTCAGACGGGACTAGGCTTTTATAACACAACAACAATTTGCATTTATATAGCGCTCTTCATGCATGGTAGCATCCTGGAGCATCTGAGCACCGATAATTCCAGCAACCAAGAGTAGGGCACAGGTGCAATTTTGTTTGAGGCTTTTTATGTACAAGCCCACAACCTGCCAGGGCTGCAAGGTGGGACACCACAGACAGATACAGGTGTGCCCATTTTCAGTGAAGCTTTATCCAATTGTTTCAATAGAAACTGAGATTTAAATGGCTAACGCTGGACATTATGATGATGATGTGCTGACATTTCAAACAAATGAAATGCCAAGTGCTGTCTCACCGCTCAGCTCAGCAGGGAAATGAAAATGGACTGGGTGTGAGCTTGTCGCCTAGCACCGGAACGAGAGACGTCATTCAGTTGGTGTGATGGTAGCCATTCTTTGCTGAGCTCTCCGTTAGTCAGCATGCAGGTAGAAGGAATATCACTGTGACAACTAGGAGGGCATCTGGACACACAGCGCTGAACGAGGAGGTTTATTGGCTATTATTAATATGGGCTTATATAAAAAAATTACTGTACCACTTGTGCAGAATGACAGATTCAGAGCAGCCTTTCAGTCCAGTAGATTCTTGATTCATGAACTTGGAGTTTTGTCAGGAAATGATGTGACTAGAATGGGTGGAAATACTTCCTTTTAAAGGAATGTGCTGATGCTCTTTGAACGAGTGTAGTTACAGAGTAAAGAATACTTGCAAACCAGGACATGGCTCAGTGTCGTTTGGACCTTTTGGCACATCTCTTATGTGGATACAAAAGCAGCAAGCAATGTGTCCCTGCTCAGGACACTTTGCATAAGATGCATCATTCTTTGAGAATATACTGTAAAGTGAATTGACTGTATATTCACCCACAAAATATACAGTCAATTCACTTTATCGTATATTCTGTGAAGCTCTTTGAATCGTCTTGAAGACGTGACAAGGCGCTATATCAAATGCAAGGATAATAATTACTATAAAGAAAGAATAATTTGGTCATTCAATCTTCAACTGTTTGTGGGAAACAGTGAGATAACTTGCCAGTATTCATTGTCTAGGCTCAAACATTAAGAATGTCCACTTCACAAGTTACTGCGATACAGACAGTCTTTTTAAGATTACTGCTTTCTATGAATGGAATAACATGTGCTTCATTGTATCGAGGAGTGTTTTTTTTCCCCTTTGTTTTTCGCAGTTATAATTCCTCATCCACATTTTGGTCCATGTGCAGCCAGGTCCCAGCTGTGAATTATTGATCTGCAGTTTTCTTCCATCCGTCATTACTATAGCAACTGGCTATCACAAGACCACTGGTAGAATGACTCCAGGCTAACTACCGAAGCCAAGTTACAGGGCAGTCAGTTTCATTGAGAAACCATGGGAGGTGGAGAGAGACTGAATGTGAGGAAGCCCAGGGGCCATGAGCAGAGATATTGTATGAGAGAGATAGAGAGAGAGAAAATGAAACCACAGGAGACAAACTATAATGCATGCAGCAAATAAGAAGGAATAGATCGAACAAATGATCCGTAATCCTCTTTGAATCTTCTAGAAGCTTACCCATCCCATCACTGAATCTCAATAATCTGCAATATTCTCTGCGTTTCCAAGATACCCTACTCTTCCTTTGACTCCAAATATTGCTTTATGTAACTTCTAAAGATCTTTGTGTGTAGTATGAAAGGAAAAGAAAATGAAGACAGGATCAACCTCTTTACAATATTGTATTATTTCAATGTGGTCATGTTTTAAATGCTTTGAATTCAATAGAAATGATCAAGATGAATTAGGCAGTTTATTCAGGTTGGCAAATTACTTCTAAAATACATACTAAACAAAATAAATTCTTGTTAAAGTAATGACAAGTTTTCAGACTGAATCCTTTGTTTGATTGATATGACACTATTATGCATTGACTTGTCGGAAATCATTTGCTGCTTGCTGTCTGAACTAATCGATCAGTGAGACAAGAATTTGAAAGTAAAAAGCTGTGTAAAAAAAAATGTAAGTGGAAAAAATTAAATGCTTTCCTGCATGTTTTAAAAAGAACTTACAATAGGTTTAGAACCATAGGACTGAGCTGTTTAAAAGGTTAATGTTACTTGGGAGGCAATTTTTTTTATTTAAAAAGAAATCTTGGTTTAGAGTGCAAAGATTTGGTCTGACTGGTGATATCTATTGAAGACAGATTGATACTGGATGGGGTAAAATTAATCCATCGGGCATCCATTTGGCAAGAACTAACTAGCATAATCCAGAGTTGGACTGTGTAAGGATTTCTTTATATTGTTATTTATACCTTAACTGAGCTTCCACTTATTTTGACATTTGGTTAAATTCTTCCCCTTCCCCGATGACTTGACGCTAACATGAATCTGAATGGATTGCATAGACTCTAACTCAGTCACGAAGCCAAGTGTTCCATTGTTGTAAGAAAACCTGCGTGTTGAAATCTAAGAGCGTTTCCTTCTCCATACGGTCATGTGGGCCACTGTCCACTGGTACTTGCGTGCAGTCTCTCGCATGAAGAAAGGCATGTTCTTCTCAACCACCAGCTCAAAGTCTGGACACAGGACTCTCTTCATGGTATCAAATCCTTGCACCGCTTTGCCAAAATCATCCGTATATCCACCAAGCCACATTGACTGTTTTGACAAACAAACATTGAAATAACTAAATGAAGGAAAGAAATACTTCCAGAAACATCACCAATCAGGCAACCACTTTCAATCTTACTACAAAGAAGAAAAGCATTGTTTAATTATCCCCACTGTGATAAAACACTACGTACAAGTCACAGCTTTGGTTTCCTTGGTCGTATGAATGGCAGTCACTGATGCACTTTACACTAGATTGCTCAAGTTCTTGGTCTGTGTTATCTGATAGGGTTGAAGGTGATGGAGAGGGAAGGACAGAAAACATTTGTCTTGGGTTCAGCTATGTGTTTATGTTTCAGACTAGCTGGTGTGTGACTACTGGCTGGTGTGAAACATAAAGAATGTGTGAGATACAAAAGGATGACAAGCAACTGAATCTAGCACGAGTTAGTAGCTTCAAGAGAAGAAAATGGAGGGAAGAAAAGGGGAGAAAAATCAGTTTCAACTCTAATGGGAGATTTTTATTTTTACTGGAGATTCATGCACTTACTTCAAGTTTTTTACTTTGAAGGTGATCAATGACTGGAATTGGTAGTTGAGGCCAGGACACTGAACTAATTTATAAAGAAGCTTGATGCTGTGATGGGGTCTATATAAATGCAAGTTGTTGCTGGCATTACTCTGTTTGGAAAGATTCTGAAATTATGGAAATCTCAGGAATGTGTATAGGCAGATGAGAATTTATCACTGTTTGAGATCTCTCATCCTAAAAACCAAGAGGTGATTACCAGCTAGTCCAACAATGTACACTTTTCAAGAACTGCCACGGGATCTTTAGTGTCCACCTGAACAGTTAGATTTGCTCTGTTTAACATCTCATCTTTAGGATGGCACCTCCACCTCCGGCAATGCAATGCTCCCACACTGGATTATGAGCACTATGAGCTCAAAGGCCCAATATGGGGCTTGAACCCACAATATTCTGACTCAAAGGAGAGAGTGCTACAACTGAGCCAAACTGATACCATTTGGTGCGACTGGAATTAGGTGGCCTTACCTTTGGTGTGAACATTTCCATCCAACTATAAGGAGATATGATCACAAGAATTCCACCCGGAGCCAATAGGCCCGGGAGTCTGTGGAAGAATGCAAAGGGATCAGGAAGCCGGCAGATTAAGTTGCTCGCTAGTATACAGCCAAACAGTCCCAGGTTTATTGGTAGGTTACAGGCATCGCCCCATATGAAGGTACATCTACTACGATCCTGCAAAACAAGGAAAACAGAAATGTGCAGTTATCTGGAAGGAGTGAAGAGAAAGGCAGGTTATTGTTTATCATCAAACTGAGGCATGTCAATGCCAGGAAACTGACATTCCCACTGCCCAATGTTAACGTCAAGGATTCTCATACCAATATCCAGAAAGACATTTCCATTTGAAGCACCAATCATCATTGTGTAGGGTCCAGATGAGATTATTATCTTAGTCGCAATTTGTGTGGCATGATGAATGTTTTTTTGCTGTGGACCTAGGCTCAATAGGAAGTGGCTCAGACTGACTGAACTCATTGTATTAGAGGCACTTGCAGTCATCTGAGAGAGATTGTTATCTTGTTACTCTGTACTGGATTCAAATCCAAGTCCCAGAGGATCATAGCGGGATGTTCAAAATCTATTGTGCTTTTCAGTCTTTTGGAATTGTCTCAAATGGAATCCACTGCAACCAGTTCAAGAAACTGAAGGGAAAACATGGAATACTTGGAAAAGCAAAAGAGGAGACGCAGCTCAGTTTCAGAAATAATAAGGCAAAGGAGTGAAGAAGGAGAGACTTACAATATCCTCCGACACCACAGCAGTGTATTGGGTCCTCAGGTTCCCCTCCATCGTGGCAGAGTAAGAGACCCTGCCCTTATCCTTAAGTTGATTGCAGGTTGTTATGAACAAGTGGCTGAAGTCGATGCCAACCACCTCTTGAAACGTGTGAGCCAGTTCAAATGAGGCTCTCCCTACACCACAACCAATATCCAAAGCCCTGCTTGGGGCACCACTCTACAAACAGAAGTAAAACATTTATCAACAGAGAAGGGATGTTTGAATGATGGTTCATTGTAAGAAAAAATAACAATGATTATATAGTGCCCAGAACATCAATTTGCACACAGCAATGTCGTACAAACGGCCATGAAGTGAATAACTAATGATGATTGATTGTTAGAGAAAATAATAATGATATAGTGTCTAGAACATTAATTTGCACACAGCAATATCCCACAAACTGCCATGAAATGAATGACTAATTTTATCAGGAGGTTTGTTGGCCAGGACATTTAAAAAGAACTCACTTCTCTTTTCAAATCCTGCCATAGGATATTTAGCGTCCACTTGATCAGACAGAGTGGTCCTCAATTTAATATCTCATCTGAATGATGTCAATGCAGCCCCTCCAGGACTGCAATGGAGTATCAGCCTAGACAATGAACTTGAAGTTCCAATGTGAGGTTTGAGCCCACTATATCTTCTAACCCAGAAGTGAGAATGCTATCAACTGAATCAGGCTGATGTCTGGAAAAATAAAATTGTAGTATTGAATGAGAAAGACTGAGCAAATTAAGTGACTTGTATCTCAAGTCATTGAGAAAAGCTCATCAATTTACTCTGTGCCTGAACTGAGACCAAATGAAAGTGTTGAGCCCATCCATAGTACAAATCCTGGGTTGTTACCAGCTTTCATGTGCTGAGCAATGAAACTGAACCCTGGGGTTAGAGCGGTTGAGCTTTGATGAAAATTAGATACACTAAAACCTTACAGCCTTGAAAGAAGACATCTCCAAAGGGGATTTATATGTAAGGTGCTAAATTGGATGAAGTATTTTCAGATATGCTAAGACAGCAAAACCAGAGTGTACAGGTTCAGGGTTATGAAAAGTAATCTGAAGACATTGAAGAGTTAGTGTTTTATTGCACAGACGATAATAAGCAGCTGAAATGGGCTGCACAAAAAGGCGGTAGAGGGCAGGGAACTGAACTCATTTATGAAACAATTTTATGCTGTAATGGGATGGCGTGGATGTTCTTGAATGATGATCAAATAAGCTAAAGAACTTCTCATTAATATTTCTTATCATAAATGGAAAAGCATCCCACGTATTTGTTTTACTTTGTAACATTAAAAATGTGCTGGCAAAACCTCAGCTATAATAGACAGCAGTCTTACAAATTATAAGAATACATGACTTGAGTACTGCACTCATTTTAATTCTTTTTGAAAAGGCTTTTTTTNCTCTAATTTTCTCTGCTTTCCAGAGGGCACTAACTCCTGCTGAGCTGAGGTTGCATTGATGTGAACTGACTTCCAGGAGTTCATCTAAGTGACTATTTTTCATCTGTGAGCATGGACACCGTGCAAGGCAGCGTGACTGTGAGGCGGTGAATCAGTTTTGCCGACCACCTTCCAAAATCCAGTCCTCACCCGACATGTAATTTTAAGTGTATTTGCCAACAGAATTCACACAGTAATGATCAGGCAGGAGAACCTGGCTGAAATTTTCTCTCCCTAACTCAAAGACGCTGAGCCTGATTGTAGCACTTGCACATCCACCTCATCTTATTCAGTGCAAACTAGTACCTTGGCAGATATTGCTACATCATCCAAATTCACCAGCTCTACAGACCAAGGTGTGTACAGCTCAGTTTTACACTGGCCAATGAGCGCCTTTCACAGTGGGACCACCAGGAGAGGCTCTCATCTCACTTTAAGACTTGAGATTTTCAAAAGGAATATTTTGAAGTCGGTACAATATTGAGAACAGTTTTACATTACCTGAACCTTGAACTGTTTCACGCATTCCTCCGCACCCTGCAGCAGGAAATTTCGAGTTTCTGGTGGGCCGAGGTCATGCAGGAACACTTCCTGCGATGTGCCGAAGTGGAACAGGAGATACTCACTCAACAGCTTTTGAGATTCATACGGATTCTCCTCCTCGTTCTTCTGTCTGCTCAACTCCTTGAAATGCTTCCACAGATAGTACAAGGTGCAGCCACCTACGATCAGCACAGAAGATTCGAGCAGCCCACGCTTAATCTCCCAGAGCACATTTCTCACGATCATTGCTAGACCTTGCTGCTGTTCAGCTAACACAGCTGGAGACGCATCAGAGGAAATCAACATCAGGAAAACTGCTTTTAATGAATATAACAACTCCTAAAACAAACTGGAGTTTCTTGTACAAATTTTCCACGTGTCTTCTCTAGGAATTCTACACTTAACTGCTGCAGAGCAAAGCAATCTGGTTTAAAATTTATACAAGCTGAACTTTGTCCTTGGGCTTTTTAACCATTACCCTGCATAAACAAACAGTGTGCTAAACAAGCAGTGTGTATCTGAGAGATGGAATTGGCATCGCAGGAACCCTGAAACAGTTTTGTTAATTCATGGCTTTTTTCCCCCTGTGTTTGTGTGGGGTGGGGGAGAGAGACAGGTATCCCAAATAACAGCCACCTTTATGCCCAATTTGATTAGCATTGAAGAGCCACTGAATATGTTGGTGTTAGGCTTTAACACGCTTTGCGTGCTCAGAATCTTTTTAACACAGAGTTAGAGGTTAAATAATAGAAGATTGATTCCGCCAGTTGATCACTCAGCAACAAGGAGCTCAAGCTCAAATGTATCGCTGGATGCATAAAGGGGGAGGTTCGGATCAGTAGAGTGTGGAATAGGGTTAATTCCAAGTGGCTATGAAGCCAAGTCAATTTTAGAAGAGAATTCGAGAGACACTTGAAGAAAAATAAATAGAATGGCATACGGAGAAAGAGATGGAAAATGGGTTGAGAGCAGTGAGGTCTTGGCATGGCACAGCCCAAAGGGAAATTACCTTCTCTGCTTTGATTTGTATTATCTGGTTACCTGGCCAATGAAGTCAAACAGGCTGAAATGTTTTTTTGATCCTAAATGATCCATCCAAATGTGTACACTGACGAGCACTCTTTGAATAGATTCGGTTTCCTCGTCTGATCTACAATACTTTCCCTCCTCTTTCCCTCCCGCACCCTCCCTCCCCCAACCATAAAATAAAAGGTGAGAGATGATGACAATTTCCTCAGTAATGTGACTTCTCTTTTGTCTTGCACAGTGATGACGTATCATCTCCTTGCAGCCAGCCTCCGGCTGTGAATTATTGATCAGCTGATTGAGTTTTCTTCCATCTGTCATCACCATAGTAACTGACATTGTGACACATAGCTAATTACAGAAGCCAGGTTACAGGGCTATCAGTTCCTCTCTGTGTGTGCATGCGTGTGCGTGTGCGAGAGAGGAGAAAGCAATCTTCGTCTGACATCTCTTCCAATGTGTCTCTGAGGTGTGACTCTGAATTCCTCCCACTGCCAAGATTCTCAGCTCTTCCTTCTGTGCTTAAACCTATCTCCTCCTGCTTTTCAACCCATCTGCCCTCCTCCCATGAGAAGATATTGATTGGCAGGAGTGAGTTACAGGAATAAGGCATTGGAAGTGGAATTCCTGCAGCTTACACCCATACTCAGAGACTCTCAGGCCCTCACTGAGGCTGCAGTGAACCACACTTGTCTATACAGTGATAGTGGGACCGAATATAATAATAAACCTTGCACTTGATATAGCGCTTTTCACATCTTCTAGATGTCTCAAAGCACTTCATAGAATATACTGTAAAGTGAATTAACTGTATATTTTGTGGGTGAAATGCAGCAGCTAATTGCATACAGGAGTGTCCCACAAACAGTCGTAGATTGAGTGACCAAATTATTTTTTTTTCTTGAGGGATTATTATCAGGCGTGTGGAGTAAGGAAACTTGCCCAAGGTTTCGCCCTGCTGGGAATCGAACCCAGGTCTCTTGCTTGCAAGGCAAATGCACTAATCAGTGAGCTACAGGACTCCTATAGAGCACAGTGTAAGCACAAAACTGGAAAGTTTATTAAAGATCGAGAGCCCCACATTCCCAACTTTGAGGTTGGCGTTTGCAAGAGTTGAAAGTACAATTGTACTTGACAACACCTGAACTAGGTGGTCACAAAATAAGCCAAGATCTATGTACAACATGGAAGACAGAGTGTTCAAAAGCTCAGACATTTGGTATTTTCAACACAAGATCTGGTTAGAATCTTATAAGCACAATGACATTTGAGAGAAAATCTTCTGGTGTGTTGGCCAACAACACCCCCCTTCAACCCAGATAAAATTGGTCATTCACTTCATGGCTGTTAATGGGACACTGTTGTGATGAAATTGGCTCCCACATTCACCTGCAGTCACGACTCTTTATAGCAAAATCATTTATAGTGAAATGATTTGAGAGTCTCCCGCCATGAAAGGAGGTATATCAAATACAAATATTATTATATTACGATAACCACCTTTTAAAAATACATAGGGGTCCAGTTCTCTTAAAGGGATAGACCTTTCACATCTGGAATATTTGGGTTGTTGTGTTTTTAACCTTTAAAAGCCTTCAAGCTATTATTTCCTGTCCTGTGTCATGTGTTATTGAGGAGGAGGGGATGTCATGGCAGCCAATCTATACTCAGAGATGAAGGAAGAATGAATCATAATCTCTTTCCGTAACAGTGGTATTTCATTAAAGTATGAAAGGACTACTTTCCAGTTCTCAATCTACAGGGATAGGGGAGCTCTTTCTTTGTTATATGAAGATGCTGCTTCTCAGCTGATATCTGAAGAAGGGAGAGGCAGTTTGACAATACAGAGGCTATACCTGGTTATGCTGTGAAATAAGGAGTGAGTTTCCACTGTGACTTTAGCCTGCCCGTTCCCATCATTTTCTGGTCGATGTATACCTGCCTTTGTCCTTGACCACAAGGGCATCTGTCTCATGTCTTACTGCTGCGCCCAATGTGGCTTTCCGCTTGGTATCTTAGCAACTGTATTGCTAAGCAGAGGGATCCATCATTAATTCATAGGCTGATTGGTGGAAGTGACTGTGTGATCACGGCACAAACAGATTAAATTGCAGGTAATTGATTTTGTCATAAGAAACCGGAAAGAAGTCTTCCCTCCTGCAGCCTTCCAAAATTAGCCATGAGCATGTTTGCCATGACATTCGACTAGGAGTGTCAACATCAGTACCCTGTAAACAGACCCCCCCCCCATCCTCCTGAACATTTATAGGAAGTTATTTTACCAAAATGCATTCATGTGTTTCATACCTCCTTGTCCAGACCATGTCCCACAGAACTGTGTCCTCTTCCCCCTTCTGAATATTGTGTGATCGCACTATCCTTGACCTTATCGGTTTGTTCGTGCAGAATTTCACTCTGTTAAAAGTTGATAATTTGCCTCTTGAAACAGAGGTGCACTTACTTCACTGTCACTAACTTGTTTCATCCCAGGATGGAAATAGGTCATCTGTTGTGCTGTATGACAGTTGAGACATTGCTCCTCGAAGGGGACAGAGGTTGGCTCGACAGTCAGTCACTTTTGGCTGCTGGCACTGAGTAGATAGAATTGGAAGTTGGATAATATCCTTGTATAACAGCCCCAAGCATTACTCACCATTGTTGAGGAATATAATGCCAAAGAGAGACTTGCTGGAGGGTTGTGCTCAGTCATTCTATGATTGGAGTGATGAGACATGGCTCAGCACCTTTCATTCTGCACCCTGTGAGCTCCTGATGTCAGCCATGCAACTTTGATTATCTGCCAATGAGAGACCAACACAGCCTTACAGGAAAAGGGAGAAGGTTTGCAGCACTGGTCACTTTATTACAGCAATTGGTCTCACAGTTTCAATGGAACATTCACACTTGTTCTACGGACGCTGGAAGAAGCCAGCCTTTTAATCTAATTTCTTTGCTATCTCTCACTGGACAGCATAGGAGAGGAAGCAGTAATTTTGTCAGCATTAACAGGTTTGTAAGTGATAACAATCGCCATACACCAGTACTGTCCCACCAAACGAGGCTGATAGTCTGTCAGTACTGATCTCTGCGTTCCCACTGTGAAGCAACAGCAGTTTCTGTTGTGATCCATGGCCAGGCATTGCCGTACTACCCTCTCAGCACAGTCGCCCATTAGTGATCATGAGGAAAGACCATGACTCATATATATATATATATGCTCTGCCTCCTCCCCCGAACCAACATTTGCAGAGATCGACCATTGGTTCTTTACTGCCACCCTGGGTGATAATTCAGTGCAGATCGAGGAACAAATCAGGGACCTTCCTAATGCATGACTCAAGTCTACCTCGTAATCACATTCAGTCTATTTAATTGTACCACCCGTTCTCTCAGTTACAATGGTAACCATCAGCTTTCCTTCACTAACAAACAGTACAGATGATGCCTTCAGCACAGAACCATACAACAGTGCATGTTTGAGCTTAGAATAAGGCAATATTCTGTGTTTAATGGGCTGGAATTTCAGCAGATAAGGAGCAGTGCTGTCAAGTTATTTATGCCTGAATGCGAGGAGTTAAGTGGTGTGTTTACCAAAAGTTTAGGTCAATAACTTGTTTGCAAAACGTTTCCTTAACAGAAAAATAAGTGCCTTCTTTTAGAAGAAAGAGTTGGAGGTTAAATATTTATATATAAAATAATTGATCCCCAGAGTCACTTACAGGCTGAAATCTAATTGAGGAGTTTGCATGGTTTAGATCTAGAATAATAGATTACTCTGGGTGAATTGCTGGAATCTAATCAAAGAACTTAGGTGGTTTATGTAAAATAAATAATGGATGCCTCGTCTTGTGGTGCGGGGGTGTAAGTCACTGTTGAGGATGATGTGCCTGCAGTTTTAAATGTATAATATGAAGGGTAGGAGTCTCTGATTCACATTCGTGAGACACCAGTTGTGGAGTGGTGAGAAAATCACTTCATGCTTCAGTGTAGGTCTGATAGTCAGTAATCCACTTACCTTGTTTGTGGGATCAATTCTCATTACAAATGCTGGTTGATTTCCTGATGGTCAGGGACGCTCTTAAATTTTGCGTGTCGTGTCTCCTGAATTTATTTATCTGACTAGAAGCTGATAAGACATCTCCTGCTCTCCCCCAACCCTCTCCTCCCTCCCACTGCTGAAAAACATTAAAGAATATGGGAAAAGAGCTGAAAAGTGTCATTAAATGATGGGAAGACGGTAGGGTGGGTATTCTGATAACAATGAGATCAAATGGTTCAAAGGGCCCATTTGATCTCATCCTTACCAGAATATCCACCCTCCTGTCTTCTTCATCCAAACCAATCTTGTGATTAACAGGAAAAGAACAATTTAGAAAACGAAACTGGCGGCAGTGAGGCGGACACATTCTCTTCTGTAACATATCTGTGGATTTCAATGCTTTTCTTCTTCCTGTGTTTCCTTGCAGCCATTGTAAACCCAAAGCAGCCCAAGGAAGCACTCAAGAGCTTCAACTTTGACTATTCATACTGGTCGCACACCACGGTAAGGAAGCCAGTCTCCCCACTTGCAGCATGTGCTGCTGACAGGTTGGATAAGAGAAATCTTACTTCTGCACTCAATAATTTTATTGATCTATTGGAGGAGTTACTGTTAAACACTAATCCTCTTGGTTGATGGGCAGAAAGAGAAAAGGTGGAAGTGAATGGAAAGGGCTGAGCTTTATTTATGGTTGTGTTGTACTTCTTTCAGCCTGCCGACATCAACTATGCCTCTCAGCAGCAGGTGTACCGGGACATCGGGGAAGAGATGCTGCAACATGCCTTTGAGGGCTACAACGTTTGCATCTTTGCCTACGGGCAGACTGGAGCCGGCAAATCCTACACTATGATGGGCAAGCAAGAGAAGGAGCAACAGGGCATTATCCCACAGGTGAGACTTGAAGAGACGTGGGGGTGGGGGAGTCATTGCACTGAGTGAACGAGGCTGATCAATCAACTCTGACCTAGACCATCACAGGTAGTTGTGGTGTTACATTTGTGGGTTAAATTTCACGTGATGTTTTCCTTGCATTTGATATAGCGCCTTATCACGTCTTCAATAAGTCTCAAAGCGCTTCACAGAATATACTGTAAAGTGAATATATGTAGGGCGAAACGTGCCAGCCAATACAAGACAAAGCAAAATCTAGAAATAAAGTCGGGAAGTATATGTTTGCTCACTGGTTTAAGGAGAGTTTTGTTGCTTTCGTGTGTTTAGTTTGCTGGATGATGTAATTTCTTCTATAGTGTAGTTATTCCTGGTACATAGATGCTTGGAGAAAAAGGCATTGGCTCCTGCTCATGAGACATTCACCCTTTTTAACGGGTTGGAACCTTTTTTTTCACACTTCCAAGTGTAACAAAAATAGGAACTGACAGATAGACACAGACTCACTTCACCTCCTGCTTAAAAAAATAAAACAATAATTAAAGCCAGATCCATTGCAATTAGAGAGGTGGCAACAGGCATTTGAACAGCTTTATGTTGCATAGCGGTACCATAATTAATGTCTACCATTCGTTAATCTGCGAAATTACAAAGTCAGCCTATTAACTCACCAGATAGTGTGGAAATGTTTGATGTGGAAAGGGGCTATTTGAAATTTGTGTTTTGGCAACTTAGACGAGCATTTGTATTTGTCAATGACTTCAGCTAGGATTTGTAAAGCCTGGTGGCGCCCCCTGTTGTTTGTGGGTATGTAGTGCAGCATTTGACTGAAGGGGAAGCGGAGTCAGGCTCCTAACCTGCTCTCACCTGATGGCCACATACTTGTGCATTCCTGCAGGTTTCACTAGATGATCGTGGCAGTGCTTTTTTTCACTGCTTAATATTTGAAATCGAACATTAAAGTTGTCTTATCTTTCCTTTCCCAGCTGTGTGAGGATCTCTTTGCCAGAATTAATGACCGCTCCAATGCCAATCTCTCCTTCTCTGTGGAGGTAAGTGCTACAGAGAACCTTTCATAATCCAGCACTTAAGTACTGAAGCAAACAACTCATTCTTATTGTTATTCCATAATCGGATTTTATACTGTAGATCTGGAGCCAGGGATAGAATCCAGATCTTAAAGCATAGAATTCGTTTTGAAATTATGTCAGGATTTCTGCCGAAACCCAGATTGTCAACATCCTGTGACTTGGCAAGCCCAGAAGCACAGAGAAGCATGCTAATGAATGAAGGGGAGATGGGTTACAGTCAATCAACCACTCAATGTCTCAGCTCTCATATAAACAGAGCACTTCAGTGAGGTACTGATGAACTGGAACTGCTATGGATTGATGCCTTCAGGAGATGAGGGGAGAAAGCTGAGAGAGAAAAAGATGGGAGTTAAATTTCTTTTAATATTAAGTGCAACTACTTTCACTATATGTGTTTACGATGGTGACAATTATAAGGGCTAACTACAGTTTTTAAAGTTGCAATACATAATGGCAAAAGGAATTTCTCAGCCAAAGTCAATCTTGGCTGCAGAAGTGATATAATGGCACATGCTGGAGTGAGAAAACACACTGTGACCTGACAGATAAATGAAATATTTGCTAAGAAGCTGTCAATTTGATGATAATGCTACTTATGTGGCTGATGCCAACCTCTGTGATGCTTTTATTCTGTCCCTATGACATTCGTATTTGCTTTTCAGGTGAGCTACATGGAAATTTACTGTGAGCGTGTGCGAGACTTACTGAACCCCAAGACCAAAGGAAACCTTCGGGTGCGTGAGCACCCCATCCTCGGACCTTATGTGGAAGATCTCTCTAAGCTTGCTGTCACCTCGTTCAATGATATCTCAGATCTTATGGATTCAGGAAACAAAGCCAGGTATACATTGGTGTAAAGGACCAGTAAAGGGCTCAAACTCCCTGCACAGTGCTAAAGTGGAAAGTAAGGCTAAGTGACTTATACAAAATAATTCCCAAGTCATATTTTATTTCTAAAATAATTAGGTGCAGAAAAGCTTCCAGTTTCTGCAAGTTTTGCTGAAATCACTTTGCACCCCAAAGAGTGCTTTTATTTGTTTAACAAAAACATTTCTGAAACTTGTTATCCCCTTTCAATGGTGCTGGAAATAACCCTAGCAATTAAACCTTTTTGCCCTGGTTTGACTCTGATTACACATCACTGCAAAGAAAACTAGTGAAGAATATTAGAGAGTATTTTCCCCTGCTTACTCATGATGACTACTACCCTCAATGTTACTTACGAAATCTATTGTGCTTGACTGGTGTATATTTACTGTCCTTAGAACTGTGGCTGCCACCAACATGAACGAGACAAGCAGCAGATCCCATGCAGTGTTCAACATCATTTTCACACAAAAAACAGACGACTCTAATGCAGACACTTCCACTGAAAAGGTAAAGCGACTGAGCGCAGCAGGATATCAGGAGTGGAGTACAAACACTTGATCCCCAATAATAAAAGCTTAAGAAAATCCATGGTAAAGTTTACGAGGAATTATTTGCTTATCAATCTTTTGTCATTCTTGCAGGTCAGTAAAATCAGTTTGGTTGATCTGGCTGGAAGTGAGCGAGCTGATTCTACAGGAGCCAAAGGCACGCGATTAAAGGTGAGGATCTGTCTATCTTCCTGCAACCATTTGCCTCCATCAATCTCTTTGACCATCTGTATCCACCTACTTGTTTGTGTGCAAAATTGGCTGCTGCATTCACCTAAAAATACAGACATACTTTATTGTAAATCCTGTAAAGCACTTTCCAGCATCTCAATGACATGATGAATTGCAATATCAAATGCAAGGATTATTATGTACTGCTGTGATTCAGTCATCACACAAGCTTGTAGTTTTGGACGGATTGTTTTGGACGGACCTCACTCTGATTTGTTGAACATCATTTTCTCTCCTCCGTACTGACTACACATTTATGTGGAACTACCACTGAAGTATGAGTGAGTTTAACAATGGATTGTTTGGTTTTCCTTCCTCCTTACAGGAAGGTGCAAATATCAATAAATCTCTGACAACCTTGGGCAAAGTCATCTCGGCCCTGGCAGATGTGGTGAGTGGAATTACTTGCATCTAATCAGGCACTGCATAATATATTCGGGACATAACGCTACTGTTCATTGTGTTAGAGAGCCGCTGAATAACACCCAGAAACCGGGTGAAACGCTGCTTCCTCGATGGGCAGAGCAGCACTGATTCATGTAATAAACAGAATGGGACACTTCTGATCCAGTCTCTCGTGTTAATGCTTAAGTGTGGAACAGGACATGCTCACATTTGTCTTCAGTCAGGAGTTTTTCACGAAAATGGCTGGGGCTCTCACATAATAATTGCGAAAAACAGTTATCTTTCATTACTTGTTTCTTTGAATGAAAAGTTTGCTATTTCAACAGTCGATATATAATGGATCTCAGTGTCTCTTTGAGCCTCACACCTCTCGACCCTTCCTATCCCTTGTTGCAGTAATGCCTGTTTCACCAAGCTTCTTTATTATGAATGCAAATAGGAATGAGTCTGGAACACATGAGATGGCATTAGCTGCTCGGAGCCATTATTGTTATTCCCATGTGTGTGCTGGGAGGCATAAAGAAACAAGGCAGAAGTGGAATAAAAGCATAAGAGAGTCTAGGAGTGGTACCTGTGTGTTATGATTTGTTGTAGAGGACTGTACTCAGTATAGTTGGGAGAAGTGTGCTACATCCCTGAACTATCAGTAAGTCTCTTCCCTGTTCTGTCTCTTACAGGATTCTGGATCAAACAAGGTATGGACTGTTGGTGTGGGTTACTTGTTGGCTAGCCACCGCTCTTGGTGATTTACTCCCTCATTAACTGCCCTCCTCATTGGGTTACTCTCTCACTGACTGATCCTCCATTACGAGTTGCACTCTCAGTGGGTTAATTCCTCATTAGCTGTCTCTGTGTGTGAGTTATGTCCTTACTAGCTGCCCGGAACGGTAAGCTTCTCCCTGAATACTTATTTCTAGCGATGGTTACTCTCTCACTGACTACTACTCCCTGGTTAGCTGATCTCTTGGTGAGGTTACTGCTTTGTTGTTTTCTTTCAGTTGTCTATTATCTCTGTGTGTGAGAGTGAAGGGAAGGGACACTGTGTGGTGTTTTCAAAGATTGAAGTGAGAGGCTTTCTATATGTTCCATCCAACAGCACTGAACATGGTTGCATGGTGTGTTTAATTTAACGTGTTCCATTGTCATGTATGGGTTAACATTTTAACCTTCAAACATTTTGTTGAGCAGAACAAGAAAAAGAAGAAGTCGGATTTCATTCCTTACAGAGACTCTGTGCTAACATGGCTGCTCCGAGAAAACCTGGGTAAGAGGCGTTGAGCAAAACTCTCTGTTCTTTTGTTTCCTGTTGTAACAATCTTACTGGTTGTAGTAGATGACAGCTATCCTGGTGTTATGAATGTCTGTTCACCCCTGAAATTGAGTTCAAATTCAAAGTCCAAGTAGAGATTCCAAATATCTGCTTTCATTATTCCAACCTGAAATGGATTTGGTTCATCTCCTTCTGCCTGTCAGAGAACAAGAGTCAGGGCGTAGAATTGCCCTTAAACTGAGTACAATTAAAATTGGAGAGTTTTGTTTTGATTGGGTCGTTTGCAGAGAAAAAGAGATATTGGAAGTTCATAGAGTGGGGCATGGGGCTGTGACCTGGCACATGCTGGACTGATACAGACTGATTTGCCCCACATGACGAGCTGCTAATCTTTACCTAGTTGGTAGGAGAAGATAAGCTTTCTTGTTCTGAACAGGGTTTATAGCCCAATGTAGAGAACAGAGAATGGCACTGTTGTGGTATCAATGCATGAAAGTGCCGGGGAGTTGGAAAGCCCAACTGCTCAATTTGGAGACTAAAGGTGAAAACAGATAATGCAGCAACTCTAATCAGGGCCTCTTTCTTTTGTAGGAGGGAATTCCAGGACAGCCATGGTGGCAGCTCTCAGCCCAGCAGATATCAACTATGATGAAACACTCAGCACCCTCAGGTAATGAGCAGACCTACTATTGGAAGCTTTTCACCAGGCACTGGGCCGAGTATGAGATTAGGAAGGGAAGGAGGGAGCTGGGCTTGAGGTGCTCGAGAGAGGGAGGGTGTGGCTGATATGGGGGACTGGAGGGAGATAGAAGTTTTATGTGTGTTTGGGGCAGCCTAACACAATAAATCTTTATAAGCCAGCCTTGTGTTTTTTTTCTCACTCCAGATATGCTGATCGAGCTAAACAGATCCGGTGTAATGCAGTTATTAACGAGGATCCTAATAACAAGCTGATTCGGGAGCTTAAGGACGAGGTGTCAAGACTGCGGGATTTGTTGTGCGCACAGGGACTGGGAGACATCATTGACCGTAAGCAACAGCCAGCCTTCAGCCCATGATAGTTAGATCCTTTGCCCCTGCCTCCTGTTACTGTTGTATACTGAGGGCTTAGCCTGACAAGGATGGAAGTGTGAGCACAGTTGAAGGCAGCACATGTTACATATACTCCCCGCACTCCCAATCTTCCGAATTGAGAAAAAAATTCCAATGAAACTGCTCTTCCTTTTGTTCGTGGCTGATTCACATGAAGAAGAAAATATGAGGTTTGCAAAGCGTTTCAATATTATAGACAGCAAAAAATACCAGCAGCTACAGATATGAAGAGCTTGCTACATTATTTTCTTGAGTATTCCGATTTCATAGAATAAGATTCCAGTTATTGCAAGCAGTAAGTACGTGGCAAAGCTAAAATCAATCAAAACCACTTCAAAGCAAAGGCATTGTGAATAATGGGTATTTTGAGGTTTTAAAAAAAGTGCCTCTATCCTTTCCTCTCTTCTATCCTCCTCTGTGCTAAGCCATTCTTTCCTTTAAATGTTTTTACTCTAATTTTCTCTGTAAAATCTATTTCTTAAACATGTCCAAGGGGTGTTTCTCTGTAAATGTAGTCCATGTCTCTGAAACCTGTTCTTGACCTGAGCTTTTGTGTGTTCTTCTCATTTCTTTGGTCTCTCAGTGGCTCCAGTGACCGGTGGCTCAAGAATTCGATCCACATGTGTGTATTAGCTGCAGTAGTACAGTAAAAGCTTGTAACGCTTTCTGAGCACGCACACCCCTCAGAACACAGCATGAGGCAAAGAGCTTCTTCCTACAGCTGGATGGCTGTTTGTAATCTTCCAGGGTGAAAGCAAGCGTTAACAAATATCTAAAACTATAAAGGATCCTTCTGCGATACTGATTTATCGCTCAACTTTCTCCAGAGAAGGTTTTAAACCCAGAGGCATGGAAGAGGGTGCATGTCTTGCTAGTAATGTGTGTCAGCAATGCTGTTCTTTCGCTTGTGACAAAGTCCTTTATCATGCACCTGTGAGTTATGAGCCTTTCAGAGCTGTCTACCAAATGACACCGATCCAATGATCGTGAACTACCCTTTGCTCTTCTTGAGGAAATTAGACCTGACAGCACAAAATGATGGCTCCAGTTTATTATTTGATTTCTGATCATTTTGTGCCCCGGCCCCATTTGAAGGGGAAGCTGTTGGATTCAACTTACAGCTTTTGGTCTTGCCGAAGAATTTTGGCTTGTCTTCTCCAAATGCCTCTTTTGTTACGTGAAGATCACAAGTGCACGATTGTGGCTTGTGGTGCATTTAAACCGCAAGTGAGTCTGACCACATGGGTCAGGGTATGTAGTCACAGTTTTTTGCTTTTGCCACATTGAGTGGCTTTGAAATTGCTCTGAAATGATACCTAGTTGTTATTACTTCACAAATCAGCAAGCCAGAGACATAGGTAGAAATTCCATCTGGGTCGAGATTTACCAAATTTATATAGCATTGTAAAGTATCCAGAATGTGGAAATTAGTTGAATTCAGTCTTAACTTTCATGTTGTTTTTCGCAGTTCCTAAAAGAACTTACTAAGAAACAGCTTCAAAATTAAGGCTGTATTTACAATTTTTAATCCTGTGCACTTAAGATGCTACATAAATAGAATAAATCTAGATTCCAGAGGAATTTCTCTGCAATAGTGTGTTAACAGTTTTGATTTATTTTTTTGTTTTTAAAGTTCCCCCTTGGCATTCCTGACTCCAGGTTGCTCCAGAGTCCTGCTGATCTCCTTGGGTTCCCTTTTCTCATGCTGTGACTGACAGGTTTTTGCACAGATGCACTGCGGCATTTCTCATTGTCGAATGCTCTTGATAAGATTTGGTTCTCCTCCTTTGCAGCTGCTTCAGGTTTATTATAGCTGCTTCCAGCAAGTTCATGTTTTCCATTCTAACAATGTTCATTCACTGTTGGTTCTGTGTGTATGTAGGACTGATGCAGGCTGCACCAGTAATGGAACACAACGTTTGCCTGTTTACTGCCCACCTTCATCTAGAAAGACAATATGTTGGGGAATCTATGCTGTTTTTTTCTTTCTGGGTCTCTCCTCTCAAGTGTGTGGGAAATTCAGTTTCCAAATCTTTACTAATCGTGCTCAGAACCCGACTGATTCACTCACTCTCTATAGAACTGGGCATGGATGCACGTCACACAACTTGGCATAGCTGAGCACATGGAAACACTTCACACCTCCCACTTATTAGATGTGTGGATGAATAAACAATATTTTGAGCAAATATAAACATATCTTTTCTCCTATTGTCTGTCTTCAACATGGCAACAAATTCTATTAATCCATCCAGTTGTCTGACACAGATGTAAATCTTCTTGTATGTGCATAAGAAAGGGAGGAGAACTGGAATAAGTACTGAAGCTTCCAATTATTCTTGTTAAAATAATAATTGATATGCATGTGTATTTTGTTCCATAAACAACTTGGTGCATTTTACGGAGCTCGTTGAACATTGGTGCATTAAGATTAAATAATGGAACCATCATGGAGGACCTTTAACAAACACTGCCCTGCTTTATAATCAGCACGTTAACCAAGCTGGTGTTCTCACTAGCCCCTCACTTAAGGGGTTACTGGACAAGCTTTCGCACACCTCTTGCTACTGCATTGCTTCTGCTGTGCATTCCCATCTTGCTGTTTTTTATGTATGTATCAGTATGTCTCTTTGTCTAATGCTGTCAAGGCCTTGTTGCAAAATGAGCAGTTATGATTGCCACAGTGCAAAATTGATTTACTGTTATTGGATTTTGCTGTGTAGTAGTTTCCGATATTATTAGGGTTGAGACAGGTTGAATAGGGTGCCTCTGATTCACATTACAGGGCCAATGAATGTGGTCCTGATCATTGGCATTTAAAGCTTGCTGAGAGAAGTGGAACAGATGCAGTTCCTGCTTGTTCAGTTTCCACGAGCAGGAGACTAGCTAGAAACTATAGCGTTTGCTGTGAGGGGGAAGGAAAATGAGAGGAGGATCATGTACCGAGTCAGCCATGATATGCCATTGTGTGTTCTCACACTGGGTTAATCTGAGACACACTAATTCTGTCTGTATGTGGTTTGTTTGCTGAGGTTGCACTCACTGGTTAAACCAATGGATTATTCTTTCGTAAACAGTTCTGATGTGGCATATGTGTGGTTCATAGGACAAACTACTATCAACTTAGCATTCTCACTGAGGAAGGTACAGGATGGCTGGTATGAGAACTTGATATACTGGTGCAGTATAGAGTGCTCCGTGGAGGCTGGGCCTAAGGCACGTTGATAGGGAAGAGTACTGAGAGATTTAAACTGCACCTGACCTGGGAGCGATTAATCCTTTCGAAATGTGAAAGTGTTTGATTATCCAGCATTAACATTCCTCACCTTGAAGAACACAAAATACCAAGTGTTGACTTGCTCGCTCACAATTTTGACCTTTCCATGAACGGTGCCATCTGCAGTGAAGTTAGAATCTGAAATGGTTGGCTCTCCTGTTTGCGTTTACAGCCATAAGTACACCCTGAGCTTGAGGGGAGAGGGCAATTGGAATCCCCCTGTACACGGTTCGAACCATCTAAATATAAAACAAATCCAGAATAGTTATTTAAAAATTAACAACCTTGGCATCTGAGGGAACCCCAGTAATTGCACAGTCAATTCACTTTACAGTATATTCTGTGAATCGCTGTGAAACATCTTAAAGACTTGTTAAGGCGCTATATCCAATGGAAGTATTATTATTATTATATCCAGGAAATAAAGAGCCACAGCTGTAGACAATGCCAGCTGGAAAGGGATTTGAATACTTACCTTGCAAACAACTCAAAGGAGAAATGATAACATTATCATCATTTTCCATTCACTGCTGGTGAACTGGTTGATCCTGGCCTGATGAAAAATCATGCCTTTTGCTAGTTGTAGTCTTGGAACCACAGCCATGCTCAGAGTTGGCAAAATCCACCAACAGTAAACATGTCTTAAAGGAATCCGTCTAGTTTGAGACGTCTCTGTGCTCACTCACGAATTGCTGACTCATTTTACACCTGTTCACTTGTGTTCATTTACGTAATTTTTTTCTGTCTGTGTACTTCTTTTCTAACGTATTTTTCATCTTGCTTTTAATTCATTTTTACCAAACTTGCATCTCTCTTGTTTCCTTTCTTTCCTTCTCTCCTTCCTTCCTTCCCTCTGTAGATGTGAACGATTTAGAGAATAATAATCGTAACTGCAGAGTATCCTCTATCAATGAACGAGCTGACCATTTCTCCACAGTGTCCAATGTGGTGGCTGGAGTGAGCCCTTCACCATCCCTATCCGCGCTGTCCAGCCGTGCAGGGTCTGTGTCCAGTTTGCACGATCGCCTCATGATCGCCCCTGGCAGTGAGGAAGCCATCGAACGCCTCAAGGTAAGCAAATCAATTTCAATGATAATAATAATCCTTGCATTTGATATAGCACTTTATCACATCGTTGAGACATCGCAAAGTGCTTCAAAGGATTTACTATAAAGCGAATCAATTGTATATTTTGAATTTTTTTTTGTATATCAATTACAAATACCAAAATAGTAACTAACATGGAAATGTTTGATAGAGAAATAGCGAGGGAGATTTATTCTGCATCTAACATATCATGTGGCTGATCCAGGCAGCAGTCTTTAGTCATGAAATGTAGAGCAATACATTATTCACTTCAGCAATAAGCCTTTGTACAAATGCTAACTCTTCCACCGCTTTGCACGTTCTCCACAGGAGACAGAGAAGATAATTGCTGAGCTGAATGAAACATGGGAGGAGAAATTGCGCAGGACAGAAGCTATTAGGATGGAGAGGTAAAAATTGCAGCAGTCACACTTCAATAATGCAAATGTGCATATCGCAGGGTGAGATCTTCTTACAGTGCTCAAACAGGTTCATACAGTGCTGTTAAAAAAAACTTGATCAAATGTCCGTACAAGTCAAAGGTTCATTAATGGTTAAAATAGGAAATTGTTGCTTAGTAAGATTGGTAACAGTGGGAACGGTCATGTTGCTGTGAGTGGGTTGTCTTTTGAAGTTGGGTTGAGTCGATGGAGCTTCTCTTTGTTCTTGGTGGAATTGCAGTAGGAACATTACCTTTGATTTAAGTGGGCTACATCTGACCAGAACTGATTCACAGCACAGCATAGAGGTAGCTTCACTCTGTTTCTAACCTGTTCTGCAAAGGACCCGGGAGTCTTTGATGGGACATTGTGGAGGGAGCTCTCATCTAAAGGAAACTCGTGCTGTACCTGACCTGGCAGGATTTGTTGGGAGACTGTAGAGGGAGCATTTAACTTGATCGTACCTGACCTGAGAGTGCTTGATTCTGACAGATGCTTTCTTGCCAGGCTTAATGTGCTTGGGTTATTTCAAATTTATTGTATAAGTTACTTCTGAGACGTAGTTTTCAATTGCGTTACAGAGAGGCTCTCCTTGCTGAAATGGGCGTTGCCATGCGTGAGGATGGTGGTACACTGGGGGTGTTCTCACCCAAAAAGGTATGTTTTCTCTGCAACTCACACCTGCTGAACCTGACCTAGGAATGTTTGATGGAATGATATAGGATGTGTGGCCGAAGACACGGTCAAAAAGTAAGGTCTTGAGACGGGAATGAAGGAGGCAAGGGAGGGAGAGGTGTGGAGAGATTCTGGGATAAGGAGTTCCAGAGGATGCGAGCAGAAAACTGAAGACCCAACCATCAGTGGTGGGGCAGGCAGGGCAGGGTACATGGAGTAGGCCAGTGGAGGGAGTGCACAGGTTGGTATGGTGGTAATAGGTCCCAGAGGTAGGGAGGAGCCTCACCGTGGAGGTCTTTAAATGTGAGGACGAGGATTTTAAACTCGATCCTCTGAGGGATGGGGTGCAGTGAAACCGGGTGAGGATAGGGGTGATCGGTTCACGGAACTTGATATGGGAGAGGACTCGAGCTGTAGAGTTATGGATAATCAGCAGCTTGTGGAAGGAAGAGTTGGGAAGTCCAGCGAGCAGGGATTTAGGGTATTCATAGTGATGGATACATGAATGAGGTTCTTGGCAGCGTGAGGGGAGAGGCCATGGTAGAGGTGGGCAATGTTGCAGAGGTGGGGGAAGGTAGAACAGTAATAGCATAGGCATGGGGTTTAAAGGACAGTTGAGGGTCGAAGAGGATACCAAGGTTCTGTACTGGCTCCGTGAGTGCTGTTGTCAGTGCCAGAGGTGAAGAGGCACTGACAGGAGCCAAGCAAGAGGGTCTCCATCAGGTCAACGCTCAACTGGAGAAAATTAGCTCTCAGCCAGGACTTAATGTCTGACAAAAGCCTTATGCCTTCTTCCACAGACAAGAGTTCTATCAACTGAGACAGTCAGATACAATAAAATAGGATTTTGTAGTTGTCAGAATTCATATGTCTTGCTGTTATCAGTAAGTTAGTTCAGGTTTTGTTTAGTTGTATCTGATATCTGCTGTTCTCCCCTATTGTGACACTGCTGCTGTTGTCTTCAGTGACTGCTTTTTTTTAAGATCCTAACCAAAATCATTTTGTTGTTTCTATCCTTCTCATTCTACCCCCTCATCTTCTTCACTGCCCCTCACTCCCTCCCCACCCGCTCTGGACTACACCTTTTTTTTTACCGTTAGCTCATGCCCAGAAGACCCACTGAACTCTTGCTTGAGTCGGTGGGGGTCTTTTCTCCCAAGGAGGTTTGTTTTGCTTGTGAATTGTGTTGTGTTTCTCTGGATTGGTTTAGTTCTGTTAGTCGTATTCCTTGGTGTTACTGCCATTTTCCAAAATCTCTTCTCCACCCTTTCTCTAACTAAGAACTCTGACTTGAGTCCCAATTTCCTCTGGTGAATGTGTTTTGCCTGTTTCTTCTCCCTCCCCCAACTCCACTTTTACTGGGTCACAGTTCCACGTGTGCTGGTGAAAAATTGATTGTAAAATGCATGAGCCATCATAATGAATTGTGGCAGGTTTTTCAATCAATGGGGCATCACAGTTAAGCTAAATCCTGTCCTCAGCCAATGTCCACACTCCCCATTTCCAACAATGGTCCTGGCTGAATCATTGGCTGAATTATATCGTTGGTACATGCAGCACTATGGCAAATTGTTGTGCCACCCGTAGCTGAGGTCAGCTAACTTAATATTTACTGTGGATTGGACTCGGAACCATTATGGCTGAGCTATTCATTAAATAGGCTTTGAAGCAATTCTAGACTTCTTTAAAGTATGGTTTGATGAGATTTACAAAATTTTTAGAAAAAGAAAAAGTCATCTGGCTCATCAAGCCCACTCCTTCTGAAGACCATATCTAATCTGCCCAAGGATGCCTCATCCCCAGACGAATTCAATTCCTGAGAAATGTTCTTCAAATGTCTCCCTTTCCATCAAGGGTAAATCATGCAAACCTCCCGAATAATTATTTAATCTTGCATCCTGCACGTGACGTTCTATACCTTCCTAGTTGTATCTGACCTGGGTGATGCAAGTTTACCCTAAATACAGGTTGATGACAATAATTAAAAGAATTTCAAATCCAAGAGCCAAATTAAATGTGTAAGTTTTAAAAGTAACATATCATAACTTTGGCCTTGATATCTTGAGAAGGAGATATCCTTTGCATGACCACGCTCAAAACAATTTGTCTGAACCTGCTTTCAGCTCATGTGCCAAATTGTCATCCTGTGATGTGGCTTATGAACAGCTTTACTGCTGGACCACAGCATGGATTCACTTCAGATGCCATTTGCCCAATATCCAGTAGATTTTGTGTGACTTTTTGATGCATGCCTTTTTGGTGTTTGACTTGTTCTGTTAAGATATTGGGCTTTATTTAATTAACAGTGTTATTTATTTGAACAATACTGTAGCCCACACTGCTCCATGTTGTTTGGATACTTGTTACTCACAGCCTGGAACCATTTACTATTAGGATATCATCGTTTGGGAAGAGACACAAATTGTCAGCTAGAGGGAAATAGTCTGGTTCACCCTGGTTGTCAATGGACCTCCCACAATCTCTCCAAAATATCACGGCGTCTTGAATAGTGTGTGCTGGCTGTACTGATTAGTGCCTTTTCCTTTGTAGACTCCTCATCTAGTCAATTTGAATGAGGACCCACTGATGTCTGAATGCCTGTTGTACTACATCAAGGATGGATTCACCAGGTACACATTCATTAGTTCTTAATGAACTTCATTACTCCAGGCTGAGTCTTTTTTCTTTCAGTGGATGGTGAAACTGAACCCTATTTGGCAGGGATCAAGTTATTTATTTATTCCTCAGGCATCATTAATTTTTGACAATGGTATCTCCTAATTGTGCTAAGAAATTAGACAAAACGAAATATGTTATCCCAGTGAACAGTCCGCTTAGTCTAATACTATTGCATTAATAATAGTTATTGGCCGTTCCTGCACAACATCTAAGTCCTAACTTCCAAATAATTAAAGATTTTTTGTGATGACAGGAAGCACTCAGATACAGCTCTGGGCTTTGTCACGTTAATCTGTAATACCTCCATATCTTTTAAAAATATTCACTTGGTTTTGCTCAGGGTTGGACGGGAAGATGCAGAACGGCGACAGGACATTGTTTTGAGTGGACATTTTATCAAAGAAGAGCACTGTATCTTCCGCAGCAATGCCATATCCTGTTTAGAAGGTATGTAGGAACCTGTGAGAGTTACTTGTTTGAGCCTCTCATCAGTTAAATCTCTTCCCTGCCAACTAGCATCGGTGTGGGGCACACACCTTAACTACTATGGTGCCAGGCAATGCCAGGTGTTTTGTTAAGCGATTTATGTGTTTTATTTGAAAGAAACTTTAGCTTTGAGTGAACGTCTAGCCTTTGAACACAATCATTATGTTACACTTGTTGGATCCGTTCATTCTGAATTCATTCTGCAAAAGATTATTGGCAATGGTGTGACAATCTGAAGAGATACGTAGCCTTTAGTTCATTTGACAAAGCGACCTTCATTTTTCTGATAAAATACAGTATAGTGGAACTTGTCATTGAAGAGGAAATATGCAGCTGTGCAATGAGCGGGAAGATCTATAAAATAGTGTAAAATGTTATTGAGACACAGTCCAACTACAGTTAATGAATTTACATTGGCATCTTTGTTGCAGTGGTTGTAATCCTTGAACCATGTGAAGAAGCAGACACATATGTTAATGGAAAGAAGGTGTCTGAACCAACAATACTACGATCAGGTGAGTTCTCCACTTGGACTGAAGGTGTTTCAAACAAATTTGGGATCACAAACATCTCCAATTTATCCCATTCTGATCACTAACATAAGCAAAATATTCTGATGCTTTTTTCCTTTTCATTTACATGACCTGATCAATGCCGAACCCAATTTATTTAACATCACCCAGTTTTACACTCTTACAAGTAATGAAACCCTTATTATTTTATTGAATTCATGAAGGTTTACATGCATCATCGCTGTGTTAAAATTTAAACTTTCAAACCATTGATATTCAGTAGAATGGCTTATAGCCTGTGTAATAACATTTAAGATTTCTGAGCTTCAAACGCCAGGCTTTCACAAAGAAAGAATTTGCTGCATTTAATACTATTCTTACATTAATTTCTGCCATTTTAAAGTGTGTTATTTTCTTTTCTGCACAGGAAATCGAATCATAATGGGGAAGAGCCATGTCTTCCGTTTTAACCATCCTGAACAGGCTCGTCAGGAGCGTGATAAGACCCCCTGCGCAGAGACCCCAATAGAGCCAGTAGACTGGGCCTTTGCTCAACGAGAATTGCTGGAGAAGCAGGGCATCGATATGAAAGTTGAGATGGAACAGAGGTAAATCCAGGAATGGCAGAGCAATAGTGGTCCAGAAGTAGGGGGTGGTTCAAACATTTTAGATGGAATGTTGCTGTTTCCAAAAAATACATTGTCATTGCACAAAAGATGTGCGGCCTCATAAGTTATCTCTGCCCAACTCAGTGGTTTAAGTTTACATTTAAGTTACATTGTGAAACTTGTTAATCTCCACGTTGACTGAGTGAAAAGAAAGCGTTACACTGTTAAAGTGGGAGATGATTTTCTGAAGTTGGGTGAAGATACATAGGAACAGATTGAAGGGGAGCTTGATTCTGCACGTAACCCATATATGACCTCAGAGGGGGAACAGGAGGGGGCTTTACACCACACCTAACTTATGCAATACCTAGAGGGCGGGGGGGTGGGGAGGACAGAGGCAGCTTTACACTGTATTTTATGCTGCACCTGACTCACAGTGCTTAATGCTGGTAATGAGGGTCAAAAGTGGAACAGGAACAGGGTTGCAGCTCAACATGGATAACGCTGACCTTGATATGCTTGCATAACAAATTGTTTGAAACAAAGCAATTTAATTCTCTCCATTGTTTCCATGTATATCCACCAGCGATGTAGCTTTAAGCTATTTTTTTCACAGTTTTCTGTGATGACATGTGACTCCATCATTTTTGACAGTGAATTATTTTTCAGGCTTCAGGAGTTAGAAACTCAATATCGGAAGGAGAAGGAAGAAGCTGATTTAATGTTGGAACAGCAAAGACTGGTATGTATTAATATTATAAGTTTCTCCATGAAACCAACAGTAGCTCCAGCTGAGTAAATCTCCAGCGTGTCGTCATGATTCTAACTCTCGTTGACTTCAGCAGGAGAAAGTAACTCTTATTAACCTGAAGCACAATTAATGTATGAAATTAGGAAAGAATTCAAAACCATAAAAATGGGAGAAGGGGTTATAATATTTTTTCTTGGACTGTTATGCTTTTAGATTTGTAGAACTTTTGAAATCAGATAGGTTGGTTCATTCATGTGAACATTTATTGTGCTTTATCCTATGTTTTTTTCTGAGGACATTGCTGGACCAAGGACTCCAGATTGTAATTTCAAGTGTTTAGCTCATGGTGTCGTGGTAATGCATGAATCTGGCAAAAAATTATTAGGGCCCCAAAAAGCTTTGAATCTAAATAGATAAGTCTCATGTCCGTGTGTTATAGAGTCCCAAAGAGCTTCTTATTTGCTCTGCATATATAAATCCAATTGATCCAACAAACCCTTATCATGTATTTAAAGTGTTTGGAATCCCAATGAACCAAATCCATTTGTTCTCATTCTCTTTATGTTTTGATGAATTGTAATGCACAGAGTAGAAAAATAAAAATTCCATCCCTCATGGTATTGATGAGACTGGTTTACACAGATGAGGAACTTAGTGTCAATTCAGATATACCGTGTAATATAAAAATTCTCTTACTAAAATAAATGGAATCTTTTTCCTTTGAATGAAAATTGCTACTGTATGTTCATGGTTTTTTAAGAGACTTTTCTTCTTGCATTCTGCTTCTCCAGGACTATGAAAGCAGGCTGGAAGCTCTGCAAAAGCAGATGGAGTTACGCTTGCATCCTTACAATGTAGATGAAGACGAGGAACCAGAAGAAGAAGGTGAGAGAAGCTCATCTCTTTGTGTTTATTATAATTTGGGAAGCAATGGTACTAATGGGTTTGGAGAATGAGTAGGAAGTGGGATTAACAATATAAGGAGCTTCTAGTATCTAATAAAATTGACTTGATTAGTTCCTAAGAAATTCTCCTGCCTCCATTAGAGCAGTACACTGCTATTTGCAGTGCCTCGTGGATACAAAACTACAGCTCAAAACTGTGTTAATTTGAGCCACAAGAGTGGGTTATGTGGGAAATGGAAATATCATAGTGGTGCACTAGGGGGAATTGATTAGGACTAGGATGCATCATCAGAGCAGAATGGAGGGAGCTTCTCTTACTCCTTTAACTGGGAAGACTCCACATTGACAGTGGCTGCAAAAAATAGAAAATGTTAGTCAAAAGAAAAGTTGTAATATTTCCCTTTAAACAACAAAATTACATTTGTAAAACGCCTTTCATATCAGGAGTCCCAAGGCGCTGGACAGTCAGTGTTTTGGACCCAAGCTGGGGATCAGGATTTGGGAGGGTGGACGGCAGGGGAAGAAGGAGGGTGATTAAAAGCACGGTTGAAGAGGAGGCTCTTGAGATGAATCTTAAAGGAGATGAGGGAGGGGCAAGGCGATGGGACTGCGTGATGGAGTTCCAGAGGGTGGGGGCAGAGTGGCAAAAGCCATGGAAGGCTTTGAAGATGAGAACCAGGATCTTGAACTACATCCTCTGTGTAGTGGGAAGCCAGTGGAGTCGGGCGAGTATGGGGGTGATAGGGTCATGGAGCCTGGTGCAGTAGAGGACACAGGCTGTCAGATGTCAGAATGACAGATGTCTGCCTGGACCTCCTTGGCTAACACACCTCGGTAACTTTCAATATCTTATTCTACACAGTGCAATGGACGGAAAGAGAGTTTGAATTGGCGCTGTGGGCATTCCGCAAATGGAAGTGGTACCAGTTTACCTCACTGAGAGACCTGCTCTGGGGTAATGCCATCTTCTTGAAAGAGGCCAATGCAATCAGTGTGGAACTGAAGAAGAAGGTAATTGACAGCTGCTGTAATGGAGCGATTCATGCCTGGAGCGTCGGCTTTGAGCCTGTGTTTCTGCAGCTGACAGCAGGCAGTTACTTTGATGAGTAAAATCTCCCATAGCTTCCCATTGCCTTTTGTTTGTAGTTATGAATTGAGGATTGCACAACGGGTGATACAGTTCTCCTGTGCAAATCTATACCTGTAAACACTGACAGCTCATCTGATCATTTTTACATTTACATAGCATTCTTTACATAGGTAGGATGAACGTCTCAAAGTGCAGAGTGCAGACACTTGTGAGATGTTCATCCTACATATGTGACAATCGGAAGGCAGTGATAAGAATTTACTGCTCCATTTACTAAATATAACATATGTGCACCAAGCTATTCAACTCCTTTCACCAATTTCAGCAAGTTTGATGCTGTGCCCATATTCTATTCTGGGCTTTGCATGTAGAATACCCAACCGCCAAGACAGGGGGTAAGTTGGTATAACAGAGTGCTGCCATATTCACACTGGTTCCAGATTTTTTTAAATAAATGTCTTAGTGTCATCTTCACTCTGTTTATTTGACTCCTTCCCTGATTTGGAGAGTGCAATCGCCCTTCAAATACTGTGCATCTTGTGAAGGTCATTGTTTGGTGAGCTGATATGAAGCATGCCAAATACTCATTAAACAAACAGATCAATGTTAAGCCAGTGCGCACGGAACTGCTGTAAATATCTGGACACACAGAATTGGAGAATTTTGTTGTTCCTGATTCCAATAGGACAAGTGTACAAGGGAAACCTTACTCAGCATCTTCCCAATTTATGAATGAGTGGTGCACACCAAATTCTTCAATAAACAATTAGAATGATAAGTAGATTGGGAATGAATTCCACCTGAAACTTGGTTCAAATCTAGTATTGTATTTTTCTCCTTGAAAAACGCAGGTGCAGTTCCAGTTTGTACTGTTGACGGACACATTGTACTCCCCTCTTCCTCCTGACCTCATGCCCCCCGACGCTGTGAAGGACAGGGAGAAGCGACCATTCCCACGAACCATTGTGGCTGTAGAAGTTCAAGATCAGAAAAATGGAGCAACACATTATTGGACCCTGGAAAAGCTCAGGTATAAGAAAACAGGATAGCTGGGAGCCATGCACCAATTTTGTATTGCAGACAGGATAGGCAATAGACAACAGTGCGTTATGTGACATCCTTGTAATCTAAAACCTTTTGAGATATATCTCAAGATTTTGTTAAATTTGTTGAAACAGTTTTACCGGCATTGGATACTCTTCAGTGAGTTATCAATATTGCTATACAAATTCTTTTCCTTTCCTATCTTTTGTCATTAATCAGCAATACATTTCAGGCTTCCTGGACTAATGCACATAACCATACATTGAAGATTGAAATCTACCTTCCATTTATCCACTGAATTGAGTTAAGATACTATTGAGTGATATCGGTCTTTTTTTCACTAACTCACCTATCCACTTAGCTCGGTGACGACAACAATTATAAGATTACAAGAAATACTCTCAACTGTATAGTATATGAACTGTGCAATGTGTGCTAGCTTGCCTCATTTGGTAGCAATTTTATCTCTCGATGTTAACAGTCCCCTGAAAAGGGAAGGGAGATTTTCCCGGTGTCCTTGTGAGCAATCACTAAAATTAATCATTTGCTTCATGGCTGTTAGTGGGACATTGATTGCTGTTTGCTGTGTGCAAATTAACTTCATTTGCCTACAAAATACCCAGTCACCACAGAATTACTGCACTTTACAGAAATTACTTAGAAAGCATTTCTGACACTTTGATGTTATAGGCATGTTATGAAATCCCAGTGGAACTCGTTCAGTCGCTGCAATCAAGGCTGAGCCTAGTCCATTTGTAATCACCTTCTGATTTCTGCTACTTGGCTGTGACCTGCTGTGTGTTGAATTTTGACCCCTTGCAGGCAGAGACTGTACCTGATGCGAGAGATGTACGACCGAGCTGCTGAAGTCCCCTCCAGTGTCGTTGACGACTGTGACAATGTAATGACAGGCGGGGATCCCTTTTACGATCGCTTCCCATGGTTCCGGTTAGTTGGAAGGTAAGAGTGTAATAATGTCATTCTTTTTCAGGCTGATAAATATAGCATAAGGTGACATTGGCTGAAGTACCAAATAGGAATGAGCAGTAAGGTGAATTGGGGACTTGTGTGCATCTAAATTTTGGAGAAATTAAAATATTTCAGTTTAATTGCTTTGGATTTCACATCCAAAGTTTCTTGCTTCTTGTGAAAAAAAGCAAGACAAATTGCTGGGATATATTACATTACGTTAATATCATTCAGATTTTCCATGTTTCAATTGCCCGAGTGTGAATTAACGCTGCTCATTCCTAGAACTGTCTCCATGGAAACAGCAACGTGGAGGGGGCAGCGAGAGAGAGTATGAGTGATTGATGGTTTTCCTTCTAGGTTGTGACCTAGCATTACTTTTGTGTCGATGGACAGCTTGTTTACACTTGAACGTTTCTCAGGTGTTTAATACAGTCCAGCGTGCACCAATGGTCTTCTCTTTAGAATAGGTGTTGGCAGCCAATCCCAGAGTTTCAGTCCAATTAATTGGGACATGTCTGAGTGCAACTCAATAGCAGGACTTGCAATATCCAATTTGCATTGACTCTCATCAGCACCAACAGCTTCCAAGGCCTAGTTTTTGGGCAACCATGAACAAGTACTCAACGGATTGTATAACTTTGAACAATGTTTGGAAAGTACATCAAAACTCACTCATAAAATATCCATTTTTTTACATTCTATTCAAAGGGTAACAAGAAGTGTTAATCAAATACACTGCAGGGCCGAATTGCTCTATTTTATTTTGTGTCACCTATTTGTGACTTGCCAGAGCAAGCTATAGAGGCTTTGTTGAGGGTCCATTGAGGAGCTGGAAGGAGCTCAGAAGGAAGGTAAACTGGCGGCAATCCCAGTGTCAAGGTATGTTGGAATGGACCACACTGCACTTGTGGTCTTCAAACCAAAATAATATACTGTAATTCTCCCCTACCCTACTAACCCACTCCCCACACCCCGCAATGCCATTCTTTATATACATGCAGCGTGTGCTATTCTCCACAATACATATAGGGTGTCCTATTCAATTTTCTATATACTGTTACACTATATTGGGGTATAATTAGAATAACATATTTTCAGTATATCTTTAAAATGGGATTTTCCATTATTATAAAAATGTTGTTTAGAGAATGACCATTGCAGACAAGCTGGACTGTACTATAGACTGTAAGTACTCGGCATGTTGGGGTTCTCCCCAGCACGGTATTAAAGACATTCCTTTCTTTACACAGCACTTCCCCAGGTCTGGAGGATGGGCAAGGTGGCAACATTATTAAAGCGGCTTCACCATGTTCTATGTCTATTGCAGCCACACATTCATAGAACATCGGCTGCTTTATTTTCTGTTTGCCCGTTGTCTATATCAAAATTACCAATAGTAGCAAACAAGATAGTAAAAAAAAATGTACTGGTGAGAGGAGTCGCATAGTCAAAGTGATTACTGGTCTAAATGCTAGTGGAATCCTTAGATCAGTGTGTTTTACCGGTGATTACTGGTCAATGAAATCCTTTGATTCCAATGAATATCAATTAATCCGTGGGTCAGTTTGATTTCCCGTCAGTCCAATTTTTGGGTTGGTGAGACTCCTGGTCCATGAGAAGTATTAGGTCAGCGTGATTATTAGTGATGGGAGGCCACAACACCCCTTCCTTTCCACCATATCTGGGGAAACCATAACCCTATATGTCCATTAATCACATTGTATAACAGTGAATATGTGGTCCGTATTGAGTATGCAGTGAAACTTCTTACCTGTATGAGGACATGTTCCCATTCCAGTGAAGAATTGTTAGGATTTCATAATACCAGCATTCAGAATTAACTCTTCCTTATTTCCAGGTTGTTACTCTATCTCTCAATGAAAGTGTCATATTGTGATATCTTTTATAAAAACTGTTTATTGTGATATGATCTGTATGAATGTTTCCTATCTGCTGTTTAACTTTGTGTGCATTGCACACTGAATCAGTTTGAGACTTAAGAAAATGTTGTGCTTTGTCATGTTGATTGCCTTGCACTGAAGGTGTTCACTTCACTGAAAACTTCATGCATCTGAACATTGTGATTTGAACACAGCCATAGACTCATAATGTGAATCATCATGTCTGAGCAATACGAACAACGTGAGCTCTGAGATTTTTAGTGCAGCAGGTATGGGCTCACTGAATTGCAGCCATCTCGCTCTGTCACATTGCTGCATCACCCACATATGACACAAAGCACTTGGTAGCATTTCCTCAGCATCATCAAAGTAAGTCAGTCACCAGCCAGCCTCCCCCAAATTCAGAAAAGAGATCATCCAGAAAGACTTTAAAATTAAAGATTAAAATTCATGAGAGCAAATCATCCTTTGGTGAGGTGCTATACCTGGGTCACCCTTTTGCAGATCTATATTGTGAATTTGATGAAGAGATAAGGCAGACCTAAGTGAAGGACAAATATGAGGGGAAACTGAATGAGAGACATCAGTGCTGGAGAAAGGGAGCTTTCGTGCACCTACAAGTTGCAGAGCAGCATTGGCATAGATTTAAAAGTCATTTGAATGAATCTGACAGGGCAATGGTGAACATGTACTGGGCAACCGTGAACATGGACTGAGCAATGGTGATGGATAGGATGGGGGGTGGGTAAGCAAACAACATCAGATTCCAGACGCACAGGACAAAGAGAATGAGATCAAAGGACACAGTAGCTAAACATGTGGACACAGCAAGTGTCTTTCTCTAAAATGCATGTAGTCCCATAGAAGTAAATATTAATCATAAACAGAGATGAAATAAGATGGCGGTGACCAGGGTTACTGTTGAACAGCATTGTCCGCCGCTCACACTGACTCTGATGATTGATCTCCGTGGAATATGTTAGTGCAGGCACACAGAGAGGAGTCACAACATGGGTGGCCACCTGCAGTGAAGAGTCTACACTATGCAACTAACTTTTCCAGAATGTGAAGGTGTATGATTTTTCAGTGATGTGGAACCAGGTGCACGAGGCTTGCTCGTACGAAATGCTCTTGACATTACACCTGGAGGAGGGGGATAAGTCACACAGTTACTCCTCACATTCGGGCCAGTACGAGATGGATCAGAAGTGGTGCATGAACAGACCTGACAGTCCTGACATTTAAGGTGCAAAACCTTCTGATCATAGCTTACTGATTTCCCATCACTTTGGGAAGACTTTCTAAGAATCCCTGATGGAGTTTCAGTCGGAGGGTTTCGTACGGGTTATTCGATCGATGAGGTTATTTTTTAACATGTCTCTGTCTTGTACTAACCCTAGTTCCCCTGTCTCTGGCTGTACTAGTACTCCCATTTTCAACACTTGCATGTCTGAGCGCATGGCTGATCTCACCCCCTCCCCCACCTTCTCGAACCCTGACTCCGACATCACTGAGCTCGCAGACGAGCAGCATGATGGGGAGGAAGAGGAGGTGGAGGATGAGGAGGAGGAGGAGGAGGAGCTGGACGATGAAATCTTTCTGGATGATCCCTTTTCTGACCTGGGGGGAGACGAAGGGTACTACATCCACCATGATGGCCAGGACCCGTTTTACGACCGCTCACCCTGGTTCAGTTTAGTGGGAAGGTTGGTGAGGTTTCCAGAGCGTGAAGGGAAGGGACTAGCTCTTTCAGACCCCAAATTGTAATGTCACACACTGGCTAACCAAGGCGTTAGCCATTATTGCAAAACGTGCTGTAAAGCACAGGCCAGACATCAAGGCCTGGTTGCAGGTTTACAGTGAGGCAGTTAGTGTTTAAGATCAGACCTGAGTCTGAATTGTACAAAGAAAGAGTTTATGTACTTCTAAAATAACTGAAAATAGGTAAAAGCTGGAAATAGAAGCTGATAACCTAAGGATAATACAATACAATTTGAATTGATATAGTGTCTTGCATGGCAGGAGGACGTCTCAAAGCAATCAAAGCGTAGGAACGGAGGGATGGGTGGGCGGAGGGTGGGGTTTCTGGCTAGATTTGCTGAATATCTAGCCAGATATGTGGTACACGACCAACAAGAAAACTAAATCTTTGCCCCTGCTAGCTGACACAGACATTTTTTAAATTTCATGATAATACTTATATCAGGATTGCTGTAAGTGTGGATTCCACTGTATATTTTCAGATTACTGAGAAAGATCTGTCTTATAGAAGGATTCTCGGGATGTCTGAGGGGTGAGCACTGAGTGACTGAAGTTAATGCTCACTTTTAAAATCTTTTTCTAAAAGAATGCATCTTCAAGAATCCTGCTTTCATACTCCATATCACTAAATGATTTTTTTGTGTGGGGGAGAGAAGATTATTCGACACCCAGCTGATCAAACAAAAATATTCTATATCACGAAAGGAATTGAAATCTTGAGCTATAAGAAAGCATCACCATGCGGCAGTAAAGACTCTTCTGTGTTGATTTCCTATTGCTTGCAGAAAGTTTTCAGTTTGCGCAGTGCAAGGAGCAGGCAATGAGCGCGTCGAGAAAGCCTGAGCTCCTGCTTAGAACTCAGCAGTAAATATATTAAACCAGACACTAAGTATAAATTAAGCAGGCTCCACCTTAGATATCTGCTCTATTTAGTACAATGAAGTAAATGTCGTAACATACAGTAAATGGTAATAACCTCCAGGGACGTGGGTCAGTTCCAGATACTTGATACAGAGTTCTTCTCTCTGATGTGGATTGAGTGATGAATTGAGGCAATCACTGTCATTTCACCTTTGGACTTGAGTCAAATTTGGCAAGAATGTAGGGATGATAGGGCTTCTGTCTCTGTGAAGGATACAAGATGAAACGTCTATTTAAAATGTTGTCCTATTTAAAGTGTTGGGACTTCGTATCGAATCTAGATTATAAATGAACCATGTTCTCACTAGTAGAATAATCAGAGCAGCATTTTAACCTGTTTGTGGCTGTGCTGAAGGAAGCTGCTCACTGCACACTTTCAACAACAGTTTTGAGCCTTGCAGTATGTATGGAAGTAAATATTTCAAACATTTTATGTGTGTTTATGTATAGTTGTATAGTATCTTGAGGGCTAATTTGGGTCTCACTGCAGTAGTTGGATGCTTTGAGCAGTTCATACCACATTGATACCTGCTTGAAGTTTAAACTCAGATCTTTCTTCACAGCTTTGATGACTTACTTTCTCCCAATGAAAGAGCTTGTCCCTTGCCAGCTCATCTCAATAGGGCATGCCAGGGCATCTCATTAGGACATGCCAGGGCATCTCATTAGGGCATGTCAGGGCATCTCAGTTTCCAAATGCGTTACAACCTGTAGCAATGTAATGGAATTGGCTACCACTACACAGCGGCTTTGAAGAAACAACAAAAAATAGAAATGCAGATGCACACAAGTGCCACCTTTTTGAAACCAGATGTGCCACTATTGTACCGTTTGCTGTTATGACCTTCTGTTAATTCTGTTGGCACTGCAGTGGAAGCTGGCTCTGCCGTTTTTAAAGCTTAGCCGGTGGATTGACGTTCTTTATGTTCTTTATTTGTGTGTTGAAAGCTTTGTGTTCTGAGCATGCCATCTTTGCACCTCACCAATCTTATTGCCAGTTTCCACACCCATTGGGCACCAGTCAATTCAGTCTGCTTCAAGTGTGTCACTGTGCCTGGAATGTCTCTGTGATGGTCATGTGATTCATGGTGTGGCATGTCAGCCTTGTTCATCTTGATCCAGTACAAGCTGAATCGATTTAAACTGGGCACTATCAGCTCCTCTGGAGAGGGGTCTTGTGGCTCAATAAACTGTGTTTTGTTTTCTTAAGAAACGTATTTAGTGAAGCATGTGTTTAACTGTCACACGTCTTCAGAGGGTAGTGGAGCAGAACAGCAGTATTAACGGAACTGCCATGTTTCAAGTAGAAGTATTTAAAATTATCTTTTAATATTCCATAAATAAGATGACACTTTTCTCTCCACTTCACAATGCTTTAAGTTATAAATAACATGACTTATCACTCCTTTAAAGATTGTTAATGATATCAGCATGTTTCCTCTGGTTTGCATTCCTCAGTGTGCATCACAGATTTAGCACCATTGAGCAACCATTTAGCTTTGTTGCCTGGAAAATACTGAAATGGAAAGGAAAAGTGCTCAGGAATCATATACTTTGATCTCACTACAGCTTGGAATATGGATACAGATAACTAGGAAACATTTAGAGACTGCAAATGTTGAACCCTTTGGTTAAGAGGATCACATATGAATCATGACTCCAATGCTCATGACTCTTCTAATAAATATATGAATCCAATTCATTATTTGTAATCACTTGTCCCAGAAGAGTAAAATTATTTTGAGAGAAAAAATTAACCACTTGTTCCTTCAACATTGGCCTGATTTGCAGTTTGATTTATGCTAATCACAGTGTTCAGGGATTATTATTATTACATTCAGAGGTGCCAGTGATCAGTTTGTACCCAGATCAAGCTCTCTTTGTGTAAATGAAGATGAGAATGGTTAAAATTCATTCCAAATGAATGTAAAGTTGTGATCGAACCATATACCACTTTTCATTTCTTCCGTATTTCATGAAAAAAATCTTGCGTTCCAAGACCGAGGCTCTCTTTGTTATTGAGCATGCCTGAAGTCTCTCATGGATCCACCTTACTTCTGTGAAAAGGTCAGGTATTTTCATCTGTTCAGTAACATCAATGGTAAGCTTACTGCTGAGACACACTGAAGATTGCAGTGCCATTTTTACCATATTGTTAACTTTGACATAAGCGTTGAAGGTTCCTGGTTTATACCGACTAGTTGACACTGTGACCTGTTCAATAGGTGTTATTTTGATCAGTGTGGAAGTTTCCAGGGTCAAATACTAACGACTTGGGGATGTTAATATTCTGACTATGATCTTTGGAGTGTACCAAAATACTGCGGTACTTGACTTCTGTCATTCAATGGCAGTCTTGTTGCTGTATCTCCCTGAGAGTTATCAGTGATATAGCCAGTACTGCAGCATTATACAAGTAAAGAGATGGAGGATATGAATTGGAATGATCAAGTCTCAGATTAGTAAACCTATTGTATTTTTCCACTCTGATCAGCAAAGTGACTTAGAGTTCAAGCCTATCAGTCCTTCAGCACTATACTGAACTACTGTGGCTCTGACCCTGGGCAGAGACTTGTATGTATCTGGGAACAGTTAATCGTGTTTCTGTCCACACAAGATGCATTTCACACAGAACATTTTGAGATACGAGGTCTTCACGGGTAAAAGAGGGATGTGCAAAAGGTTTGGATCTGACAGCCCTTTTATTGTTTTGGCCTTGAATATTATATCCCATGGCTTCTTGCTTGCAAGGAAGTAACACGAGACCGTTCTGGTGTCTGTTTCTTCAGATGAATGTAATTCCACCTTGTGTGCAGGACCATGGTATTTGGCCAAGACACTAAGAACTAATTTGAACTTTCATCAATGGTCCCGTTTTCAATGTTGCAGATATAATGCCGAGAGTTAAATCTAAATCTGTACTAAACCTGTGAAAGAATAACATTAACTAGTTTGACCTATTAACCTAAGGATTACAAAACAACAATATGAAGCAATTGAATACTTTTTAAAATAAGAATTGTAAGTTTTCATTATTTGCTCACATAAAAATACCCCCATGAAATCCTCTGCCTTGCTGCGTCCTTGAGACACGCAGTTAGTAACACAGAATTCTATCAACGCTATAGGGGTGAGGGTGATTCCAATCCCTGCCTTTGATGCAGAGTATTCTTGGAAGGATAAGGACATAAATTATTGGAGCAAAGCCATTATTGTAGCTAGTATCCAGAAAATATTATTTAAAAGCAAGCTATAAAGTTGCGTAGCACACACAGCAGACAGTGAACTCGCCTTTCCCACAGCACAGGATGAAGTAGAAGTGATAGTGTGTTCGCCTCCCTCCCCACTGCCACCATGGATTAGTGAGGAAGTTCAGCGGTACAGGATATACTGAGAGGCACCAGCAAAGTTTTAATTTGTGACTAAGTTGAATTCATCAGAAGTTTCGCCTTCACAAGTAACAACGTCTATTGTTTTTGGAAGATTTATGACTTTGAAAATTGCAACTGGATGTTTAGCCCATCGCAATGTCATTTCCTCTTGAAGCAGACTGAATCCACAGGATCCAGTATGGTTGCTTGTACTTAACGCTCTTGAATATTTTTTCTTTGTGTTTCTTATTACGGATAATTTTTGTCCACAAATTTTGCTCGATTGCAAAGCGGCAGTGATCTTCCTCTCCCTCTCCTCGCTGATTGTGACTTGTTGCTGAATCCAGTCTTTAGCTGTATATGTGTGTGCGCGTGCTTGCGATTGTCCACGGTCGATGTCACTTGGCTGGCTGTGGCTGGCTTTTGATGCTGATTTGTTTTCTGCTCTGCTTCCTGGCATTGTGGCTTGATGTGTCTATTGGATGAAGATTATAGGTGGTTCTACTTTGACAGCTCAGGGACGTATTCTTGTTGCCCTTTCCTCCTTCCCCATGTCAGTTTGCAAACTCAGTTTGGGCCTGAAATCCATTCCTTTATCAGTCAGGCTGCATACTCAGCAAATTCAGTGGCCTGTGCAAAATAGCCAGTCACAAAACTGATTTTTCGATGATCTATCGCCAATTATTGTAGATTTCACTGATAGGAATAATTTTCACATGTTCTAAGTCCAATGGGTTGAGAAATTTCTTTTGTTATCAGACAGACTTTTATAAAGTCTGAAAAAAAACTTAGTAGGAACATAATCCTTAAACTTGCTTTGCAATTTTAACTTGCTCTGAATCCAGTGATCTACACCACTAATGTTTATGGCATTTCCAGAGGAGCACAGAGAAATGCTGTGTTAAGTTTTATGCCATTGAGGCTTCAGATCCTTGAAATGATCTTCCGAGTGAATGTTGCTACTACATTTCTTCTGTTCTACAGACTCGCTCCAAGATGTCCTTTAGCACTTCATTCTGTACCACATAGCTTGTGGATTTATTTTGGACTAATAAATAGTTTGTTGCAGGAATAAATCTAAATATTCCAAAATTATCAAAGCTCACTAGTACAGTAATACCAATGTAGGAGCCAGACATGAGGGTAAACACCAAATCCTGTATGCAATATTAATTTTCTATGACAATGAGACAGACGTATCTCAGAAACTAAAAGCAATTTCTCTCTCAGTTTGTATGAAGATAATAGAGATGTTGCTTGGAGGTAAACTGTACCTCACTTGCCCAGAGTATCCAGAAGCATTTCCAGCACAGCAGAGTGAGATGTTTTGTCCAGTTTTAGGTCATTGAGACCGCAGGACATTGAAACAGGCACCTGAATGAATATCAATTGAGGTGCTTCTATTATTCTTCTGCTCTCCAGAATACTACTGTGCTACTGTACTAATTGTGGACCTCTTTTTGATTGGGATATTGAGTAGAAGTATGATCCATTTCCAGTTATTTTATTTCTGCACTACTAGATTATCATTCAGTTTTGTTCAGCTAATGGCTGCTGGCTTCAATGCAGACTCCTTCACTCGGGAAGCAGGGCAAACCAGCTCAGTGTCTTCTCTAGTCAGGACTGTGATCTCTTTGTGACTTGGTATTAATACCACTTCAAAAATATATTGCATGTGCAGTTTCTGTAGACCAGGACAAGTCCCATTTAGCAATTCCTACACTCAATGAATGAGAGCCCAAAGTGACTGCAAATTGTTGACTCTGATGATGAGCAAATATTATCTATTGATATAGACTTCTCCCAACTCTCACAATTAGGTTCAATGGATTTATGTGTTGCACACAATTGTGACTTAGCATTTCATCTGTAAGTTTCAAAATGAATGTCGTTGTGCCTGTGATGTCCGGCCAGCCTATGCACTTGATATGTCTAATCCAAAGTTGCTTTATAGCTGATTGTATCATGCAATGTCAATCCAGAATTGGGCCAATGTTTGTGCCCACCATCAGTGTCGATGGTTTCCATCCTTCAGAATTCTCTTCTCAAATCTCCCCACTTCACCCCCGCCCTTTCAGCTTTGAACACCTGTCCTAAAACTGTCTTTTTGACTACATGTTTGGTCACCTCCTCCCTACCCATCCTGTCTCTTTCCCATCTGGGGGTCCTTTGTAAAGCTGATTGAGAGGCGCTATAAATTCAAATTGTAGTTGTCCTTTTGAGGCGATCTAGCTGGTCAGAAAATAATAAGGGCACTAGGCTGGCATTGGAAGTTCCAATACTCCATCTACAGATGTTGTCTGCCTCTATCCTTTGCTCAATGTAAAATGGCACTGAATAAATTAATTAGATGAAGTTGCCCAACCACTATGTACACTTGGTTTTGTTTTGTACGATTCTGTCAGTTTAGTTGATGTCGATAAACATATCTGCCACTTTTCTACAAGCTTTGGACAAGATTCTGTTCCCACTGTGCTGCACACGTACCATGATGTTATTGGAAACATTTTCATTTCCATTTTATCTTCTTCCCCATTTTCCATTTCACTGTTCTTGAACTTTGCTACCAAAGATCCTCCTTTCGTTGGTAAGCTGCGAACACCGATGCCTATACCAATACCTCAATCATGGCCAATGGCAGTATATAGTTGCTAAGTGGCAGAATGTTGCGCACCATTGATCTCTCACAATCCTCTTTCCTAGAAACAATCAGCACTCTGGATTACTATTCTAAAGCTAGCCTACCTGAGTTAAGAAAAGTTAAACAGCAAGAAGACCTGGAATTAAAAAGCTGTCAATGCAGCCCAGGTGCAATTTCTCTATCCTTCTTGAACCTTAGTTAGTAACTTAGATAATTTGCAAATTTGCAGTTTCAACCCTTTCTACTGACGAAAAAGACCTAAATGCTGAATTGGCTCAAAGACCATGTAACCCATCAAATGCACTCCTTCCACACCCCATTACATTCCTTTCATCTGAAACAACACAAAAGTAACAAAAACGTTTGCAAAGCGCTCTGGGACGCTATATGAATGCAATTGTTGCTGTTATTTAAATTAAAGCAATATTTTGCTTTTACTGAAAATAGTGGCTAAATAATCGTGTCAAATCCAAACCTGTTTTCTGGCACATCTGACAATCCCAATGAATAGTGTTATCCAGAATTTTCCACTTACCCTATCAAGTTATGAAGGAAATCAATATACTGTGCAGTCAGTATGTTTCCTATGTGATCCAGCTGTGAAGTCCCTGAGCCATTGAGACACTGTAGAACCACCTTTGTCTTGGAAATGATGTAGACAGTTTGGTTGATGTGTTTGTGTTTGTCTTTCCAGAGCATTTGTTTATCTCAGTAACCTGCTCTACCCAGTGCCACTGGTGCATCGTGTGGCCATAGTCAGTGAAAAAGGCGAGGTGAAAGGATTTCTACGTGTGGCTGTTCAGGCCATTTCTGGTATGTATATCTCACTAATGAGAGCAGAGGCATACATGCAGGCTGCAAGAGCTTTGGGTTGCAAACTACTTCTGTGATGTGGGTTCAAATCCATGTCAGGTTGATAAAATAATTGTATTTTCTACCTTCTAATTGTAAGGATCCTTTTACTGCATAGATATTAGTTGAGCATGATGTAATGTGTTATATGGTTAAATAACCTATAGATGTTCCCAGGTGAAGATTGGCCATTTAGATAATTGTATAATGATTTACTACTTTGAGGAATATGGAAAGGAAATTCATCATTGATGAGGGGAATGCCAGAATTAGTTGTCATTGAGCAACAATTTTGAGCGTACAAAGGAGATTAATCTCAACTAGATTTAATGACAAAAAAGGTTGATTCTATGGAGTCAGCAGGGGACATATTGAATGATGCTAAAAGTGAAACAAGTTTGCAATGCTCAATGCAATGCTTTTTTTTACTCAATAATATTGTTGTACAGCGCCTTGGGACGTCCTCCCGATGTGAAAGGCGCTCAATAAATGGAATCTTGTTGTTGTTGTTGTTGACTGTTTCTATGGCATTTTCTTAAGCTGATGAGGAGGCACCAGATTATGGCTCTGGAGTCCGTCAGTCAGGAACAGCCAAGATCTCGTTTGATGACCAGCACTTTGAAAAGGTAATTCTATTCACCAGCATTCTCCTTCCTTCACATGGTTATTGATATAAAGGAGAGAAAGTTATACAAATAATGCAAAATAAAAATTCACAATTGTACACATACCTCAAATATTACAATGACATCTGAGATGCTATCGGTTGATGAGCTTTTCTTAAAATAAAGATTCTAGTTCAAATTGGATTGAAGTTTTTTTGGAATTAGTATCAACTGAAGTGATGAAATCCAAAGTTCTTGGGCTGTTAGGGTCTTGGTGAGGGAGAGAATCCTATTTGTGGAAAACGGCAGGTCAGTGCTGAATTGTTTGGGAATAAGTGAATGTCTACGAGGAATCGAGTAATGTTTATAATAATAAATAATAATCTTTGCCTTTGATGTTGCACTTTTCACTTGGGCTAGGGTGGGGAGGTAGTCATCTCAAACTCTACACAGGACTCACTGTAACATTGTCTAAAGAGTTTCACAGGATTCATTGTAAGGTGCCTGTAAGGGTAATCAATTTATACACAGCAATGCCCCACAAACAGCCATAAAGTGAATGACTAATTTTATTTTATTTAGGAGATTGAATAGATGGGGTAGAATCAGGGTAAATTAGGTTCAGTTACACGAGGTAAGGGAGTTCTGATAGTGTCATACTCAGATATTGATCTATTTTTTTCTTTGAGGTTCTGATTAATATTTGCTGTGTATTACAAGCTTTACTGCTCTGATTGGAGATTTGAGGTTGTTTGGAATGACGTTGTGAACATTTCCAATATGTCAGTTTCAGTCGGATTGCTGCCCTGCCGTTATGTCTCGCTCCGGAACATCACAGGAAGAGCTACGTTTTGTTGAAGGACAAGGTCAGTCAAGCGATTCTGGCCCCTCAGCGGATGAAGTGAATAACAACACATGTATAGGTACACAGTGCTTATTTTGTTACACCTCTTAAAAAAATTTACAAGTAAAAGCTGATTTGGATGATTTGTGATGCTGCTTAGGAGTCCTCCAGGCAAAGAACACAGATATTCATGGAGTCCCCAAGCATTGACTCTTGCCAACCTGGGGATAATACTCTTCGGAATTAGGTGTGCAGGATGGATCCCTCCAGGTAGAGAGTGTGCATTCCATTCCAATACATGGGCATTTCCATATGTAGGTGGGATGGAAGATCCCAGGATTGCGATCTGTGCTCAGTTCAGTGATCTGAGGCAGAGTTGGTGATGGAAAATTACAGTCTGCTTCAATACCTGGGGCCAGGTTTCCTGATTTCTGAAATGACACATTGTGTTAGTGTACCATCATACCCGACTAGACTATAAGAGGGCATAGACAGGTGGCTGTGATTCTCCACACAATGAGCCTCGGGTGACATTGTCAGGGGAAGATACTGGGCACAGCTATGTTGCTTTTTTCATTTATAGCAGGTGGAAATAGAAACAGAGAAGAACGGGCAGTCATGGGAGGAGGTCATACGCTGAAAACAGACGTGAAGAATTGGGGGGGAAACTAAAACTGAGGAATCATTTTTATTAAAGAAATGCACTGAGGAATTCAGGTTCAAATTTAGATTTTAAGGATTTGAGGTGGTTCATTTTTATTCCGGGTGTACATTCACACGGCTGGGTGGTTCGGAAGAATGATAAATTAGAAGAGCAGTTTGACTAACTGTCCATGGTTTCTGTACACTTCACAGCTACCCAGGAGGAGCTCGAGAGCCCTATCAAGTCACCGGGAGAATTGCAGATGGATGGAATTGTAGAACACCTCAGGATCGGCAGTCATTTCACCTTCAGAGTCACAGTTCTGCAAGCGTCCAGTATCTCAGCTGAATATGCTGATATTTTCTGTCAGTTCAAGTAAGTCTCTAGAATATAGAAGAATTAGAGAGAATCTTATAGAAACCTATAAGATCATCAAAGGGCATGATAGAGTAGATAGTGGGAGATTGTTTCCCCTATTCTCTAGAATATAGAAGAATTAGAGAGAATCTTATAGAAACCTATAAGATCATCAAAGGGCATGATAGAGTAGATAGTGGGAGATTGTTTCCCCTATTCTCTAGAATATAGAAGAATTAGAGGGAATCTTATAGAAACCTATAAGATCATCAAAGGGCATGATAGAGTAGATAGTGGGAGATTGTTTCCCCTGTTTGGAGAAACTAAAACCTAGGATCACAACCTTAAAATCAGAGGCCAGCCCTTTCGCACTGAGTTGAGGAAGAACTTCTTCACTCAAAGGCTCGTGAATGTATGGAACTCACTACCCCAAAGGGCTGTTGACGCTCAGTCCTTGAACATATTCAAGACTGAGATAGATATATTTCTTATTGCAAAAGGGATTAAGGGATATGGGGATAAGCAGGGTCAGGTTATTAGCTGGAGTTAGATTAGAAGATCAGTCATGATTGAATGGCGGGGCAGGCTCGAAGGGCCGAATCGCCTACTCCTGCTCCTACATGTTATGTTAAGTCAAAAGATCTACTTAAACATAGAAATGTAATTGGGTAGTAGAGATATTAAGGGATATGATGCAAGGTCAAGGCATTAGAATTAAAAGATCTGCCAAGAATAACAAATTGTCAAAACAGGCTTGATGAACTAAATGGCCTCTTTTGTTCCCTTTTTCCTATGTTTCCTAAAGTTGGTGCCTAAGGTTGCTTTGGGCCAACAATGCTATCCTGTGTCCAGCTGCAGGAAATACTGCTGCAGAGGTCTGAGTAAGAAATATTATTGTCTTTTACAGCTTCATTCATCGCCAGGAAGAAGCCTTTTCAACAGAGCCACTGAAAAATACTGGCCGGGGTCCCCCACTTGGCTTCTACCACGTGCAGAACGTGAGTGTCGCACCCACTGATACAACTGGAAGAAAACAGCAACAACTTAAGTCAGAAGTGTACTCGCCTTGAGCGGGATTGTAACTAGGAGTGTGCCAAAATGCTGATGGAAGTGCTGTGAATTTCCATCATTTCTGCAATGTTTTCTTTACTCATTACAAAAAATTACAAAGAAGTTCAAAGAATGCACAGCAAAGAAACAGGCGCTCGGGCCAACCAGTCTGTGTCGGTGTTTATACTTAACAGGAGTCTCCACCCCTTGCTTACTCCCTCCCATACCCTTCCTCTCTCCCTCATGTGAAGGTCTAGCTTCCCATTGAATGCATCTGCACTATCTGATTCAACCACTGCTTCAGGCAGCAATAGACGTTGGCCAAATATTGTTTTTTTTTAAAATCAGGTCTACCTTGTTTTTTNACAACATAATTGAATTAGCAGGCTATTAACTGAATTCTACCAGTTACAGTAGAAATGAGGTCTCCAAAAGCAGCACCAATACCACAGTTGTGTTTAAAGTGGAAACAGACAACGAGTCCTGAGAACGTAGGGTAATGAATGACTGGAACAGGTTACTAGGAAGGGTGGTTGAGACCAAGATACTGGACTAATTTTTAAAAAAAACTTATGCTGTAATGGGAGCAAGTTAGAATGAGTATTTTGGAAGGATGAGATCAAGTGAACCTAAGGGCCTTCTTCATCTGAACCTCTGTTATGATCCTGTACAGTTTGTCTAACAATATATTTCTTTGAGCTCAGTAATTGCCTTTCTTTTTACAGGTTGCCGTGGAGGTGACAAAATCCTTTATTGAGTACATCAAGACCCAACCGATTGTCTTTGAGGTGTTTGGACACTATCAGCAACACCCATTTCCACCACTCTGCAAAGATCTCTTTAGGTAAATCTACCCGATGCATCCTCTCAGCGTTATTCAATGTAATGATGAGCGCTTTCTGAATCCTTTGCAAGAAAGATCTGTTATTGGTGTCCTTTATAAATATATTTCCCTTTCTGTTCCCAGCTCTCTCAGACCGTCCCGCAGACAATTTCCCCGAGTCATGCCTCTGTCTAAACCAGGTGAGAGGATGAAAGTTTTGTGTAATTGAGATCAAATTCTTTAATTTTACCCTCTGTGTACATCATGAAAAACTAAGTTAATTCCTGACTTAATGGGTACATTTACTGTTACACATTGTGTTATTAAGTCCCAGATTCAACCCTAGTCTGTAGTAATGTAGCTGGATCCTATCCCTAATCACTGCCCGGTGATCCCCTGTTAGTACGTCCATGTGGGAATCAGGATCAGACTTAGCTGTGATGCCACATTACAGTTGAGAAACCTATGCACTCTGGGTCTATATGGACACAGGAAGAATGGTGGCTCGGTCAAGGTACTAGAGAGCTACTGGGTCTGTAGAACAAATTGTGCAGCACACAGCATTGCTGTCAGGAGAACATGGACAAGAAGGACATGTGGAATGGTTTAAACCAAGGAAGATTAATGTCATCGGGTTATGCTATGTGATTCTGAGGGTGAAGAATCGCTTTGCTAGAGCAGGTCAGGCTAAACAAATTTTGGATACAAATTTTGGATACAAGACCCCTCTTCTAAATTACCCTCTATCCCTCCTCTAGGAGACTGACCATCAGCTATTTCACCCTTTTCCAGTTTGTTCCATTGGTTATTATTTGGAATTGAATATTAACAGAAAGACCAGCGTTTATCAGATACCGAGATGCTCACAATTAGTCCAAGATTTTAATCTATGAATAATTATTGGTTATTGATTTTACTTCATATTTAAGTGATTATCCTATCATTTTACTTTAGAGCATGAGGGCTTTATATTTTTCTTGAGGTTTGTTTTGTGTTTCTTGTGAAACTAAAAATTAGCTGAATGTTTACAGCGCATACAGAAATAATTGCTTTTGGCATCATCTAATATGATTTTAATATCTTTACTTTATTGCTATGTTTTGTTCCCTCCCCACCCCACAGAGAACGAGAGAGCGCTCGTATTGATTAAGTATCTGGTGCCAGATGCGTTGAATATCCCGCTCCTGGACTCCCTATCCATGCGTGCTGTGTCTGCTGCTCATGTAGCGGCCTCTTATCTGACAGAGGAGGAGTCTAGCACCCCCTTGCCCCTACCCTCTGTCGCTTGTGCTGTTAGAAAAGCTCAGATGCATGGTTTGTAGTGTGCAGTCATGAAACCTCTCCTTGATTGGGTTCTTCACCTCCAATCCCTGTATGATTACAAAAACAATAATAAAATTGGTCATTTTCAGTCCACGACTGTTTGTGGGACACTGCTAGAAGACGTGAAAAGCGCTGCATCAAATGCAAGGATTATTATTATTATTTTTATTATGATGAGGCAGTTCACAATGGTACTGTCTAAATAAGGTGGGTGTGGTGGAGGATAGAAGCCTTGAGACGGTCATAGTGTTTCTGCTGTATTATTCCTTAATTCTTCTCTCCATCGCTGAATTGGAGCACCTTTTTGAACTATTATGTTTTGTTGGTACTTCCCATCAATCAATTGGCCTTTCCAGCCAAATCCAATGCCATGAGTGATTATGCAAAGTGTAAATTCTCTGTTTGTTCTGCCCCTGGTGAAGAACCCAACCCTGAACTGTATCTTTTGTAATGCAGTGGTGTTTCGCTGTGCAGCCCTGTGTCCTTATCTCTTTACTCAGCAGCAGAAACAATAATGGATCAGGGTGTAATCTTTACCGTAGATGGCTTGAAGAGGCGAGGAGCTTTCTAGTCCTCTCCAAATCATGACAATCTAATTGAATCATAAGTTTTGTTTTCTCCTGATTTTTTTCCAGTCTCGGAGACATTCCTTCCAGATATATGTAGAATCAAGTGGTGACAGTTATCAACAGTAGCAATGTTACAGAACCTGATACCAGGACGTGCAGTTCCTTGTTAGAATACCAGACTGGTAGCAGAATTACAATATTTATTGCTCACAGTAGTACAGTATTTGCTTTTTTAAGCAGTTTGGTGAAGAACAGCGCAACTCATTTCTGCAATTCAACCATGCCTTAAACGGTTTGAATTGGATTATGTATATTTCTCTCGATAATTTTAGTTGTGTGTCAAACATGTCACAGAACTGCTGGCATTTTAGTCAATTGTGCCCTGATAGTGGCATGTTGATTGCCAACAATAACAGTCTTTTTGTTGTTTTATTATTTTAATGAGTCAGTCAGTCAATTAGTTAGATATAGAGCTCATAGTCTAAGTTAACCATCCATGGTAGAGTTGGGGGAGCGCTGCATTATTCACAGGTAAGAAGTTAAACCGGTCCTGTCTGTCTGTCAGGTGAACATCAAAGGTACCTTAGGACTATTCAAAAAGTCAAAAAAGTTCAGCTTTTTTTTTAAAAAAGTGAAGTTTTGTTGTTCAAAACACATTTCTTGTGAAAAAAATGTAAAGCATGTTGTTTAAGGAAGACTGAAGTGTTCAGTTAAAACAAAACCTGCATGAAACAATGAAGGACTTGCCCTTAAAGAGACAGAATAAATTGGAACTGCCCTGATCCTTTCTTTATTGTCTGGGATTGTTGTTTCTACAGTTGTATCACCCCTGTGTTCTTTCTCTCTACTTTTTCCTTTGTTTTGTTTAGTAAATATAAAAATGCCTAATTAATATTTGTACCAGTCTCCCATGTCAGCACAAGCAATCATTTGTCTCCTGTTCCACAGTGTATCTGCTCCTTTCAATAATGATTAAATACAGACTGGACAATGCTAAAATGGATAATCTCAGTCAGAATTAGGATAGGTACAGATAGTATTAGGACCCATGGGTTAGGGAGAGGCAAAATAAATCAGTTTCCAAACTAGTTCTAGTCATAATCATTGGAACCACCAAACATACAAGTCAATATTTGGAAGGGCATCAAATTGGAGGGGTAAAGTAAATCAATTAGATTCCTTAAGAGCATGACTCATTCCTAGAAACATTGGAAAAGCTATAATGCATGTCATTTCTGAATTCAAATAGATAAAACTGCCAGTTTTTCCTATGCAATGTTAAATGAGATGGGTAATGATGGAAATTAAGATTACCCTGATCTAGTCATTACATTTATACTCAATTGCCAAGGATGGTGACTGATAGTCTCTTGTGTTTACAGTCCCAGCTACAAAGTTGAATACCATGAGACGACCTACTGTAGGACAATGCCAGTGCAAATATGACCTGCTAGTCTTCTTCGAGATCTGTGAACTTGAAGCTACTGGAGAGTAAGTACCATGAGGCAGAATACGACGGCTTTGAAACTCACCCAAGACTATCCCATATCTGCTGATAGAAAGCCATTCATGACTTGTATAGTCCAAGGTGAACCAAGCCAAGTTAAGCTCCCTTTTAATAAACCTTGTTAAGCTTCCTATTCAAAAGCAGTTGGTCCATTGGCGTATGCTTGAAGCCAAGCTGCTCTGGGAATCAGACATGAGACCTTTTGTAAGGTCAAGTTACTGATTCTGAATGACAAAACTTCCCTTTCTTTCCACAGGTACATTCCTTCTGTTGTTGACCACAGAAGTGGTATGCCATGTCATGGGATATTCCTATTACACCAGGTAATACCATTTAGCCAATATCAATCATGTTCAATAAAAGCTGATGTAGAGGTATCCAATTATTTAGCTGGGAGCAGAACTCAAAAGTTGAGGACTTGGTTTAAAATCAACAAGCTATAAGAGAAACTAGGAATTGGACAAAACTTAATTTCCAATAGCTTAGTGGACAAGTGGAACAGACTCCCATTGATTCAAATGAGAAGTGGATTAGGGGCTGTTCAGATAAATATAAAGATGAATGAAGACTCCATGGGACCTAATAGTTTTTGTGTTGCTGGGAACCTAATGAAATTGGGAACTTTGTCTATGAAGAGCAGGAGGCTAGGGTTGCAATCTGGGAATGGATGTAAAATTCTACATCAACAGCCCCAAAGGCAATCAAGTAAAACTGATTTTTTTTTCTCATGAGAGCAAGTAGGTTGAATGGAGTCTATCTTATTCCACGCTTTCTTTGAGACATCTAAAGTGATATGATGTGATATGGAGTTAAGATTTAAACAAGCCTTGCCTTGCATTTGATAGCCTTGCAATCAAGGAATGTTTCAACACCTATAACATGTATGACTCATATTGGGATGTAACAATGTTACACAGTACTTGGCTTATCAAGAGTTTTATGACATCTGAGATGGCTTCCAGTTTAACATTAGTGTTTCCACTTTGCTTCTAACAGGGGATCCAGAGGCGGATTACTGTTACTATAGTACATGAGACAGGAAGTGACATACATTGGAAGGAAGTACGAGAATTAGTTGTTGGTAAGTACGAAGAGTGGGGAAAGCCAAATGATATTGGCAACAATTAATGCAATAATGATTGTATATGGTGAAGCAATGTAGCTTGTTATGAATATCTACCCATAGCTGTCAGGATCTTCAGATCTGCAGAGTCAGCAACCAAATAGTTTGAATCAAAGTAATTCCCTTGGTTGAGTGCAAATTTCCCCAGGTTAGAGTATCACAGGGTACAAAGATTACATTCCTAAAACAGAGGTTTATAAAGTCCAAAATGCATCTTGATTCATTTGTATTAGAGTAAAGGTTACATTGGCTCCAAGGAACCTATCATGCTGTCACTGTTTGGATAACTAATGGGACGATGTACATGTTTAAAACATTGGCACTGACTCTGGCCCTTGCAACCAATCTTCTCTGTGTCTTTAGGTCGGATCCGGAACACACCAGAATCGGATGATTCCATCATCGATCCCAACATCCTGTCCTTGAATATTCTAACTGCTGGCTACATGTATCCATCCCAGGAGGATCGGTAGGTTGGCTTTGGATGTGAAAGCCACTCCAGCCCTGTTTACTAAACTAGGAGAACTGAGCAAATAGCATCCTGGTTAAATAGACTGCACATATTTGCTACAGTATTTCCTCCAGTTTGTTTTGAAATAAGTTGATATGTTTATATTCTCCCATAGGCCCCACTACTGGAACATGTTTTCAGTCTTCCTCCTATAATTTAAAAAGGTCTGCATAGCTAATCTGTATCTAGTGTTGCAGAAGCTCTTCCAGCTCTTTACTACTCCCAAAAGTCTGAAAAAATATATTGCCGGAAGACTGATTATGATTATGGTCCAGAGTTTGACAGTAGGAAATGCCAACTACAATCCATTCTTTTAATATCCTAAAACTTTGTTTAAAACATAATTATGTGATACTCAAGGAGTGGGGTGTTCATGCCGTTCACAACTGGGTTCTATTCCAAACCCAAACTTATAGGATGTTGGGCTTCTCTCTCCGATATTTATGACCTGGACAGTCAATTCCAGTTTCTAGTGTGGAGTCCATAGCCCAACACCCACAATGTGGATCAAGTTTATATTAAATTATCAATCTTGTGTAGAGAGGCCACAGTTGTATAGGAAATTAAGCTGTGCCATGTTGTTACAGTATATACTAACACAGAAATGAACAAGACCAAAATAGACCATTTTAGTCCATCCGTATGATCCCAATAGAAGACAATTTTTTAATATTACAGCTAAGGTACATTTTTAGGCATATGTGCATCTTGATGCAGTGTTTGATGGGACAGTGTAGACGCAGCTTTATCTAGTATTTAACCGCTGCTATACTTGACATGGGAGAGCTTGATACTGATTGCAGAGGTAAAAACGTGTTCTACTGCATTGATATCCATTGCCTCAGTTAACACAAAGATTCAGCCATTTCCTATCCCCCCACCACCACCACCACTCACCCCACTCCTCTGGGCAGGAAGTAGAAAGTTAAATTGGAATGTGAAAGCCTTTGTTTCTTCCCTTACCCCATACTCCCCATCAGAATTATTTATCTCCTGGTCTCCCAACTCGCACACATCCTATGGGCAAGAGAACAAAGGAACTATCTCTTCCCAGGCTTTGTCAATCCCACTGAAGTGGCCGCTAAGGATAGTGTGAAATGGTACAGGTGTTCTCTTTCTTGATTTTCTTCCTGAAGTGACCCCTTTCCCTCTATAAATGAGCAGATATCCAAGGTAATGAACTCAGGGGAAACACATTGAACCTATGCCCCTTCCCATCACGGAGAGCCTCCAATTAATGACATTCTCTTGCCACCCATATGTATGTCTTCCAGTTCAGTATAATAATAGAATCATTGAACTCTCCATTTCCAGCAGTGGTAACAGCAGTAAATCTCAAGAAAGGAGGGATTTGGAATTATTGCAATGAGACCTAAACCAACATGCATTCATATTTTATTTTGAGGAACACAAACCATCTCCATCAGAATGAAAGATTCCGAGGCAGGATTTTGTTACCTCGATTTCTCTTTGTCCTTTCTCTATTTATGCCATTTTCTTTGAATGTTTCATGTGAACAGTGAGTACTAATAAGAGCGAACCGGCTTGGAAGATTTCCTGAGACTGACAGAATTAAAACGGACAAATGAAATGGTACAAACGCTGAAGTCTCTGAGATGGACATCCATGGGTGAAACCACCTCCTGTGCAGACATTGGAATCTAACATGTTATTTTCTAGGAGTAGAGAACGTTTCATTCCACACTTGTGATGGGCACATGTGAGATCCCCATTAAGGCTTTTCTGGTGGTAACTATAAAGTAGCTATCCACTCTTACTTGTATAAATTCTGCCATTAAATTCTGAAAGTTTCAGATGTTAATAGTGATAATGTTGTGCAAAATAGCATCTGTGGATAAAAGATCTAAGAAGCCAAACGTTACAACATAGGTGGTCAAGTTTATTATGAACCAAGCAGCATCTTTGGGACTACCAAACCTCAAAGCCCATTGGATAACCTATGGACAGATGGCCAAACATGATCTCTCACATTGAATGAATGTCAGGAACTTCAGTGTGACCAGAAGTAACAAAGAGAAAATCTAACACAGCTGCTGAAAGGAGAGCGTGGAAGAATTTTTTTCCACTACTTCTGTAAAAGAAGTTGATGCCTTTGAATTCTGTGATAGTCCTTGGTGAGTGTTTTATTCAAGTATAAGTATACAGATAAAAATCAAAAGATTGTTACTCAATGCAAAATGCAATGTTCATTAAGAATTTACATTTGGTTTATTTTTATAGTGAATTCACAGGGTGTGCAAAACCTAGTAAACATTCTACAGCTTGACAAACTTTAAGTTCCAAGATATAAATTTCAAGGCCTTGATATTTTCCCTTTGCAGATCAGCCTGACCCATCAGAGAATTCAAGGGCAGCAAGTATAGCTGATACACCATGAGAAATAACTAGTGCAATTGGAACAATTTGAGCTCTACTCAATACACTGGTAGGATCTGGAACACTAGATGGAGAAGACAGATGGAAGGATATCTCAGATTCTAAAGGCAACACGAAGCACAGGGACAGAACGAAAATGGTGTGCAACTGGAGCTCCCTATGCAGTCACCTCAGATCAGTTGGATGTGCAAATACAGAATTTCATTCAGCAAACTGTAGGGACAGTATTCCACTCGCCACAGCCAATATGTAAACAGAAATACAAGATGTGCAAGGGCTCCAGCATTGGTTGGGAGAGTACGTTTGAATTCTGCATTGCTTTGTTAATGCAGCTGATGGAGCCTTGCCTGTAGGCTATTCTGTAGGTAAGTTTGACTAGTGTTCAAGATACCTGGCAGAACTTCACATTGACTCCAATCTGGTCCCTGTTGAGTCGTCGTCCATGAGGAGGCTATACAGATGCGGTGCTGGAAGTCTTAGGTACAAGGTTCCTAGATGAATTTGTCCTTATTCCTGGTCATTGCTAGGGCACTACCTGGATGAAGAGGGTGGGGTAGCTTTACTTTTAATAGCCCTAGGATACATTTTTACTCTTTAAAAATATTCTGACTGTTTCTGGATAAATTATGCAGTGAACCACATGCAGTGAATATTTTGTATTGCACAGAATCTTTCTGTTCTGGGCAGTCATTAGAATTGAAGTTTGATATTCCATACGTCCTTGCAACAGATGTCTCTGTGACCTTTTGAGTTAATTGTTTCAATACCTGTTGGAAATTTGATACAATACTGGTGTCACGAGCCAGGACTTAGATATCAGCCATTAATTCTACCTTTGCAATTAATCTGGCAGACATGAATCTCAGGATCAAAGAGTCGGTGGTGATCTTATGTGGTTGACATCTGAGTGATGAAATTTTGTATATTACACAGTCTGTTTATAAATGGGCTGGCAAATCTTTCAATTTTTAAAAACTATTTCATTGTGACTGGAAGCCAATATATCTACAGTCCACTATATCCAAAATCCAAGGACATTAACTATTCCATCCATTCTTTGTTGTGTGATGCTTACTTCTATTCAGGTTCAGGGAGTTGGCTGATTCAGGATGATTCATGTGGAATTGATGCTTGTGAGTCACACCCTGGAGTGGCTTATAAATCCAAAGTTGCTATGACCTTCATAGAAACAGAGCAAATGCAGTGCTTTTACTCACAAGGGATCAGGTCATTCAGCTTTCTATTGACATGTTAGACTTGAGAACATCTTTTAATGAACTGGAACTCTGCCTCTGTAAACATTGTTTGGTTAGTCAGGTATCCTCCACCAAGTGTGTGTGGGTCTGTATGTGTGTGCAAAAAGTGCCTTTATTTTAAGGGTGAAATCAGCTTCTCACATTGGCTCTGAAGACATAACTTAAAGCTTTTCCCTGCGACATTCTGGCTGTGTGCAACCTCTGGGCGTTGTTCCTACTATGGGCATAGAAGGTCACTAAATACTTCAGAGCAGATGAACAAAGCAAAAATAGAGTCAAAGGTCAATACTATTTAAGGAAGGGAGGAAGGTCAGCTGTCCAGGCTGATGATCTCACTGTAAAGGACCATATTGCTTGCACTGATGATAAATCGATCAACCCATTTAATTTTGAAAGTATCCTATTCAAATAACATTACTCCAGTTTTATCAGGCAAACGGCTGCTTAGGTGACTACATCTTCAGCTGTGATTGGCCAGGCACAGTGGTTAACAGTGAGTTAATAGAACATGTTAACCTCTTGAGTGCTAAACATTTCTACATTATAGTCCAGCTGCCCAAAGCCCCTTGTTTCCTTACATTACCAAGGAATCATCGGATGCTAAATGCTATTCTGTTGGGATGAGAGATACCATACTGATGCAGGTAAAGCACAGTGCAGTCTGGCATATGTGCGCATGCTTCGGTGCTCCATTTCTATGAGTAGTAGTGGTGCTGCAGTTGTAAAGTTTGGAAAGAAAATTCCTTTTTAAAAAGGGAATGTAGCGTTACATGATGACCACAAAGCTGATTCACGGGTATTTGTGACCTTCTATCTCCAAGAACGTGGCTTTTCTGTGTTATTCTGCTTAGGGTCTTTTCAAGGCCTGACACCTCCACATGTGCTTTGCTTTAAGGTGTTACAGTCAAAGCTCAAACGTTATTGAGTCTACTAACCAGGTATTGTTTTTGTGTTTTTGCAGGCAATTTCTTGATTCGGATATGCCTAGGTATTTTTTTAAAAACCTTAAATATTCATTTTTCAACAGCTTTCAGGCACCAAAATCCCATCAAAGCCTTTGGTTTTCTCTTTGTTTATTTGGACTGTTTGTTTCCTTTCACTTTTTCTCTTTTCACCACATTCTGCAAAGACCTGCCAGTCATTGTCAGTTTGGGCCACTTGATCTGGTCTGAAGCCTGATTCCATCACTAAGTTGGCTAAAGGCTGCATGAAGCGCTTGCATTGGCTGTGATATATGAGCTGATATTGTTAAAGGCAGGGTCACAGACGGGTTAGTAAAGGCCTTTGCTTTTGAACCTTCTGCTGCTGTTTCATTCTACCTGAATGTTTGTGAGGGACATTTGGAGGTTAGAGTGTGTGTGGAAATGTTGCATAATTCAATCTGGTCGAATGCTTTAAACTTCAATGCACATTGACAGTGAGTGGATCTGATGTGCTCGATAAATGACAGAGTGCTTTAGCCAGATATCTTGGACTTCTCATTGCATCGTGTGATGGTCTGAATGTAAGCTGTGATGTGCTGCCATCATCAATGGATCAGTAGATGGCTCTAACCCAGAGATAAAGTTTAGGCCTGGGGACACAGTGATCCCTATAACTAGTTTGCAAAAATATCTTAGATGTTACTTTTGTCCATGAAGTAAGATTATATACAGTAATCTCTACATAAGGGTTTCTCAATTGAGTTTGATCTGCTGTGAGTGCAGATATCAGCTTGTTAATGTAGTATTGTCACTATGTAGACCTGTTAGCCAAGGACTCCTGCTTTGTTTGTGAGCACATCATGTAGTGACACTCGGGTTGACATCATTTCTTACTACACACAATTACTTCCAAGCACCCTTCTGTAACCATTACAGGCAACATTTCAGTTTACATTCATGTAAGGAGAGACCAAGATCCATCAAAGCACAAAGAATGTGTAACTTGACAGTTTATTTTATTCCACATAGTAATGACTACAGGGACGCAGTTATAAACATTTAGATTTGTGCCAATTTATATTTGATAAGAGGAGGTGTTGCCTGGCACTGGGCTGAGATTCGACTGTGTGCTGGATTTTAATCAAATTCCTTGAAGTCCATTTAGAAATTCAGACATTCTGAGGTCAACATGACAGCATTGGATTGAAATTACCTTCGAGGGCAGATGATACAGAAAATGCTTCTTGCGATATAATTGCTTTCACTGAAAAATATAGTCTCTTTTAGACACAACCATTTCCTAAAATTCCGTAAGAGGACACTCTCCCCACACGCTCTCCAAACTGTGGTAGATACAGAACGTGGAACAGAATCTCAGCAAAAGCAGTGGATACTGCATTTGTTAGCTCCGTTAAACACCTGAAAAGTGTCTTGTTTCAGAACAGAGACAATATTGGAGGACTTTGGAATAAATTGATGTGAACACAGTGATATGGAAAGTGTGTGTGAGAGAGAAAGCGAGAGTGATTGCTTGATGGTTTTCACATATCTTTGAGAGAAAGAAAGAGTGATCGGGATCTAAGATGTAGAATATCTATAGTTAAGCACAATAAGCAGATAGAGATAGTGACGACAGGCTAGATGATAGATCTAATAGGTGGGCAACGCTCAACTACTACTGTGGTGAGATCATGTGTATTGAAAGGGAACTAATCATTAGGATTTATTTGTTCATCTGACAAACCCCTTTCGGATTCTGATTAATGACAAAAACTTTGAAGTAGCTTTAAAACTACCCTAAGAAGGATCTGACCATAGATAAGCGGAATCTAACCTCGTTATCCGAGAATCAGATGTGTTTGCCTGTAGATCTCACCAAATCATCTATGTACATGAAGATTTCTATTAATGGTGAGACCCTCTCTGCTCTTTGTGACTTGTTTCTAACCCAATTGCACTATCCATCCAATATTGAAATCTCCCTGATTTTAAAGGCAACATGCAGTAGAATTTCTTGCAGGTAAATCATCAGTGATTTATGTGATATTTCCCAGTGGTGAAATCCAGGCAGTTTAACACACAGGCAGAAAGAAGTCACTAAATGTGCATTTTTTTTTACTGGAGGATAAATAAAGTGGGAAAGAGGTATAACTACTGATGCCTCTTGTAATTTACTGATGCGCAGCATGTGAACCTCCAATGTTTCCTGGCTCCAGCATTTCTATCCTTTTACAGTTGAGGCCTGTTAATGGGGATATTCTGATGGAAACCAAACCTTGATCATCTCCTGCCTATCAAACAAATCCCACCAGTGCTAATTTAAAGAGATGGAATTAGCAGTCAGACAAAAGCCAGTTGGCCAAGCCCCAAATAACCGGCATCAACTGTATCCAGTAACTCAGTTATGCAGCCTGCAGTACACAACGCATCCGAAGATGATTTGCAATTCAGGTCTTTGCAGAATATTCTTTTGCTCTCGGAGGAGAATGCACGCTACCTGTTTACAGTCTGCACTCTGGGCTGTCGGGGAGGGTGGAGGGTTCCATTTGCCTTCCCTTCCTGCCCTCTCTGCCGAATGTTCAGGCTAAGCTTCACTGCATTAACATGGCATTTTAACGTCCCGAGGACAAAATTTCTGACATTTTTCCTTTTTTTTTCTTTCTGTTTGTCTCTGGGTTGCTTCCACTAAAAAGCATAACATATGGAAATGACAATAGGTACACGCTGATCTTTTCTCTCTCACTCTCTCTCGAGTCTGTGTCCCTTGCTTTTTTTTGTTTTCTACACACTGGTCTCACTTGTTAGTTTTTGTTCAATTCTCTTGTCTGCGATGTCCTGTTTCATTGTGACTTTCCTCTTGCTGATTCCTAAAATTATATTTGTTTCTCTGTTACAGTGTCTTTATTGCAATTGATTGTGCTATTTTTGTTATTTAAAGGCACAGTATTCCTTTTCATTGGCCTGTTTCCAACCCTTTGCAACTGTAAAATATTTGCAATTGTAAGATATTTGCAGTGCAGTTGAGTCAGTGGGTAACAATCAACAGGAGATCTTTTATGGAGGCACAATCTGGTTTAAATCACGACAATGAAATTTGCACCAAGCCTCAATTTATTCTTGGATTCATATACTGTGGTGGTGCTCGTTAATCTTGTATTCAAATCTGGCTCTTTCTATTTTGATTGATAAGGGTAGTCAAGGGCCAATAGGTCAGGATGCCACCAAGGTTTACAAGAATAAGACAGAGGACGAAGTAGTAAAGATGTATTGATTTTTTTTGTTGTGCTCTAAATCTCTAAATTGTAGGAAGAAAGGACAGATAGGAAAGTATATAAATTTGCAGAATAATGTGAGTTACAACCGAGTGTAAGGGTTAGGTTTTCAAAGAGTAAGAAGCAGGCAAAGATAATTTAAACTCCACATCTTCCTAAGAATTTTGAGTTCAGTTTCAGTCTGCGTGATGAAGGTTGAAGAGAGAAACATGATCACTACCCTTCTGCAGTAAGAGATTGAAAAGTAATAGTTGTTACAATGACCCTGTATAAAGAGACCTCTAAAAGGAATACTGTACCTTTATTACCTGAGGGGGTGTAAGTATCCGAACCAGAATGATCAAGTGTCCTCAGATATTGGTCGGTGTGGGTGAATCCAATATCAGGCCAGCCTACACTGGATGCTTGGTTTGAGCAATGACTAGCAATGATGATTTTAAAATAATTACGCTTCATTTTTTGAAGCAGACAATTCTATGATATTGTGGCCCAGTGTGGGTTTATAAGTTCAAGCATTTTGTACGCCATCAGACTGGAAGATATTACACACCCCCAATACAGATAATGGAATGGTTTTATTAATTCCGTGCTTGTTAACCTTCATGTCTATCAAACAAAACGGCATGGTTTAGATTGTGTCCAAGGTGAACAGTTTTGTTTCGGCATGGTGGTAACGTCTTAACTACACCGCAAAGGGTTCTATTCAAGATATCACAACAGGTTGTCAGAACAGTATTCAAGGGAAATTGTGAAAGAGGGGAGCGAACAGTGCTGAGGAATCTTTGCCTTGCATCTAACACAAACAGTAGCAGGTCTGACACAGCTCAATACATGTCAAGTCATGGAAGTTGCAAGGGACCAGTTTTTATATGAACAGTTGAACAGTACAACCTCCACAGAGTGACAAACACAAAGGGGTCAAAATGTAATATCCCAGAGACAGAAATACTTCTTGGAATATTGGCTAATGTTTGACACCAAATTCTGCCTATAATGTACAATATTTCTTTACCTGTGATCCCAGAAGACAATTCTCACTTCCGGTTTTGATATCATGAATGGAGACTGGTGTCAAATTTGAATAGTTTAGTACATCTGAAGGATCAGACCAAATTTCAAATCCATCTCGCATCTCAGACAAGTGGGATGAGAATACAGATGTTCTCTCTGCTCCAAGAATTGTGTTTTTTTAAATTTATTTTTGTCATTTTACACTCTCTCTCTTCTCAGTCTGTGGTTAAATCCAATCTTTGGTCAGTGTTGCCCTCAAACAACCAGGGAATGAGCCCAAACTGCTTCGTGAGCAAACTCTTTCATTTTAACTTTTTTTTATTCCACTTCTCTATTTTATTCTTTTTTTCTTTGTGCAGGTAGTCAGCTTTTTGCAATTTTTCCATTTACATTTCCCCAAATGTACTTTGCGTCTCATTGTTCCTAAACTTGTCCCTGGTTTCCCTTTGCAAATCTATTTCCTCTTCCTGAAGTTATTGTGCTTGGCCTTCTCTTGGTCTTCAGAGACTGCACAATACTCCTTGTGAACGAAGCCTGTTGGCCTCTTTAAATAGCCTGGCTAGAGGTCTGTGTGGCTGATAGCCCTCCATCCTCATCCTGGAACAGTGAGTCACATCTATCTAACTCCAAAAGACAGGCTCGAATCAGAGACCCTCATTTTCTTTCCATTTCTATCCTTGTACACATTCTATTTTTTTTACACTATTCCCTTTTGCTGTTCCCATTTTACTGAATTCTGGATTTTGCCAAGAAGTGGGGGTAACTGCATTCAATTAGAATCCACTACTTTTTATTACCTGAAGTGTAGATCCATGATTCACTTGATTCCTGGTGCAGACTAGAAAGAAGCTCCCAGCCATGACCTTAAGTGTTTACAGGAACAGTGCAGTCTGCCAGTCCACTCATTCCCTACCCCACAGAGGTTTAGGTTAGGGTCTATGACTCCCCTAGTTTACAGTCTCAGTTGTAATAAAGAGCAGAGCAGGGGAGGAAATCTCCACTTTTAATAATATACTTACCCCCTCCCCAATAACCACAGATCAAGTCCCCTACTTGCCCACTGCCCTTCTTGATGATGGCTCTTGTGCCACTGGTGATGGCAGGTCTATTGGAGGTGTCTGACCTGCTTTCAGAGCCAGAGGAGAGAATCAAATCATTTTTAGTTGCCAACTTGGAATCTGCATATTAAATGTTGAGTTGAATCATGTACTATGGAATTTTCCTTTACCACCACAATGCAAGCCTTCTGAGGATGGCTGTAAATTGTCACCTGCTTCTGATCTAAACCATTGCCGACATATTCATTGAATAAAGAAATTCATTGCACTGTAATGTTCAGGGCTTGTGAACAGCGGGTGAGATGCTGGAGTTTTATCGCTCATTGTCATTTAAGGAGAATTTCAATTTCATCATTGCAGTTACTCTCTTTAACAATATCTTTCTTATTGGCTGAAGAACAAAGGATAATCTCACAAGAAATGTTGTGAGTCTTCACATCTTATTATTTTGATAAAATGAATACACACCAACAACAGCGATATGTTTCATCAGAGCCAAAACCCAGAGGCAAAGAGACGGTGCCTTCCTGAATTTCACTAGCATTAGTGAACGCTCTAATATCTTCACCCACGAAGATATTAGCCAGTTGCCTTTTTCCGTTAAGTCAGAAAATGTCTAATTCACTCCCCTCTCACTAGTTACTCTGATTGCTTCTCAGCTGTTACCTGTTCCATTGATCTGTGCGCTACACCCTCCCTCCGTAGCAGTCATCGAGTACTGCAACATTAATGTTATCTACAGCACCCTCCAGTTAAAGTTGACATGCAATCCATGTGTGGCGCTGCGTGATTTATGTATGTCTCAGTATCGGCTCCGGTCTCCCATAACAAAAGGAAGATTTGTGAAAGCATGCCAGAGTACACTGAGATGAATAATCCAGTATTTACTGTTATATATTACCTGCTACACTATTCATATAAACTGTTCATAACTCTTACACAAATCTCCTTTACAAACTTTATTTTATAAAAAAAATCCCCAGATTTCATTCCAGTGTAGTTTCAACCTCTTCAACCTGTCAGCTAAGACACCAAAGCACAGTGGTTGGAATTCGACCTCCCAGCATTGCCTTCTGTTGGCATCGGTGGCAGATTGTGCAGTATTTAACCCTAGCCAGTTTAGTCGCTCAGTGAAAGTGAACACAAACCCTAGAGGAAGAAAAATGGCCCAAATTCTGTAAAATTAAATTCAGCTTGTTGCTGCCTCTAGAGCCTTCATCCTTTGTCTGTGTCAGTGTGTGTCCCTTCATGCTTCATTCCTCACTCCATGTCTGTCTATTATTCCTGGTCTTTCACTAAGAATTTGTCCAGTGACAAATTACTGTATAAAACTCCAGCATTGAACTGAATTCACAGGAAAGATACTTTCCAACATTGTTTTGTAATTGTTCTTGTTAACTAAATGTTCTTGCTTTCTTTATGAATAACAGGGATCTGTAAATTAATAGAACTGGGAGAGAGCAGAGAGACCATCCATCTGTTTTCTTTGCTAGCTTCACCCTTTAATTGATTTTTCTTTGCTCCTGGCAGCACTGACGATCTGAGGTACAGTTTCATCGGTCCCAGACACCCTTTGGAATCTGGCCAGTGGCTTTCTCCACACAAGCCTCACCCCACAACCTTTTTCAATCCCCTCTCAAGTCCTTCCATTCCCTCTCCCCCATATATCTATTGTTTCTTCTTAAATATGTTGATGCTTTCTGCTTCAACAGCTCCCAGCAGTGAGTTCCACATTCTCACCATTCTCTGTGTAAAGTCCCTTTTAAACTCCTGCTCAGATCTGCTTAATGCAAGGATTATTACTGACAGATACAAATAGGAACAAAAAGCAAGATACAAATAACGAAATTCCTGGGTGAATCCACTTAATAAGACGGAGTGGACAATAGTATAAAGAAATAATAATTCTATAGTTTCTCTTGAGTTTTTTGGGGACTTTCCTCATGTTCCCATTTTATTTGTTGAAGAAAGCAAAAACAAGGATTCCGAGTTGTGTTTGAGTATTGAGTCAGGTGACTGGAAGTTGCCCATTTTTACAGGACCTTTTACCGATTTGAGGCCAGCTGGGACAGCTCCATGCACAACTCTCTGCTGCTGAACAGAGTGACACCGTACGGAGAAAAGATCTACATGACATTGTCTGCATACCTGGAGGTAGGCAATCGTTGCTGGCATCCAAAAGCGATCGAGAGACAAACAAAGGAGCAGGGAACTGAACGCTATTCCACTCCTGGCACTCAGTGTCATTGCTGAGCTCCCTGTGACTCCTGTGTGTGCGCGAGTGCACTAACAGGATACGTCCTTCCTCCTCTGCACAAGTACCTTTACCTCAAAAGAATACCCTTCACATGACTAGTGTGACCTCATCAGGCATCCTCCTGGCCTCTCTGAGAAAGATACACCATGAGCCGTTTCGTGCTGTGAGCACCAAACCCAGCAAGAACTGCAGTGAGATGACAAAATTTGTTTCAATTACAACCCTTACGACACTGGTAGATTTTCTTCCTTTTCTGTTCTGCATCCAGGTATGTGATGAGGCACATGCCCTAGAAATGCTTCATGGGAAACGTTTGATTTAATTTCTAGCACTTATGAGCACAAAATCCACCAAAATAAAAGTTGGGGAGGATAAAAATATGAAACGCACACAGATAATAATTCATCCTTACTGACGTTCCAACTGACCCGTGTGCCCTGTGCCGTGGTGGACTTGTTTTGAACCTTCTTCTTGAACGTTTTTTCTCTCAGATGGAGAATTGCTCACAGCCTGCGGTCGTCACCAAAGACTTCTGCATGGTGTTCTACACACGAGACGCCAGGCTTCCGGCCTCCCGCTCCATTCGCAACCTCTTTGGCAGTGGAAGCTTGAAAGCATCAGAAAGGTAGGGGTCAAAACCAATGGAATCCCTCTCCCTGTTTGAAATCAGAACAGACAGAGAAAGCTATTGATTCTCTTACCTCACTCACGAGCCAGGGTTTAATTCACTAGTATTGGGTCTGTTTTGGGTGTCAAGACCTTTGGGACATTCTTATTATTATTATTAATAATAATAATAATAATAATAATTATTATTATTATTATTATTCGGACATTCTTCCGACCTAAAAGGGTAAATGTAAGTTGCACTATGTTGCTTATAGTTTGTTTTACTCTCACTAATTTTGTTTTTTTTGTGCCAACCCACCACCTCTTCACTGCTCAAGAGGATCACCAGGCTCTGCCAATCCTCCGGTAACTAGTCACAAGGTGTTGTGAGAGTGCAGGTTGCCTTTTTACGTTTCCTTCCACTAGGTCCCTGCACTCCCGCACTCCTGGGGGCACAGCTGAGGTGGATAACTTGCCATTTTAGTACAAAAGGTCCTCCCTTCACTAACCACCTTACACCAGTGCATGGCATAGAGCATCAATAAGCTGAATCTCAATCACTCAATACACTGACTGCTGAGATCCTGAAGCTCTGTTGAGGTGCTCAGGTGCAGAGCACTTAACCCTTACAAGGTGGGGGGTCAGATAGATTGTACTAAGTCAGGTCTCTGCTTGAGGCAGGGTGATGTAACTGTGGGTCTAGCTGCATGATGTATCTTTTCTTTTTTGTGATTAATCTAAATCCGCTAAATCATTGTTCTACTCCAAGACAATCTTGGAGGCTAAGAACAACCCCAGGCTCCTCTTCTCCATCACGAACCGACTCCTCCGCCCACCCTCTCATGCCTTACCCATCCTCACCTCAAATGCCAACTGCAAGGCGATGCTGAGCTTCCTCGAATCCAAAGACAAGGGAATCCGCTCAGTTGCCTCTGCCGCTGCAACTGCTACCCCCTGTCCATCTCCTCCTCCCACCCCAGCCCCTACCCAACCCTCCCTCCACACCTTTGAACTCGTCTCCCTCTCCTCTCCCATCACCACCAGAACCTGTATGAAACCCACCACCTGCTCCTTGGATCCCATTCCTATCCCCCTCTTACCTCCCAGCTCCACCTCCTTACCCCATCCCCACTCCACTCCTTATCTCCCAGCTCCACCTCCTTGCCCCACATATCACAGACATCATCAACCTGTCCCTCTCCTCTGGCTCTATTCCCATTCCCTTAAAAACTGCCACCATCACTCCCACCTTAAAAAAACCCTCCCTTGATGCGTCGCAGCTATCAAGCTACCGGCCCATCTCCAACCTCCCCTTCCTATCCAAGGTCCTGGAACGAGTTGTCGCCTCCCAGCTGCGCTCTTTCCTCTCCAACCATTCACTATTCGAACCCCTTCAATCGGGTTTCCGTGCTGCCCATAGCACAGAAACTGCCCTGGTCAAGGTCACCAATGACATCCTGACCATCTGTGACCAGGGCTCCCTCTGCCTCCTCATCCTCCTCGACCTATCGGCAGCATTCGATACGGTCGACCATGCTATCCTCCTCCACCGCTTGTCCTCCCATCCCACCTAAACCTTCAAGGCCCTGTCCTTGAGTGGTTTAGGTTGTACCTCTCCCACCGTCTTCACTTTGTCTCCACAAATGATTTTTCCTCCGGCCCCCGCACTGTCTCGTGCGGTGTCCCTCAAGGCTCTGTCCTCGGTCCCCTCCTCTTCACCCTCTATATGCTCCCCCTTGGTGACATCATCCGCAGACATGGGGTTAACTTCCACATGTATGCGGATGACACCCAACTCTACCTTTCCTCCTCTACCCTCAACTCCACGACCACCGATGTCCTGACAGCTGCCTGTCCGACATCGAGTCCTGGACGAGAGATAACTTTCTCCAGCTCAACGTGCGCAAAACTGAGGCCCTCCTGATTGGCTCACGTCAGCGCCTCCGCACCTCAGGCGCTGACAACATCAGCATCCAAGGCTGCACTCTCCACCTCTCAAAGCCAGTCAGGAACCTCGGGGTTCTGTTCGACCCTGAGCTGTCCTTTCTCCCTCATATCCGCGCCACAACTGGCACCGCCTTCCATCACCTCCGGAATGTCACCAGACTACGGCACTACCTCACCCCTCACGCTGCTGAAACACTGGTCCACGCCTTTATCACCTCAAGGCTGGACTATGGGAACTCTCTCCTCGCCGGCCTTCCCGCCACCTCCCTCCACAAGCTGCAGGTCATTCAGAACTCTGCAGCTCGTGTACTGTCCCGCACCAGACACCGTGACCACATCACTCCCACCCTCGCTCGCCTCCACTGGCTCCCCATCCCCCAGAGGATCGAATTCAAGATCCTCACCCTCACCTACAAGGCCATTCACGGCCTTGCTCCCTCCTACCTCTCCGACCTGCTATCCCCCTACCTACCTGCCCGTACCCTCCGTTCCTCTGGCTCCGGTCTGCTCCACATCCCCCGCCCCAACCGCCCTACCATCGGTGGCCGGGCCTTCAGCCTCTCAGCCCCTAGGCTCTGGAACTCTATCCCCCAGTGCCTTCGCCGCCTCCTCCCTTTCCTCCTTCAAGGCCGGTCTCAAGACCTTTCTCTTTGACCGTGCCTTCAGCTCCCCTCTCGACTCTCTACCCCCTCCTCGCTCCCTCCCTTCCCTCCCCTCACCCTGACCATATCCCCCCTGCTCGGGTCCTGACCCAACTGTACAGCGCCTTGGGACGTCCTCCCGACGTGAAAGGCACTCAATAAATGGAATTTTGTTCTTGTTGTTGTTGTACTCACTGACATTGTTAACCTCTCCCTGTCCTCTGGTACTGTTCCCACCCCTTTAAAAAACACTGTCATCATTCCTATCCTTAAAAAACCCTCCCTGGACCCTTCTCTATTCCCTATCTACCGCCCATCTCCAACCTCCCCTTCCTCTCTAAGGTCCTGGAACGAGTTGTTGATTCTCAGCTTCGCTCCTTCCTCTCCTGCCTCTCCCTTCTCGAACACCTCCAATTGGGCTTCCGTACCGCCCACAGCACAGAAACCACCCTGGTCAAAGTGACAAATGACATTCTGTCCATCTGCGACCAAGGCTCCCTCTGCCTCCTCGTCCTCCTTGACCTCTCTGCTGCTTTCGACACCGTCGACCACTCTATCCTCATCCCCCGCCTCTCCTCTCACCTCAACGGCACTGTCCTTGATTTGTTCAGATCGTACCTCTCACACTGCCTGCACTTCATCTCCTTCTCAGCTCAGGGGCTGACAGCATCACCATCCATGGTTGCACACTCCACCTTGCTTGTCCGGAACCTTGGGATCTTGTTTGACCCTTAACTATACTTTCTACCCCGCATCTGCGCCATGGCCCGCTCTGCCTTCCCCCACCTCCGCAACATCGCCCGGCTCCAACACTGTCTTACACTGCAAGCCGCCCAAACCCTCATACATGCCTTCATTACATCGAGGCTCGACTATGCAAATTCACTGCTTGTCGGCCTCCCCAACTCCTCCCTCAACAGGCTGCAGATCATCCAGAACTCTGCAACCCATGTCCTCTCCTGCACTAGGCTCCGTGACCCTATCACCCCAATCCTTGTCCAACTCCATTGGCTTCCCATCACACAGAGGATACAGTTCAAGATCCTGGTCCTGATCTTCAAAGTCCTCCACAGTCTTGCTTCCCCCTACCCCTCCGACCTCCTAACCCCCTACCACCCTATTCGCTCCTTCCACTCAGCGGGCTTCAGTCTGCTTCACGTCTCCCGCCTTCCTCGCACCACTAACGACGGGGAGGCCTTCCGCCACTCTGTACCCATCCCGCAGTCCCTCCATCTCGCCCCCTGCCTCCACACCATCAAGACCGACCTCAAGACCCTCCTCTTTGACCGTGCTTTCGATCTTCCTGCTTCCCCCTCCCCCTGTCCCCCACCCTGACCCTCAGCTCGGTTCCATAACTCTGTCTGTCCAGCATCTTGAGACATCCTCCTGACTTGAAAGGCGCTTTACAAATGTAATTTTGTTGTTGTTGTAATCTGCAGTAACCGAGTGACGGGTGTATACGAGCTGAGCCTCTGCCGAGTAGCGGATGCTGGAAGCCCAGGTAGTAAGACCTGCCCAACGCCATGATACCGTGCTCCCCCATATTGTGCTGCTCAATTTCCCATTGCCATACAGCCCATTGCCATGCTGCTTATTGCCACTCTGATATGCTCCCTATTACCACACTCCTCTCCTCAATGCCTTTCTGCCCCCGTCACACTGCCACGGTGGTCTGTGCTGCTATGACCCTGATCGTTTCCCCCATCTCTAATCAGTCTGCTGCTTTTCTGGATTGAACATAACTTTTACCTGTTGCTTGCACTTTGGAGGCAACATTGATCAACCATATGTTTTCAGGCATGCAGCGAAGACGCAGGAGGATCCTGGACACCTCTGTTGCGTACGTCCGTGGAGAGGAGAATCTGGCCGGCTGGCGACCTCGTAGTGACAGTCTCATTCTTGATCACCAGTGGGAGCTGGAGAAACTTAGTCTGTTGCAAGAGGTACAGTACAAGTCCCTGTAACCAGCCAGTGGTGGGAGGTTGGGGTGAAAATGCTTCAATGCAAGATTTCAAATAAAATCTTTTGGTATTGTAATTTTTGAAGAATTCTTCTGCTTTCCAAACATAACCAGTGGTCTTGAATGGTGAGGTCTCCTCTCTGAAGAGTATTCTGATGGGGAAACTCTTAGTCCAAACAGTGATCTGACCTAATGGGGTTACGTTCTTTAAAGGTAGTTCTGATGTGACGTGACATAACTTTAAATGAGGTCCTGATAGAGGGGTGTCCTATTGGAGGATATTCATTCACAGGGGCCACTGACGAATCAACTCGCCAGTTAAAAGGTACATTCCAATTATCAGACGCTTCTTTAACCATAACTATTTATCGGGGACCATTTGTTTGGCTGCCTGCAGGTAGAGAAGACCAGACATTACCTGCTGCTGCGCGAGAAGCTAGAGACCACCCAGAAGTCAGGATTTGATTCAGTTTCCTCATACAACAGCGAGGACTTCAGTGAATCCCAGAGCATCGGTTCAACCAACAGCCTTCACTCAATAGGAAGTGACACACAGATTCCAACCTCCAATACCACCACCACCACCACCGAACGCCAAAAAGAGTTGGCAGCCAAGGTACTGAGGGTGGGGTTTGGGATAGCATCTGAGATCTAAATTGATAATTAACCTTTTTTCCCCAAATGAGTCCAAGTGCAGTACGGTTTAGATGTCAAGCAATCCTCTTTCTCTGTTCTACTCAAATTTTATAACTTTAATTATATAATTATACGCACATATCCACGACAGTGCGTATCAAGCAGATTTGTAGGACTGAAGAACATCCAACAATAGCCTCGCCTCACAAAGTCTTTACCAATGTTTGTTTTAACCCGTGGCGCAATTTTTACCAGAAACATTCACAGAAATGGAAAGCACATTTGGAAGACACGCAAACTATGAGGTTTTCTTTCACAAGCACACCTCTTATTGACGAACCAACGAGGGGATGTGATGGGAGTACAAAATGCTGTGAATGTCCTTTTGAAGGCGGGCGGGGGAGAGAGGGCGACAGCAATCTGAGTACTCTGAAGGCAGAGAGTAAGGTGGTTCAACAATAAGAAAGCTAACACAAACTACCATGTGTTATTTTCTATTTCAGTGCCTCCGACTTCTGTCTCACACATTCAACAGGGAATACAGCCACGTCTGCATCAGTGCCAGCGAGAGCAAGGTACGTCTGAGAATCTCTCCTCTCCTGAAAAAAATAATCTTTTTCTCTTTCTTTCTGAAAATGTTTCTCTTCTTATCCGTCACATGAACCAGTGCAAATCCTCAATCCAGGTATCAATAACAACAATAACAAAATGACATTTGTAAAGCGCCTTTCGTGTCGGGAAGCCATCCCAAGGCGCTGAATCAATCATCAGAAGGAGTGGAGGGCTGGGAGGGTAGGGTTAGGAGGGTGACCGAAGTCGCGTTCAAAGAGGAGGGTCTTGAGACGGGACTTGAACGAGGCGGGGGTGTGGGGGGATGTGTTGAAGGGACTTGTTGTGGGATAGGATTCCAGTGGGTGGGGCAGAGAGGCTGAAGGTCCAACCACCAATTGTGGGGGATAGGACGGAGCCCACTAAGCGGAAGGAGTGGACAGGTCGGTATGGTGTATCACACTTCAGGATATGAATTGTGTTCAGTGTTTCAGTCGTACTGGAAACATTAAACTGATCATTCAAATGGTTTTGTTTTAAATTATTGCATTCAGGGTTTCTCTTTTCCTCTGATAAAATGATCTGGTGGGGGGTAGGGGAAGATAGCCAATTTTTGACACTTTTCACTTTTCTCCTATTTGTTCTGTTTTCTGCAGTTATCTGAGATGTCCGTCACCCTAACAAGAGATACGTCATTCTCTGCACTGAGCAACACCACACTGCCCCCTTCCTCCACCTGCCCCTCCCTAATGGAAGGCCAGTACATCGCCACAGAGCTGAGGTTAGGGATCACAGAAGCTTTGAAATACGCTTGTTAAAGTTTATGTATAACAGTTGTGACAACTTCAGTAACACATGTAGGCTAAGCAATTTATCACAAAGGTTAATTATTATTATTATTATTATTGACAGTAGAACCTGGAGTTCACAAGTAAATAAACCAGTGAGTGTTTCAGTGAGGTGTGTGGCTTGTATCAGAGTGTTACAGTCAGCATCAGTAGTGTGGCATGTATCAATATTACAGTGAAGAGTATGAGGTATAGCAGGGTGTTGTCACAGTATATCAGAGAGTGTTACATTATGTACAAATGTTAAATGATAACAATTTGACTGTTGCTTTGATTACAATACTATTTAATAATTGTGATTTTTATACCAGGACTCCAGAGGCCCAGTCTAGAGTTGTGACTCCAGATTCCGACTTAATGCAGGACGGAGAACTGAAGAAATCTCCAGTACAGGCAAAGCCCGAGAAGGGAATCACTAGAGCATTTGTAGCTGACATCCAGGAGATCAGAGTGAGGTACACTACAATACAATTTATATTTATACAGCATCCTTCACATCGGGTGGATGTCCCAAAGTGTTGGATGGGTACAAACTGGTCTGTATTTTAAAGACTATTGAAGAATTATGTAGCATCAACTGTGCCAAATGTCCCTTCATTAGCTGGGCCTATCTTGCGTTCAGATGGTTACTGGCTGTTGTCAATGGTGCTCAATAGCTATTGACCAGGATATACTTGTGGTGACTGGCTGTGTGGTGTTTGACTCCCAGTGGGTATGTATCATCCCCCTATTGGTTGCACTCGCTCACCATTTGAGATCAGTTACTCACTGTGGGAAGAATCACCAGCCTATTATGTTATATCTGTAGCAGTTGTTTCATGAAAGGGAACAGACTCCCTTTGTGGATATATGTTCCTGGCTAAATGACCAGAAGAAATTCACTCTGAATCATCTTATATCTTCCAGTGCAATTGTTTCAAAAAAGGGATACCTGCACTTTCTGGAGCCCCAGACGAGTGGCTGGGTCAAACGCTTTGTGGCTGTACGACGCCCTTATGTTTACATATACAACACTGACAAGGACACAGTGGAACGAGCGATCCTTAACCTGTCATCCGCACAGGTGGAATACAGTGAGGACCAGCAGGCCATGCTGAAGGTACGCACACTTTTTTACTGTTGCCTCCAGTATTCCTAGGGAATTCATGGCACTTCTTCTAATAAAAGTGACTATTTTCAAAGCCAAGCTTTGCCAACAACAACAACTTGCACTTATGTAGCACCCTCCACACAGGGTAGTGTCTCAGAACAGCAACAACCAGAAACAAGACCTTTTATTCTTAAAGTAATTGATACGTTGTCAACTATGCGATTATGATGAGACAGAAATTTCTTAGGACGTAAAAGAATACTCACCATTGACAATGAGTGAGAAGGACACCCTCACACTGAATGTGGTATGTGGTAAATACACTGAAAATACAGTGTGTTTACCACATACAGCTATATAATACATACACTGTATTTTCATAAGGAAATGTATGCATTGTACAGTGAGATCCATCTCCAATTGATATCTCTTATACTTTTCAGGTACCCACGAACATGATGCCTTTTACCATTAACAATTAAATAATTTTCTATTCACGGCAATAAGGGGAAAATTATACATTTGGAACATCTGTATTGAGTGGGAATAAGTATGGAGTGGTGGGAATTCAGACCTGTAAATTAATTTGGAATTAAAGCTTTCCAGTGAAAAAGCAGTCAACTGAACCTGAATAAGAGCATGTAATGCTGTACTTGGATCTGATTGATGTTGGAATTGGGTGGGGGTGGGGAGAGGAGTAATTAATAGTTGCTGTATTTATGAAGTGGTTCATCCTTGGAAGTGGATTTAACTCTTTTTTCACTTGAATCTTTCTGCAGACTCCAAATACGTTTGCCGTATGCACAGAGCATCGCGGGATCCTCCTGCAGGCCTCCAATGATAAGGAAATGCAGGACTGGCTGTATGCATTCAACCCCCTCCTCGCTGGCTCAATCAGGTATGTGCTGTGCCAATGTCAGTGTATGGAGCGTATTGTAGAGTTGGGAATTCAAGTACAAAATCAGTTGCTCCTTTCTCATTTTAAGACTCTACCAGTTCTAAAATGCAAACCATCCCGACTTCATCTCTGATTTTCCCAAATCCTATGAGAAATGTTCCAGTAACACCTGGATTTCCACCATGATTAGAACCATGCTGGGATTAGCTGTTTGAATGGTGCACGGAAGGGTCTGGACTACATCAGAAAGTGATGGGGGAGGGGTGGGGGAGGTGTTCAGAGTGTATCAGAGCATTACATTAGGGGTGTAGAGTACACTAGTGTTACAGTGATATACAGAGTATATCAGACTGTTACAGTGAGAAAATGCTTTGACATTTGTGGTGTTTCCTGATGGCATTACATCCCTGTGTTTCAGATCAAAGCTGTCCAGGAGGAGGAATACCCAGATAAAGATCTGAGGGGGAGCCTGAGATTGCCTCGAATTCTAACTCTGCTCTTAACCTGGTGACATTAAACAGGACTCGTGTACATACTCAACCTTTCAAGCATTTGACGTGAAAACCCATCTAACATGCCTGCTCTACGTGTAGTAATTTATTGAGGAACAAAAAAAAATTATAGTTGTGTGAAAGCAAGCCGTGTCGCCTTGCGCTGGAAGCGCCGTGTTACATGTGCGTGTGATGCTCCGTATGTCTTCAACAAACAGTTAGGTATCAGTAATGACAGAGTTCTGTAGTGTGGACACTTGACACTGTTTCTGCTCTTGCATTAGTGGCGAGGGGTCAGGAGGATGACGGACGGCGGGGATGGGGGCGGTGAGGAGGCAAGGTGGATTGAAAGGCCTGGCCGCTCCAAACAGTAATGCTCCCAACAGGAAGAGGCTGAATGCGATTTGGTTGTGTGACTGAGACAAAAGCAGTCCCTGATTTGGTTTTCTCAAGCCTTTGGGATTTGTAGGCATTCCGGGAATGGAAGTAAGGTAGATGGATAGAGTCTAGTGTAAAATGAGACAAGCTTTCGCACGATTTGACAGGTTACCACTGGACTTGTCTTTTTGAGTTAGACTGGTACTGTTATCAACGATGGCCCCGATCAAGCACCCCCCCCATCTCCCCCACCCCCGATTCCTTGCCACATTCTGCACCATTCAATGCAGGCGGTTTCCTCCCACCTCCCCAAAGTGGTCTGAATGGTTTCAGTTTGTGTCCCGGAACAGCTTATCGCTCTGTATTTTGGAGAAGAGTGAAAGAGTAAAGGAGAAGTCAAAACACTGGAAAGGTAGAAGAGAGGAGTGGGGAAGAAAGAAATATAAAGCGATGTTGGACAAATTGATGAATGTTATATATATATTTATTCGATGTTCAGCTAATAAACACTAACTGCATAATTTTTTTTAGTAAGAATTGTCCCTCTGATTAAAGAAGGTTGGACAATATTATTCCCACCTCCATATACACACACTGGGACCTGCAACCCAGTCACTCTGTTATATTAAGTGATATATTGGATTTTACTGCATCAGTGCAGCTTCAGTAATAACTAAGCTTTGAAACATCATCCAGTGCCCATTGGATGCCAGCATGTGTGGCACTGTGTATACTGAATTAGTTAGCTGATCTGGCAGGCGGGAACCAATTCTTAATTTTATCTTTAACTAAAAGTGCAAAGGTTTGAACATCTTGAAGGAGTGAGGCCATTCATTCCCAGCCTGTTAGCAGTAACTTGTTGACCACTGGCACTTCTTTCAATTGTGTACTAATCTAGACAGGATCACAAGGAATGATCAACCAGTTCAGTTCTCTTACTGGTTATATGTTCTTCTGCTCTTCAAGAACAGGGTTGCTAATTTTCTGTCTTTCGCATCCCTTTCACTCTAACAGGCCATGTTGTTTATGGCAGGGAAAGGCAGTGGAGACATAACGTGAAAGAGAACTGTGTGATTTATTTATGTACTGGATGGCGATCACTGATGTACTTGTTTCTTTGTTACGAGGGAGTTAAGTATATTCACAGATTGGTACTGAGGAGGTTTCAGTGACAGAGGTCAGGGCTCTTGTTCATGACTAATTTTTCTATTATAAAAATCCACGCTCATGGACTGATGGAGAACGCAGTATTTCTCACTAAGATCTGTAAATTTTCTGAGATCCGAAGAATCATCTGTCTTGTGTTTATCAGATAATTCCAAACTGCACTGTTGTTTATTGTTACCAAAAAGGACTAGTAATGAGCACGTGTTCAATTGCATAATAGTTAAAAGGCAAATCTGAATCTACTTACAATATAAGTCACATTGGTGTGTAAGCAAGGCTAGAATTGCACCTGATTTGCACTTCAAACATTGGATTTCATGGTAAACAGCAAATCAGAAGGTAAATGATCAAACGTTAACTCAAACTTAGAGCATCAAGGTCTTAATCTGTGTCCTTGCAAAGTTTGAGATAAGACAGCGCCTTATCACAGCATCTGGTACTGAGGAAAGCACTAACCATTCACAGCAAACCTTAATTTGCACATTGGTGTGTGTAATGTACGATTCTTCTGCACTTTCTCTGTGTTGTCTGTAATTGAGTATTTGTCACTAGGCCGATGCTCTTTGTGTTCTATGCACTATGAGGCTTTCTGACCTGCACTGAGTGTATTCAGACAGTTGTGTGTCACAGAAGTCCCTGTACCTACACCCCTTAGACCTTTTTGCGTTGGAAGCATGTTCCCTGGCACACTGTGCAGGCTGATTAGGCTTTGTTACTGTATAGAAGTTCCATTTGTAGAGAATTTCAAGGAAACAGAGTCTTGACTCGTGTGTAACTGGCATTCCGGACTATGCACCCATCCCATGGCACTGAGAATGTTTGCACCCATCCCATGGCACTGAGCATCCCTCTACTATCAGACTGAGCAAACAAAACTTTTCTTCAAAACATACATCAATTGGGGAATTCTCTTCTACAAAAAATTAATTATTAATTGAAAGCAAAGAAACAAAAGGAGTTTGTATGACTTGTTTCACTATTCTTAAATACTCAGCAGCACAACCACTCAAGAAGACATAATACACAAGGCGAGCTATAGTTTTCTCGGGTGATCATTCTCCCCACAACTTTACATTAGTGTGACTGATGTTATGAGTTTCCTTTATGTGTTGCAGGCTGCACATAATCACAGAGAGATGAGCAGCAATGCTGATTTGCACTCACAGTGGAAAGGCAGTGACTCTGGGAAGTAAAGTAGTCTCTTGGAGTGTTCATTATACACTTCTACATTACAAGACATGTAAGTTGCAGTAACCCACACAACCATCTACTAATAATCAGATCTACACTTCATTACACTTCAGGTATACAGGAGGCTATCATCTCACAGCTGCAGTATCAATGGGTTCCTGATAATATCAACAACTTTTAAATTTAGACAAAGCTCTCAGGTCTTACTCTGTAGATTAGGTTACGTAGGAACATGGGGTAATGATGTTTAACCCTGGAAATTATGGTGTGCTGGAGCAGAAGTGAGATAATTGTGTTAGTAAAGTGCAACGTTTAAGGACGTTTTGAGATAAGTAGCAGATGTCCTTGACCGGCCAGTCTTTGGACGATGCTATGTCTGATGAGGGACACAGTGAAATATATCATAGAATGTTCCTAATCTCTGTGGAATATAGTGCACTTAGCAGAGGTGTGTGCCTTAGGCCAGCCAACCTAAAGAGCCCACCTACCTGAGTAAAGTAGGCTTGTGAAGGGGAGAAGGTAGATGAAGAGGAGCCCTTCAGCTTCAATGATGAGACAGAGACATGATTCCAGAAAAATAGTTCTCACTTCTGCTAAATTTTGAGCAGAGACACTGTGCACCAGAGTAGAAAGTCAATGTTTTAACAGAGAAAGAGTCCATTCCAAGGTCTTTTGCTTAAATCAGAACTTCACAATAAATGTAGTATGATACATCAGTTAAGTTAACACTAACAGTATATTTAGTAATTTAGAAATTGCATGAAATTTTTATGCAGTCCCATTAAAAATGTCCATAGTCACAGATTGTTAGTCAGTCAGTTGGAGAGCCATATTGCATTGATACTGAGCAAATGTAGTTTGTAACTAAACACTGCATGCAATTTATAGATAGATGATATTTAGTCAAGAACCCACAAACTAGATTCTGGAGGGACAGCTATAATATCAAGACTTAGAGTGTCTGCAGGACAGACTGAATCAGTTGGTGTAGGGTAAATGGTGAACTTATTTCAGTACAAAATTACTAACTCTTTAAAATCCAACATTTCCCATCTAATGCCTTATTCAACTATCAACTCTTTGTCATGCACACTGCAGGTTTTATTAATCAATCTTTTAAACCATGTGGTTCCACATTAGGTTCAGAGCTGCTTTTGCTATGTATATGTCTGCGTGATTATATTGTTTCATAAAGAGAAAAAAGACAGCATGCTTTAAATAGTTTTCCTACATCCCTGACTGACTGGAAATGTTATTTCACATACATTTCATTCAGCGGCAGGAGATACCAAATCCTTATCAGTGAACAATTTACTGACGCTCACTTAATATTCAATGAATCATTGGGCAATTGACCAAACAAGCATGTAGTTGTTACAGTAAGTAGGCTTGGCTCAGTTATAGATTGGTTATTACAGCTCCCACTTAAAAGTGGATCAGTTCTAGTTACAATTTGCTGTGGATAAATTGAATGTAGAGTTAAGCAAAGGAGTGTAACATACTGAGGAGTATAGCTATTCTTGCCATGGTTTTCTCCTAGGGGTTCTGATGTTTGTTGGTTTGAGCTGGAACAGAGAACCTAAAGCTGATTAAAAGAATTTGCCTGCACATTGTGCTTTATTCACAGCTCACTCCTTTATTCCACTATAAACATTGTTTCAACATTCATCAACACCAGATATTACCTCGCCTTGACCGGTCTTCAAACTGGATCAGTGGCTTGAAACTGGTGGGTGTTAATTGAGGCAATAAATACGAACGGCTTCTCCTTTAAGTATAATAATTAAATGGTTGGGGAGAAATTCCATCTGGGTCCACACTTACATTCTTTTCTTAACATTTCAGAGCATGTAGAATTTGACATTCTTGAATGGAGCCTTAATTTGGAAGTAGTTCCGCCCCAGGCTGACTTACTATATCTTTATTTTTATCCCATACGTTCAGCCACATTAGAAAGTGAAAGATTTTTGCATCAGTGTGAGAGAACACACACATAAGGTGAGGCACAACAGGATGGTGCTACACGCAAAAAGAAAAGTGATAGATGCGCAAAGAAAGTGTAAGAACACAAAGAGGCACACAAGGGAACTCAGATATGCATCTGAAGAGAAAACGAGATGTACATAAAGAAACAGAGAGGCTGAGAAAGAAAGACCCACACAGAGCAAGAGAAGTAGAGGCATTTCCACATTATTCAGGAAAGTATGCCAAAACTGCAACGATGTGAGAAAGAGATAAAAATAACTGGCATTGCCATCAGCATAACTGATATCTTTCCCCAGTGTGCTCGAGTCAAACAGAAGCTTAGCCTGCCCTCCGCGCCCACCCCCCCTCACCACCACCCCTCTCAAACCCTACCGAAAATCAGTTTCATATACATTCGGAAACTCAGATGTGCCCAAACGTTCAGAGAGATGTTAATTACCAGATAGAATTTTTTTTTAATTTCTGTGCTTCCATCGCCAGTTAGTCAATGCCTATTCTTCCCACATTGCCTCAGCTTTGTAAATTCCGAAGACCTCCTCTGGCTTTGTATATAAAGTGACGGCTGTGAACGCTCTCACAGTGTATATTATACATTTATGTGCCATCTCTAATGGTCAGTAGTCTCTTGAAGTGTGAACCATGAGTGTTGGAGTCTTCAGTTGTTTGTGAACCCTTTTAACGCATTGTCAAAGAAATAAACGTGGCATTTATGCAGTGCTGGACCGAGCGAGTTGGTGGAGTTTGTGCCTCCCGTTGTATTATGCGCGTGGGTATCAGTACACCATGTCGTACAGTATCACCACAGAGTGTTGTACAATATTTACCCAAGCATCACGATACACATAGGAGTGTCACTACACAGTACAAAGATGACATGTCACATAACACATGCATGTAAGATCCACATGAACAAAGGAGAACAATGCAGGATGTGAGAGTATCACAACAGTCACGTTACAACAACGACATCTTGTATTTATTTAGCACCCCTCAAGCAGGGTAACATCCCCGAACGATTAATAGTATGCACAGGAACAATTTACCATATATGCATGTATCACAATGTGCACAAGACTGTATGGCAGTTATACAGGTGCATTGTAAATGGTGTACAAACAAGACGTTGAAGATCCCATGCCTCTTTTTGAAAAGATAAGGGATTATCTCCCGTTGTCCAAGCCAACAATCCCCCAAATAAAATTGGTCATTGACTTCATGACTGTTTGCGCACCATTGCTGTGCACCAATTGGTTGCCACGCTCACCTACAAGATATACAGTCACTACACTTTATATCATAATGTTTTGGTGACGTAATAAAGAGCTATAAAAAATGTAAATGCTATTATTACTATTCAAGACATAAGGGGGATTATTCTCTTCCTGTCTGGCCACAAATATCAAAACCATAAAATGAGCATAGTACAATGTATACAGGAGTAGCCTGTAGTATTTAGAGGGATAATGTACAATTAAAAGCTAAATCTTCTATGTATCAGAAAGGAATTCAATTAATAGGTTCAACATTTTAGAATCTTAATTTGTAGCACAGCACCAAAAGCACTTTCAAATAAGTCAGAAAGAGTTTCTCCCAGTGTCCAGGCCAACAAATTCCCCAATAAAACTTGGACACTCATTTCATGGCTGTTTGCAGAACATTCTTGTGTGCAACTGGCTACCTCATTTTGCCCACAAAATATACAGTCAAGCCACTTTACAGTATATCCTGTGAAGTGCTTTGAGATGTCTCAACGATGTGATAAGGCACTATATCAAATGAAAGGATTATTATTATTATAAAGATAATAACCAATGTAAATAACCGTGAGCACTTTCAAGAGAGAACCACTTGCCTCCCTAGGTAGGAGTATGGAGGAGTAATGCACCCAATCACAGTGTGTCACTGTATAGTATAAACAGTGGTTATACCTAATGTTGCGCACAAATGCATTGCATAGCACCATTGCACCATTATTATCATCGTGATATTATACCTCAAATGACTAATGCTGGACGAGCAAAAATCTTGACTTTCTTGACTTGCACTTAATAAGCTGACCTACAAAAGTAGGCTGAAGATGGATTTTCCAAGAACAAATATAATAGCTTTGACGATGCATGGAAGCAATTACCTAATGTTGGTTTGCGAACACACTTTCTTATATCCAACTGATACAGCGCATATAAATTTACATTTACGTAGTGCATTTCAGGCTGGAAGGATGTCCCAAGGTGCTTAACAACAACAACAAGATTTCATTTCATTTATATTTCATTCATTGCTTAACAAGACTAGCTTGGCACCCAAGTTGGGTGTGGGAGCTGAGAAGGTTGAAGGAGGGGAAAGATGACTAAAAGCGCAGTCAAAGTTGTGGATCTTGACACAGACCTTGAACGAGTGAACGAGTTGAGCACAGTTGAAGGGACTCGGGGATGGAGTTCCAGAGAATGGGGTAGAAAGGCTGAAAGCTTGCCTGCCAATGGTGGGGCAGATAGGGTGGGGGATATGAAGCAGGCCAGTGCCTGCTGACTGAAGGGACGCAGCCGAGTCAGTTGGGAGTCACTATTCAATGAGTTTCAGTGTTGTTGTATTTCTGGTTGTGGGATAGTGTCAATGCAAGAACACACTTGATGTGCATCTATGTTGTCCACAATACGATTTGGGAAGAATTCCTGGAACTGGTTATCACTCCAGCAAGAGCTCAATCACCTATCCAATCACTAACATCTCACTATTGAGTTTGGGCGAAGCTACGAGGACTGCCTCGGAGTCAGGCTGCTGTCATAATCACACACCTGGAGGGAGAGCAGGAGGTAACTGTATTTGCTGTTGTGAATTGGTTAGTGATGATGAGAGAAAAAATCTTAATGCTCTAGAATGGAAGATCCACAAGCTCTGTAACTCGGGCCGAGAGGGAAATCTCGCCATCTGAGTGAAACAGGACGACGCTGGGGCCCAGGGATATCCCTCGTCTCACTGTATCCTACCATCCGGGGAAAACCCCGCTATCCCAGTGTAACCGAGGGATACTTGGCTCCAGGGGAAAGCCCACTATCTCACCGTAATCAGGCAGTTCGGGGGAAACGTTGGTGTTTCATTGTACCATAAGAACATAAAAATTTGCTAGGCCAAAGAAGTCCATCCAGTTCGCCTTCCACCATCCTGTCAGTCACACGCACATGTCATGTCCCAAACTATACACTGTATCCCAAGGTATTAATTCCCAACAGGAATCTTATCAGCTTCCACCATCGTCCTTGGAAGCCTGTTCCGTATATTTACTACTCTCTCACCGAAATAGTGTTTCCTGCTAAAAAGATTTGTACTGAATTTGGCCCCCCTTCAATCGCAAGAGGGCAGCACTGGAAACCCTGGTATCTCACAGTAACCGGGTCCGTCCATCCCGCGAAGCGCTTCGAGATGTCTCGAAGACGTGATGAGGCTCTGCGACCAAACGCGAGGGCTATGATTATTATTGTCATTATCATTAATGGTCCCCTGGATCGCGCTCTGAATTTGCTCCCCATCCATCGCAAGAGGCGGCGCTGGAAACCCTGGGGTCGCGCGGGGGGGGGGGGGTAGTGGGTGGTGGGTGTTGGGGGGGTAGTGGGTGGTGGTGGGGGGGTAGTGGGTGTTGGTGGGGGGTAGTGGGTGGTGGGTGTTGGTGGGGGTAGTGGGTGGTGGGTGTTGGGGGGGTAGTGGGTGTTGGGGGGGTGGGTGGTGGTGGTGGGGGTAGTGGGTGTTGGGGGGGGTGGGTGGTGGTCGTGGGGGGGTAGTGGGTGTTGGGGGGTAGTGGGTGGTGGTGGGGGGGGTAATGGGTGTTGGGTGTTGGGGGGGTAGTGGGTGGTGGGTGTTGGTGGGGGGTAGTGGGTGGTGGGTGTTGGGGGGGTGTGGTGTTGGGGGGTAGTGGGTGGTGGGTGTTGGGGGGGTAGTGGGTGGTGGGGGGGGGGTAGTGGGTGGGGGTGGGGGGGTAGTGGGTGGTGGGGGGGGGGGGGTAGTGGGTGGTGGTGGGGTGGGGGGGGTAGTGGGTGGGGGTGTTGGGGGGGTAGTGGGTGGTTGGGGGGGTAGTGGGTGGTGGGGGGGGGGGGGTAGTGGGTGGTAGTGGGTGGTGGTGGGTGTGGGGGGTTAGTGGTGGTGGTGGGGGGGTGTTGGGGGGGTAGTGGGTGTTGGGGGGGGTAGTGGGTGGTGGTGGGGGGGGTAGTGGGTGTTGTTGGGGGGTGTGGGGGTGATGGAGGGGGTATCCGGGCGGCGGGCGCTAGGACCCGGGGCTGAGAGTGGGAGTGGGTGGAGCCGGCGCGAGGCCGCACTGGGAGCCTCGGTGTTTCCTGCCGGCGGCGGCGGGGGAGGGGGAGGGGGAGGGCGGCGGCGGCGGTGGGTTTGCGGATGAGGTTGAGGACAGCGGCCGCTGTCGAGTGATTGGTTGAAGAGAAGAAGCCGACGACGATGAGCGGCGGCGGCGGCGGATCCGCGGTGGATTTATTCGGGGATCTGCCCGAACCCACCCAACCCCCCGGTAAGAGGGGAGAGAGAGGTTCATATTATTATTAATAATGTTATTAATTATTATTATTACAGAGAGAGAGAAAGGGTTAAATATGACCATTAATGATTATTTTTGTTACACGGGGAGAGACCGGGAGAGGGTTAACATTATTAATATTATTTATTTGTACATTATTATTATTACAGAGAGAGAGAGAGAGACAGAAGGTACTGGAAGGGTGGGGGGGGGGTGGGGGGGGTGAGGTGGGGGGGGGTGAGGGGGGTGAGGTGGTGAGGGGGGGTGAGGTGGTGAGGGGGGGTGAGGTGGTGAGGGGGGGGGGGGTGAGGGGTGGGGGTGAGGTGGTGAGGTGGTGAGGGGGGGGGGGGGGTGAGGGGGGGGTGAGGTGGTGAGGGGGGGGGGGGTGAGGTGGTGAGGGGGGGGTCGGGGGTGAGGTGGTGAGGGGGGGGTGAGGTGGGGGGTGAGGGGGGGGGGGGTGGGTGGTGAGGGGGGGGTCGGGGGGTGAGGTGGTGAGGGGGGTGGTGGGGGGGGGTGAGGGGGGGGTGGGGGGTGAGGGGGGGGGTGGGTGAAGTTTTTTTTAAACCATTTTTATGGGGGCGAGAGGTTTGTTATTCGATTTATACAATCGTTTTATTACAAAGGGAGTGTGTGGGGGGTTTGTTATCATAATAATAATAATAATAATAATCCTCGCGTTTGACGCGGCGCCTTATCGGATCGTCGAGACGTCTCGGAAGAGCGCTTCATCACGGGGTAGACTGTAAAGCGAAGTGACTGTGTTATTCCTGGGCACAGAGAGAGGAGGGAGGGAGGGAGGGTACTGGAGGGGGTGGGGGAGGCGAGGGGAGAGTGGGGGTGGGGGGGGGGGGGTTTGTAAGGGGAGAGCGGCTGGAGGTTTAGGGGTAGACGATACGCGCTGGGGTTTTGGCCGAGGGTCCCCGGTGCGTCCGTAACGCATCGAGGTTTCTGCCGACTTTATTCGCGAGCGAGAGTTTTTACTTCGGAGTGGTTGACCGATCAGCGGGGGGAGGGGGCGCGGCGGGGGGAGGGGGCGCGGCGGGGGGGGAAGGGGCGCGGCGGTGGGAGGGGGCGCGGCGGGGGGAGGGGGCGCGGCGGGGGGAGGCGGCGGTTAGTAGACTGGTCTGGCCTGGTAGAAATTTGGATGGGGTGGTGGGGGGGGGGGGGCGGCTAAGGGGGTACACGGCAGAACCAGTTGGAGGCACGAGGGAACAGATGAAAAGTGGACCCACAAACAAGTAAAGCGTATTAAATCTTTACGTGCTTGGGGTTTTTTTTTTGTTTGTTAGGCAATGACGTGGAGAAAGCAGGACCTTCGCTCTTTGATGACCTACTAGATGTAGGCAACCCAGACGTAGGTAAACGCACAGCCGGAGATGACATCTCTTATATTTCTCGCTGCCCTGCTTATATATATTTGAATTCGCTCTGCAGAATTACCGCTTGGTTTTTGTTTACATGTGTAAACACGCTTTTGTTTCTCTTTATTGTGTTTTTGCAACTGTCTCTGGCGTTGTTCAACATGAGCATTTGGACATTATTCCCGCCACCGCTTCTGTAACACGCACCATTTCTCTGCCCTTCCAAGTCTCCGCCAATGCCTTCAGATAGGCAGAGTATCTCAGAGCTGTGTGAGAGTAGTTATGGTGGATGGACATTCTCAGCCGAGCTATTTTTCGCTGCTTTGTTCCTTCTTTGGTGGGAAATCATCTCGCTTCTACTCCTGGAGAGTTGTCATGGAAGTAAACTTGAATGCGCTACACAGAGCTACCGTTTGTGATTGACACAAAAAAAATCAGAAGTCTTTCTTACTGAATTAAGTCTCTGTAAATTCAGAGGCAAGATCAGCTTCTGTATTGTAGAGTTAACCCCTTTTATAATCTGCAGATGCATGGGTTTAGGATGTAGCCATACATTGTCACGTATGCTTTGCAATGGCATCATTGTCAGTGCTCCCTGCACAATTTATTCTGAAATGCACTATTGTGCAAGGTGTTCAGCACCTTGGGACGTCCTCCTGATGTGAAAGGCACTATAAAAATGTAAATTTGTATTGTAAGAGTGAACTGGCCTCTAGAAGCTCAGGCAAGCAGGACAATACATGAGTTGACCCATAACTTGGATTACATATGGATTGCGTTATATAGGGGCCCATGTTCATTACTGGTTTAGAACAGGACTCATCCTAAATGCAATCATCTATTTGTTCCTTATTCCCTGTAAACTATAAGGGATTACCACATATCAGGTTAAGCCATTAGTTGACCAAAATTTTCACGGGCTGATAAGTAAAATTAATTGGCATCAAATTTACGATGGTCGCAAACTGGATTTGTTCCCATTAATTGCGACTTCCTAAGTTTGCTAAATTTGGGTTACATGATAAGTTTCTGTATAAGTTTTTGAGTATTTTGCAGTGCAGCTCTATACTATTACTAAAACATGGAGCTAGTTGTCTCTTCCATTTAATTTCCTCTATTTATTCCTGCACATATCAGCACCTCGTTCACCTAACCTGTCTGGAGAGATTCCAAAACTGCCGAATGACCTGAAGGGGGAGAAGCGGAAAGCTTGGAATCAAAATGGATCCGAGGAGCATACGAAGAAGCTGTGTAAAGGTACTGTAATTGGACCAATGGAGGGGGCGATCAATTTTTAAATAATTTAAATGGGCAGAAGATTGGACTGCCGGTGCAGAACACTGATACTCTGTTATTGAGAATGTTTAAAATGGTCTGATAGGTCTATATAACCAGCAAGCTCTGTCCAGATATTTGTGTGTAAGCGTCTTGAAGGACCTGACATTATCACATAGTGCATGGTCAAAAGTTTAACGGTCTTTAGCATTTTTTTAAAAAATGCCTATTTTTGCACTGAGGGCTACTGCCTGTGTCTGTTATGTTATCCTTTAGTATGAGAGTGAATTCATTTGTCCTGTAGATGCTGATGGGAAAATGCTTGGCTGTGATACATACCTATTCCCACATAACCGCCTTGCATGGGTCAGACTCCTACTTGAATGCTCCTTGATGGGGGCACAAGAAGGCTGCTGTCATTTATTTTGATGTCTGCAGGAGAGGAAGTGAGAAATGGACGAAAAGAAACCTTGGTTCAGTAAGAGTAAATAAAGCGGTATTTTACAGCAGATTTTGTTCTTTTTTTCCAGGACTTGTGACCTTAAAAGGTTATGTAGCAGAGCGAAAGGGTGAACGAGAAGAAATGCAAGATGCCCACGTAATCATCAACAATTTCACAGAAGAGTTCACACAATTACCACAGGAAATGTTAGTACTATACTGCAGTGACAAAATCAGACTGATTATATTTACAGGACTGAAACTGAGTTCAAGCACATTGCTCAGGCACTACAGAGTATTCTCTGCATCTAACTTGTGTTATACCTGACCCGGGAGTGCGTAATGGAACATACACATAATACCAGATCTTGGAGTGCTTGATGAGACAGTGAAGATAGAGATTTATTGTGTATCTAACCCATGTTGTAAATGCTGTGAAAATCCCTGAGTCTGGGATTCAAAGTGTAAAAGTGTTCCATTTCCCAGCACTATAATTCCTCCACATTGTTCCCTTTCCTGGCCAAGACGCTGGGAATGGATTCTTGTCTGGACTTGCTGCCAATGCGACTCTGTAACTTGCTCCTGAGTGCTGTGCTGAAACTGCTAATGTGACCTTTGCCCAGCAATTCGCCATAAGTACATGATTTGTAGGAAGCTATACCACAGATTGAACTGTAGAACTTTGTATTATTTTCTGCGGTGAGGTATGCTACAACTCTGAAGTAATATATTCCTGCTGCTAGCGCCTGAATATCATATGTTTCCCTGAAAGATTGTGCTTTTTTTTCTTGCCACTGTGTCCTCAGCTTCCTTGATTTGTTTATGAACTGGAATTTTCTTGGTTGCAAGTTTGAGGTTTATCGGTGCTTGAATGGTCAGTTGTTGGGTAATCACCTGATATTTTAGTGATTGTCATTGATCATTACCCCCGTTTCCCTCTCCTGCATTTAGCTCTCGATTGTCTTACTTTGCTGTTTTTGACGGCCATGGTGGGATGCGAGCTTCCAAATATGCAGCCCAGAATCTTCATCTGAACCTCGTCAAGAACTTCCCAAAAGGTAACTGCGTTGCAACAAGAAGCAGGAAGAAGTATGTTAGGACATTGGAGGTAGGTGAAATGGGGATTGGTGGTGGGATTAAACGACAAACTATAGGAAGTGAAAGGCCATTTAATCTCTCGAGAGCATTGCTTAATAACTGGTAAAACGTTCAAAAGGAGATGAATCTGAAATTTGCCCTGATTTGTAAAGTGAGTGAAACCGGCATATCAGTGTAACATAGAAACCTGCATTCTTCTATCTTATAAATCTGGGCCCATCACGTTTCATTCTGTATTTCATTACCCATTGACTGTCTGCTGCAATATAATTGATGCTTCGATGCCTCAGGCTCTGCACTTGTATTGCTGTGATGCAGGTGAGAAGTTTTTGTAACAAGACTATCTTTTTGTGCCCTCCCTTAAAACAGAAGTGAGTAATCTAGAGAAAACCATTAAGAAATGTCTTCTTGTGACCTTCAAACAAACGGACGAAGGCTTTCTCAAGCAGGCATCAAGCCAGTGAGTAGTGGCATGAGGGGAGTAGCATTGTATAAATATTATTTGGTTTGTTCATGGATTGCTGAGAATTAGTTCTAAGATTAATGATACAGTAATTAATTATGAGTTCTTTATTCTGATACAGTGCACTCGGTATAATTGCATGGGGTCGGGACTGGACAGACCCGATCCCATGCAGATATACGGAGCATGCAAGATCCTAGGTATTCTGTGCACGCAGTCAGGAGATGATTTTCAAGCAGTTTCTTGCGTGCGACCACTCATTGGGCTATAAGAAGCCTGCCTAGCAATACTGCTACTGGTCAGTACTTGTGTGGATTGTTTTTGCCCTCTTATGTCTTGTTCCATGCTCAGTCCTGACCAAGTGCAACTGCCTCCAAACAATTTGCTGCTACTTAACTGCTCCTAAAGTTGTGTAAGAATCAGTACAAGTTTCTTTCCTCCAACCTCTACTAAACCTGCACCACACTCGCTGCCTTGCCACAATACTTTGATGCTGCTTTACCGACCGGATGGTCGCAAGTTGCCCTGATTTAATTCTGTCAGAACTGTGTTGTAACTGAGCCCCGAAACAGTCTGTATTTAATCAGTGAATTAACTGATCTTATTGGTATTCTTTCTTGTAGGAAGCCAGTCTGGAAAGATGGATCCACTGCAACGTGCGTTTTGCTGGTGGATGATGTTTTGTACGTTGCAAACCTTGGTGACAGCAGGGTATGCAATTCTCAGTTCATACTTGAATGAAACCTTAGTCAACATTGTCCTTTGCTGAGCTATGTATGTGTAACTCTCAAACATTTGTCTTTACCTTCTCACGCTCTTTCTGTCCTCTCTTTCACTTGCTCCAGCATTTTTTTCCATTCTACCTTTCTGTTATTCCCATTCTCTCTTATTCCATCAACCCTTCCTTCAGTTAACCTGACTGATCCTAGGGAATCCTGAACATGATTCTGTATCCTGCTGTAAGTTTGCTGTTGAATGCAGTACTTGGCCACAGGGTGGTGACATAAAACAGATTAAATACTTTGAGTAACATTGTACCTAACCTGAACATAAATTAATAGTATCTTGTGACCTTGGCTATTTAAATGTTTTATTAAAAGGGTAAAGAATGTCCGGAATAATTGTTTTCTGTTCCAAGTACTTCCTAATGTACATTTTTGTTTGCCTGTCAAAATAAATCTGCACGTTTCTTGCCTGACTGAGACCTGCCATCTCAGTTCTCCCCTCTCCTGAGCTGCACTGGATAACAGCCAAGAGAATCTTTGAGTGCCTCAATTTACTTTGATGGGGCCCAATTCTGTTGAGCAGCCTGAGAATCGATTTGGAGTTGGTGGACTCGCTGAAAATCACAGTATTATTGCCTGCTTTTTTCCCGTCCTCAGCTTTTTATGACATTTTTTTTGTGCACACTGTTGGAACATTATCAAGGGAACTTTACTCTGTATCTAATCTGCTCCTGAACTGGTTCCTGAAATTGCACAACTTGGTATCAAACCCATTCTGTGGCTGACTTGCAAGTGCATGTTGCAGATACTTGATGGTGCCCATAGAGGAACAATTGTTAACATTCTTCAGCAGTGACATTCTGCATCTTGAATTTACATTGGTCCACATTTTAAATGCTGTCTGTGCTAAAGATTTTTCTGATGTTTAAAAGGACTATGTTACAACATCTTGGCTTTTGCCTGGCAAGGAGACTAAAAGATAATAATGATAATCTTTGCATTCGATATAGCATCATTTACGTCAGAACGACATCTCAAAAGCGCTTCACAGGATTTACTGTAAAGTGTAATGACTGTATTTAGTAAGTGAACCTGACAGCCAATCTGCACACAGCATTGTCTCACAAGCAGCCATGAAGTGAATGACCAATTTTATCTGGGGGATTATTGGCCAGGACACCAGTAGAAACTCCCTTTTTCTTTTTGAATAATGGCATGGATCTTCAACATCCATTTGAACAGGCAATGTGACAAAGGATCCAAAAGGACCAGACAAAAGAAATCTATGTATCAGAATATATTCTTATTAAAACTATGGGTTGGAATCAGAGATTCCTTGCTAATATGGACGAGCCATTCAGTAGAGGTACTGTACTTAATAGTTCTGTTTTACCTGTGGACCACACACAGGGCTGAGTACTTAACCAAACAGCAATGATGATCTTTTAGACTCTGATTCGATCTTGGAGTAGTGTTGATTTTTGTAAAGTAACAAACGTCAAATCTCATTCAAACCCATTGACTTAACAACAGACTTGAAACTTGTTGCAGTTATCAGTTGCTCAGCATGTAACCAGGCTCTTGATAAAAGATGGCAAATGCTTGAAGATAAGATGGTTGGAATAGTTTCAGCAGAGTGACATCTTCCTGAACTTTTATGATAATTGTTATCTGTGACTACGTGCAATGTAACAGCAACTCCTTTGCTATTTGTGTCAGATAACTGTTAGATATTATTTTATATTTACATGTTTTATATTCCAATGACACTCAATAGGTAGTGACATTTTGGGATGTGCTTGCTGAACTATTCGCTGACATTTACACTGATCTCCTATCTTTAATAGGAATGACCTATGTAAGAGAGTGCTTCTGGCCTGCAAACATACAGATACCAAAGCTTGAAGCTCTCAAAATGTATAGCAAAGCAGTCTAGTTGGTGGTATTTGCCAAACTATATGTGGAGGAGAAAGAAGACCCAAAGGTCTCAAACAAGTGAACCAAGACTTGGATGCACATATTAATAATAATAATAATAATAATGATAGCATTTGATATAACGCTTTATCGTGTTATTGCAACATCTCAAAGCGCTTCACAGAATATACTGTGACATGAATTGACTGTTGTGGGCGAGGAGAATAATGAATAATAGTGGGAGAGGTAAGCACAGAAAACTTGATAGAACAGGTGTGCGTTGAGCCAAATAATAGATAGCAATCGAAAACCGGTATCCAATCTGACTGTTCATGTGCTAATTATCCCATAATTGAAAATTCTGCTTTGTCGATGTATTAATTTATTAACTGGTAAAGGGTATGACTCTTCCACCCCCACTCCAACTCTCTATGTTTCTCAATCCAGAGTACTCCCAAAAAATTTAAGTCATTGGTTAGACTTTAGACCATCAACTGATACTATGGATGGTCTATGTGTGTGTCTGGCTGCATGGTAAGAAAAACCATAGGATAAATTGGAGATGTATATATACTGTTAACCATTATGTAGTGAAGTGAAATTTAGCTTCTAATTTTCAGGCCATTCTGTGTCGCTACAGTGAGGAGAATAAGAAGCTCATGTCCCTTCCACTAGGGAAAGAACACAATCCAACTCAGTACGAGGAGCGAATGCGAATACAAAAGGCAGGAGGTACAGTCAGGTAATGATAACAATAATAATCCTTGCATTTGATAAAGCGCTTTTCACATTCTCAAAGCGCTTCACAGAATAGACTAAAGTGAATTGACTGTATATTTGTCGGCGAATCTTCACAAGACCTTGCTGCATAAGCAACATTTTTAGTTAATATATGTAGAGCAGGGTGGTGCAACTGGCAGCCCAAGGGCCAATTTCATCCACGATCCCCGCCCCTCCCCCCACCCCCATTTCATCTGGCCCACCAACTCCCTCCATAACCCGGAAATGTTACATTTCTGAAACCTCCAAATATTGCTTATGCGGCCTGCGGACATTTCTCAAATAGGACATCCGTCTCTCAGCGGCCAAAAGGTTGGACCACCCTGATTTAGAACAATGAGATTATCCATTGCTCTTTTGTACTTTGGAGTGCATGATTTCAGTAACAAGAGACGGGGTTACTCTGCTGCCTGCTAAGCAGGACGACAAAATTCAACCTGCATGTGCAACAACAATACAACAATAACGATATTACATGTATAGAGCGCCTTTCTCGTCGGGAGGATGTCCCAAGGCTCTGAACAGTCAGGGGTCAGGACCCGAGCATGGGGGTGGGGTAGGGGTGAGGGAAAGCAGAGAGCTGGGAGGGCGACTGAAGGCACGATCGAAGAGGAGGATCTTGAGTCCGGCCTTGAAGGAGGCAAGGGAGGAAGCGAGGCGAAGGAACTGTGGGATGGAGTTCCAGAGTGTGGGGGCAGAGAGGCTGAAAGCCTGGCCACCCATGTTGGGGGGGGTCGGGCGGGAGACATGGAGCAGGCCGGAGCCCACTGAACGGAGGGAGCGGTCAGGTTGGTTGGGAGTCAGCAGGTCAGAGAGGTAGGAGGGGACAAGGCCATGGATGGCCTTAAAGTGAGGACGAGGATCTTGAATTTGATCCTCTGAGGGATGGGGAGCCAGTAGAATTGGGCGAAGGTGGGAGTGATAGGGTCACGGAGCCTGATGCACGACCTGCAGTTATGGATGATCTGCAGCTTGTGAAGGGAAGAGTTGAGAAGGCCGACGAGGAGGGAGTTTCTATAATTAAGCCTTGATGTGACGAATGCGTGGGTGAGGATTTCGGCAGCCTGAGGGGTGAGGCAGTGGCAGAGTCTGGCAATGTTGCAGAGGTGGTGATAAGCAGTGCTGATCATGGTGAGGATATGGGGGAGAAAGGACAGTTCAGGGTCAAACAAGACACCCAAGTTCCTGACTGGCTTAGTGAGGTTGAGTGCAGCCGTGGAGGCTGATGCTGCCAGCGCCCGAGGTACGGAGGCGCTGGCGCGAGCCAATCAGGAGGGCCTCAGTCTTGCTGACGTTCAGTTGGAGAAAATTGTCCCTTGTCCAGGACATGATGTTGGACAGGCAGTCGGTCAGGACGCCAGTAGTCCTGGAGTTGAGGGTGGAGACAGAGAGATAGAGTTGGGTTTCATCCACATACATGTGGAAATTTACCCCATGTACGTAGTTTCCTAGAAGTTACTGAGGGCCACAGATGGAGCTGAGTTTTCTTGCCACATTTTCCGGTAATCTTGTCTCTGTGCAATGACTATGATTGCTAAACCAAGTCGCTGATTTTGCCATTCACTTTGTTTAAATAAGGAGCAAACACTTCACACAGTGGGTTCACTCCAGGAAATAGAACATTAGATTTTCACCAGGTCAGCGTTGAAGGCGAGAAACAACAGCCAGTATAATTTCTTGAGGAAACCTTGAGTTAGCATTGCGATAAGGTTCACAATCAGTCAAGAGACACTTAGGTCAGTCGCGTGGTATCTCAAGCTGTCAATCAGCCAAGTACATGGTGCAGGGTCCTGCGGGGTTGCATCTTTTCTGTGCGTTTTTAAGGGTATCATTGCTGGCGATCAGAGAGTGACATTTTGAATTGCCTTTGTACAGGGATGGGCGAGTATTGGGTGTGCTGGAAGTGTCGCGCTCCATCGGAGATGGACAGTACAAGCATTGTGGTGTGATATCCGTCCCACATGTGAAACGCTGTCAATTAACATCCAATGACAGGTACAGTGATAACATTAGTAATTTCCAACAAAAAATGTGCTTGTTCTGTTCAAGGGCCTTGTGTTAAGTTAAAAGAGTTTAGGCATTTGCTCATGGCAAACGGAAAGTGCCACTTTAGTGAACCAAAGACACTTTTCTTAGGGCTGGACTTTTCTTAGCTGAGTTTTTCTCGTTCCTGCCTTAAACTTGGAGTCTTGCATCTCTCTGGCAGAGGGTCGAATCTCTCTGCCTTAACTCACTGCTGTTCTTCTACCAAAACAAACATGTAACCTTTCTTTGATTATCGAGATTTCTTGCCTGGCAATGTTAGTCTAGATTTTCTGGATTAATCTATCACACTGTGTAAAACAATTCCTCATGTATCTGGGAGTAGGCAGCACAGAATTTTAACATAATTAATGCCTAATTGACCTCTCCAAATGCACCATATAATGGAATGCAGTGTTATTTTACAGAGGGAAAAGATAACCAACAAAGCTTTGATACCACCCTTCCAATAGTAATTCATGCGAAAACACCCAGTATTGGTAAATATATTGGTTTACAAGCATTTTTACTTTGTCACAGTCTCTCCTGTATACTATTCCAACAAGGAATGTATCACAGAGACCAGCTGAGGTCCCATTACTCCATTATATGCTGCAGGATGTCACTGGTCCACTTACATGATTTTACATTAGATACATTAGTGACTATCCAATGCAGATGAGTAATTTACAAATTATAAGACAATCCTTCTTGCATACACCTTGGGGATAATGGACAAAATGATTTGCAAATTGAATTATTTCCTATTTCAATGACAACAACAACTTGCATTTATATAGCGCCCCTCACGCAGGGTAGCGTCCCACCCTGCAACATTTCAGTATATGTTGCTAAAGCAAACATGCTTAACATTTGATAAGGATCTTGTCTTTCAGCCTCAGACATACCAGTACCTCAGTGATCCTAAACAATTTATTTAATCTGATTTGGGTTTGCACAGAAGCAGCCTGTTGTATGTGGCAATAAAAGTGGGTCTTTTTTAAAAAAATCTTAGAAACATTAATACTTCCTCAAATCTTCCTGTAAACACCAGCATAAACCTAAATATAGGATTGAAAGGAATTTCTCTATAACAAAACTTGCAATAAGAGTACAACCCACACATTTTAGCTTAAACCCAGATAGATACATCATAAGAATACCAATCTGGGAGTGGAATGCAGGCTGGAACCTAGTCCAAGGGGGAGGGTGTATATATGTTTTACTGAATATAGAATAATGGATACCAGGTAGTGATTTACATGCTTGAATCTAATTGAGGGATTCGGCTGATTTATAGAATGAAGCATAATAAAACTGGTGCACAATTTCTGTCATTAAAATACTGGGCTTACTGCTGAGGGTATTAAACAGCTACAATTGTAAACTTAACCGTTTGCCACCACAGTGAGCCATTAGCAACCTCCCACTGAAGTCTGGTCCTTGGAGTCTGGATTTGTGTCTAAATTCCATACTTGTTTGCGGAATTTCCAATTCGACAGCAAAAGGGCTGTTACCAGAAAGGGCCTCTCATAAAGTAACCAAAAAATCCTAGCGTCCACTGTGCTCATAAACTTCTAGACAGGATTACAAGAAACTCTATATCATTATAAAAAATGATTTTGTTTTAGCTTTTGTCATATTAACCAAACATTTGCTGCTTGGTGTTTGAATATAAAATCAATCCCACACTCCCTGGACTGGGGTCAATATGCACTACTCATCATGTTTTGTTTGAGTCCTTTGTAATTCCTACAGTCTCCGTGAGATATTGGATTAAATCCTCAATCGTCTGTGAGCATAAGTTTTTTTATGATCTACCAGCAAGAAACTTTACATTTCTAGCCCCTTGTCTGATCAAGCCTTTAAATATCAGAAGAAAATGAAGACATGTTAACAGTTTTAGTCTTGTTGGTATCGGACACTTTTACATGGGTAACAAGCATGTTTGCTGTTCCTGTTCTTTTCTGGAGGTAGAATGAGTACAGCATAGAATTTGACTAACCTTGACAGAAAATGGAGAGTTAAGGGTACAACACACCTGCAGTTTTTTATATTAAATAAAATTGGCTCATTGCATTGCTGCCCAGTTTTGAAATGGTGTGTTTACTGAGAAACTTATCTCTGGGATCGGCTATGTTCCTGTAAGCAAAAAAGAGCAGTTTAATCTTCTTCCTTGCATGAGTTTCAGCCCTCTTCGTGATTAGAGAGCCGTCATTCTCCCTCTCATGGCCAGTTTCAGAAGAAACTTGCAAAGGTTGGAGTGTCTAGAAAGATGGTTTTCAGTGGGAAGATTCACCCTGAATTATAATAAGATATACCCAAACTAAATGTACTAAATGTCCTTTTCATGAGTTTTGCAGATAGGTTTGCAGTAACTGTGATTTATAGGTGTAACTCAGTCACCTTGTGTGTGGTGTGGAGAGAGGAGAGAAGGCTATCTCATCCTGCCTCTCATTCAGTCTAGACCAGATATCACCGAGAACCCCTACCTCCTCACCTCCTTATACTCGTTGAGTTGTTGTTGGATTTCTAATGACAGCATGTTAATGTGTAGTGACAAGTTTGACATATGAGTTGTTCTCCTGTTCATTAACTTGACTTTAGCATTAAAGTGTAAATATGGGACTTGCTCACCTGCTTCCGAGCAGTTGCAGATAACCATCTCAACACTAGGCTCCAACGGGAGTCTGTTGATGTTTCAGTGACAGCTGTTGCTGAGTGAGGCGGATGCACATTAAGACACTGATGTTTTGAATCAGAATATGGAGAAGAATTGAGCTATAAAATATGTTCTAAATTACTCAAGAATTCAGTCCTGATACAGGACAACCTCTTCTAATGCAGTTATCTGGGTCCAATATCAGAGGCTGCATTATTGGCGAGGCATGAGAAAATGGCCACCTTTTGGGTCATCAGGTCGTGGCTGACATTACTCCACATGCAGTGTGGACACGAAGCTACTGACATCACTTTCTTTGTGAAGTAACTGCAACAACAACAACACCGTACATGTATAGCAGCCCCTCACGCAGGCTTGCGCCCCAGAGCGCTTGACAGAGGTAGAGCACGACGCCAAACCGGGGCTGTAGGTGACAAAAGTGACAATACATAGAAATAATGCATTCAGTCCAACTGGTCCATGCCAGTGTTTATACTCCACACAAGCCTCCACAACTCCTATTCCCCTTACCTTCTTATGTTCTCTGCCTTATGTATGCATCAAGTCTTCTCTTAAATATAATGATGCTTTTTGCTTCAACCACAGTTTCTGAAAGTGAGTTCCACATTCTCACCACCCTCATGTGTGAAGAAGTTTCCCAAACACCCTAATAGATTACTACTAGCCTGCAGCTCAGTGGTTAGAGCATTCGCTTTACAAGCGAGAGACCTGAGTTCAATTCCAGGCAGGTCAGGGCGAAACCTTGGGCAAGTTTCCTTATTCCACACGCCTAATAATAATCCCTCCAAAACCAAAAACAATAATAAATTGGTCATTTTCAATCTACGACTGTTTGTGGGACATTGCTGTGCGCCATTGGCTGCCACGTTTGCCCACAAATATACAGTCAATTCACTTTACAGTATATTCTGTGAAGCGCTTTGGGACGTCCTCCCGACGTGAAAAGCGCTATATCAAATGCAAGGATTATTAATATTATTATTATATATGCCCTATTGTTTTGGACGCTCTTAATTTCACTCAAAACCAACAATTAGCAAGGAGTCATTAAAGGTGGGTGTGTTCTGATTTCATTGTTCAAGTGACTGATATCACTTGCCCCCCACCCCCACCCCCTCAACACTTAAACTTTGTTCCTAGATTTTCAGATCATCCAAACTATCTATTTCAATTCATAGTCTGCAGTTCACCACTGGATACACAGAGCAAATGTTGGCAAAATTTTAACAAAATAAAAACACCATTAAATGGCAATTTTGTTTTGCTTTTTGCTTGAGGAAATAATGGATAGCAGAATAAGATTGATTTGAGGGATTCTTGTTCTTATATGAACAGCTGTGTTTGTATTGTATGTGTTTGCAATGAGGGTGGTGTAGCACTAGTCCCCTGTCCAGCAATTGATTGATTTTAACATGTTCGTCATCACTTTCAATTCTCTCCATGGTCGTGCTCCATTCTGTCTATGCAACCTTCTCAAGTCCTGCACGCCGGCAACACTCCCTGCTCTTCCCACTCTGATATACTATCTCCTCATCGTCTCATAGTCACCTCTACATTCCTCCCACTTCTTGCTCAGTGGTCATCGCTCCCATTGTTAAGTGTTTAAGATGTTCGACGCAAACAGTGTTATGCAAATTCGTGTTGCTGACATGAGTTTGTTTTTTCAGGTTTGTCCTCCTGGCATGTGATGGTTTATTTAAAGTGTTCTCCCCAGACGAGGCTGCCCTCTTCGTGTCAGCAATACTTGAGGTGCGATTTTCTCCTGTTATCACCTGCTTCTGCATTAGTGCATTTCAAAAAGTATCTGAGCATTTTAAATTCTTGGAGCTGATGGAATATTTGTGCCCACATGGTATGACATGGGCGTGGAGACAGAGAGATTGCAGGTTTGCAACTGTGATAACCCCTATATCAATTCTCAATCTCCACAATTCTCCTCCCCACCTATTCTTCCCTCATTGGATTTCTGCCAAGTAGAACTAAGAACTTACCCTCAGAAAAGGCAGCATTCATTCTGAGGCAACTCTTGACGCATTTTCCAGAATAAGCTTAGCAGAGCAGGGACCAAATTGCACCAGCCCAGATACGTACACCAGAACTTGGTAGTTTTGCAAAAGGTGATCCACTACATGAGAGTGAGCTGCCTATTTCACAAGCCCAAAGCTGGTATGAGTGTATATAAGACGGCTTCCTCCCGCACATAAAAGGGTGAATGAGAAAGCTGTATAGATATCAGTGAGTAACCTGTGTTGTGTCTTTTAATTTCTACTGCACGTCTGTTAAGGGAGCACACATTAATGTTGAGCTGTAATGCTCTATTGCTGGCTTCATTTAGGAAATATATAGTTCACTTGAGTGTTTTGCTGGATCACCCATCTACCACTCCCCAAAAAATCATTCAACAAAATGATCCATCCTAAATACTTTGCTGATTATATTAGGCTCGTCTATGCGTCTGCTACTATGATCTGTCTGGGCTATAAATAATAACTTCAGTAGCTTATCCTTTTGTTGACCTGCAGGATGAGACGATGATGCCGAGGCCAGGGAAGACCCTACAGGACGTGCGGTTTGAATTAGCCTGCAGTAAACTAGCCAGCGAGGCCGTCCGCCGGGGCTCTGCAGACAATGTCACCATCATTCTAGTTGCCATCTTGCACTTACGGTGAGGGGCTGGACTGGGAACATAGCATTTCCAAGAGCAGTTTCAATGAAAGCAGGAGTCCTGATGGATTGCAGGCCTGTGGATGAAAAGATAAAACAAATACAGAATCTTTACAGAAACTTAAACGAAGGATTGAAAAAAAATCCTTTGGACTCGGAAGAACAGAAAATGTGGTAGCTGTTCCTGAGAGACCAGTATCAATATGGAGCAATCTGGTCTGTTAAGATCCAATAGATTTTTATTCCCCCCCCCACCCCCCCTACTTCCATTCCTGTGCTGCATGTATGAATTTGGTAAAGATGTGTACCTACAATGAGCTTATCGCTTACCTGAATCACACTGGTTTGAAGGAGTTGTACTGGGTTAGATTCTGGTTAAATTAGGCTCCTTCTGCAAATAACTTGACTGTTTCAACTCACCCTTGTTTCCTCTCAGCACCTCCAACAATGTCAGTGTCTGACCAGTGCCTCATTTTTTCGTAATGTATATGAGCACAGGATTTTTGCTCCAGTCAATTTCTCAGGGAGAAGCTATTCCGAGATCACGAGAGCGAATGAACTCTTCTGGAAGAGCCTCACGCCTTTTAGCCAAGGTCAAGTGAACTGCTCCAGCTTGATTTTTAGCCTGCCCAGAAATGGATCCCTTTTTGAGCTTGGTGAGAAAGGTTACACTGGATTAAAAGATGTCCTGGACAGAAACTAAATGGAAGTTTTGACTCGCAAAACAGAGCTTTGATTGCCACTGGTTTTTATTTGCTTAGTTGCAGTCCACACGATGTTAAAAAAAAATGACATTACATCACCCACAAACAAATTACCACAAACTACTGCCTCAGATACTGTGCAACATGATGTCAGGTCCTCAATCACCAATGCACCTCTCCTGCACTGAAACCAAGTCCTCTCCTATGGAGGGTAGCGTCACCTACCCCCTCACACGCACATACACACACACACACAACACAACTCCTCACTCTGTTTATACAATTATGTGTATATGAGCTAACACTGAGGCAATTCCAAGTCGTACAGTAGCGGCTGTGTATGAATTGTCTGCTTTCACTCGATGTGTAATGTACCAGCCAGAGGCACTGCAATGGTCTTTTCCGGCCCTTTGCATACCTATGTTCCTCCCACCAATCTTTTTTTACAGCTAGCTGAATTAGACCTACTGTTTCTAAAACCGAGTACCACACCCCCACCCCCACGAAGCCTCCAGTCAGTACCCACCGTCCCCTGTCTTGCCACTGAGAGATGTGTGACTGACTTCTCAGAAATAACCTGGATGCCTAGACATTGTAAATGGATCCTTTCACCCAGCCCACATTATATTAAAAAAATCTAGACATGGTTGCACACTGCAGGCTCAAGGAAATCGTTGATTTAGTCACTGACATTGCAGTTACACTTGAAAGTACGCATTGTGTGTAAGAATGTGGGATTAAAGAGGTTATCTGTGGGTCATCAAGTATGTTACCATGCAATCGACACCTTTCCAGCACTTCAGTGCTCAACTGATCTTCTCAGCTTCAGGTACTAGAGCCCTTGCCGCTGTGCAGTCCTCCCTATTTTCACTTACAGTTTTTAAAATTGTAAGGCTTTTCCAACACAGATTCACTTTGTTGCCCTGTTCCTGTCATTTCAAAGTAACTACATAAGCACGGACATGGAATAGGTACTCACTCACCTGGGAGGTTTCCATTAGTTCTCATCTTTTAACAATTTATCACATTTCATACAGTAAAACTCACATAGGTCTGATCTGTATAAATCAACTAAGTCGTACATCTGCCCAAGGCCTGTTCAAGAGTTTATATTCTATGCAAGTTTGACGTAACTCATGCTTTGCATAAGTCATATTAAATATATGGTCTCAATTGATATGACTTATGTGGAGTTTATTGTTTTCAAGCAAACAGTGTGGGAAAAACATGGAAACCATGGAATCTCGAAGCAAGTAACACATTAGACAAATATCTCATTCATTCTCAGGAAAGGCTGCACCAATTTGATTCTTTGATTCCTGTAAACTGGGGGGTGTGGGAGAGAGAAGAGGTACAAACCGTTGTAAGCTTGAAATGATTTTTTTTCACTACACGTTCACAAGTCTCAAGTGTGGGAGATTTGCCAAAGAGGTACAGAATTGCTGGAGTGAATCCTGCATTGTGTTTAAGGAAACCTCTAGGGGCCGTGATGGCAAAGCATTGTGAAACAGTTCTGCACTTGTGTAATTGTTCATCCGAAGCCCTCAGCACTGTATACTACCTTCTTGCCCCCCCCAACCACCCCAATGAGGGACACGTGGCCAACAGTGTGATGTGATAAATAACGACCCACCAATCTGACAAGTGGAGGTATACATAGATATTTCCGATGTGAGTGTAGCACATCAGAGGATACCAGATGAGTTGCACTGATGTGTATAGACTTATGTTCAACTCCTAATAATGATGACTTCTAAGTGATGAAGTTGCATAGATCATCCTTAATGGTGAAATCCAGGCTGTTTTGTTTTATTTTCCATGAATTTCAGGTAAAAACGCCCTCCATCTTTTATAAAATTGGGGAAACCATTGGATGAGCTGAGGGTGGACGTGAGTGTATGCTGAAAGAATATTAATTGAAACGGGGGGATATACAGTCAGGAACATGGGTCATCATTTTTGGCATGAAAGACTGACCAGGTAAAATACATATAGACAATAACTGACTAGATCACTTCAATGCTGTGTGCTCACACAAGCTTGCAAAGCCCAACCATTTCTGAAGGGTACTTTAACTTTCTGATTTGTTATTCTTTCTTGATACTTCTTGTGATTCTACTCAGCCATTGTAAACCTTGGTAAAAACAAAACCTCTAATTTTAAAGAGTATTTTTGAAATAAAATCTTCCCTTAAAAAGGTTAAGACCGAACCCTTGTCCAAGTGAGCAATCTTGACAAATAATGCAGTACTTTTCTATGTAATTACTGCTGGATTGTTAGCTGGGTGCAGTGGGAGGAGGTGAAAGGAAGCCCCTTCATTCAACTACAGACATAGTACAGTTATATGGTCAGCAGTTTTTGGAAAAGTTATTTTTTCTTAATTGTGATACTACTATGTCAAAACAGAATGTCCTTACAGATGACATTTGGAAAGCACATCCCATCAGAAGACGCCAGTCTGGTGCGACCGTGATTGTCTGGCTGTTCTTTGGGAGTTCTGTTGAGAGCTGTTGATGTGATATTTTTGGATGGCAGTGTTTTCAGCAGCTTTATGGTGATGTAAAAGTGCTGCTTCTGGTTCATCTGTAATTTTCATTTTTTTCACAAGAGTACAAAGAGAGGCCTTTGTACGTAAGTGCTGCAGAAAGCATGCTGAAGAAGTGATGTAGATTTATCATTTTTATGTAAAAGTCTACTTATTGCATTCCCCCATTCGTCAAGTACTCTCAGTACCCTTGTGAAAATGATGACATTTATAGATGGCATTTGTAGATTACTTCCAATTTGCCGTAATGTCTGAGTTCCTTGAGTTTAAAACCACTTCTTATGCCACTGCCACAAAATTCTTATGCAACGTATGGTCCACAGCCAGCTGTACCCTTATTTTTTATTAAGGACATTTTGTCTTTCATTTTTTATTTCACTTGTATCATGGGTTTTATAAAATCTGTTTTGCTCCATGTATCCCCCTCAATTCTAAAGGGTGGAAGAGAATATAAATGAGGTTCAATTTTATTTTTAAAGTTTTTTCAGCGGGGTGTGGGGTGCGTGCAGGTTGTGAAATAAGTTTTTCTGATTTTTTTTACACTATCCCTGGACATTGTGTGAAAGAAGCTTGGGGTAGTCTTAAACCAATTGTTCGTCGGTCCAAACAGCACAAATTGTCATTTGATTTACACCTCATGCAGGAAGACTACAAACATACGTAAGGTATGACTAAACTATTTTAGAACATCTTCAAAAAAGAAAACTCATAGTGATTGTTTTGTTTCTAATGGAATGACTGGGCATTGGGAGCCAAGGCTGGAGATCCATCCTTGCAGATGGTACAATCCATTTTCCTTGGTGCATAGTGTTTTTTTTAAAATTGAGATCAATTGGTATTCGACAGCTGTAAGTAACAATGAAGCTGGTCTGAATGGCCTAATGCTACGCCAGGTTAAGAAACTGCTTAGTGCAGCATTGGGTCATTACAGACGAGAAAGTTGCAAATGAGAACCAGTGTTAATTTAGCTGATTTCATTTGGGCAGCTGAAATCCGTCTCAGTGTCCCTGTGTCAGAGGGGAAAATCAACCACAGTTCCAAAAGCCTCCTACTGGTAGGTGCTTGTGGATGTCAAGTGAGGATGGAATCGTGCTTGGCTTTATTGCCTTCCTCAGTTGAATACCCTGCCATTACTCACTGTCAAGGCTCAACATGAATATGGTAATAGATATACAATTGAAGGGAGCCAGGTGTCTGAGAAACCATGTCCCACTGGATGAAAAAATAAGTTAATGTGGTTTTAGGAGGAAAGAAAATTAGAGGGTCAAAAAAAACCAACATGCACATTCAAAGTAAAAAATAGCTAGGTTATTAAGTCACAGCAAAATATAATGTGCTAAAAAATAATTTAAAATCTTACGTTTGTATCACGGGTTTTATAAAATCTGTTTTGCTCCATGTATCCCCCTCAATTCTAAAGGGTGGAAGAGAATGTAAATGAGGTTCAATTTTATTTTTAAAGTTTTTTCAGCGGGGTGTGGGGTGCGTGCCACAAAGAAAGAAGTCCAACAGAGAAGCATCTTCTGAGATGAAGACTGCATCAACAAGAGATATGTATTACAGCCAGCTGTTGTTTATGGACAGTTCTGTATGTATGTAAGGATGTGTCAGACTCCACTCCTGGCTCTTAATTCCATTAGTGGAGACCTGTAACTCAGTGGTTAGAGCACTCGCCTTGCAAGCAAGAGTCCTGGGTTCTATTCCTGGCAGGGCGAAATGTTGGGCAAGTTTCCTTACTCCACGCGCCTCTGTTTACCTACCTAGCAGTAAGTAGGAACCCGGTTGTTATTGATTGTCAGATCGCTTTTCCAGGGATAATAATCCTTTTTAAAAAAAATAATTTGGTCACTCAATCCGCGACTGTTTGTGGGACACTGCTGTGAACAATTGGCTGCCACGTTTCGACCACAAATATATAGTCAATTCACTTTACAGTATATTCTGTGAAGTGCTTTGAATGTCTAGAAGACATGAAAAGCACTATATCAAATGCAAGCATTATTATTAATATTATTAGGGGCAAAAAAGTTCCAGAATTTTCTTTCTTGAAGATGTTCTAAAATAGTTCTTAGACATATCAATGTGCTATGCCATCCTCTGAATGTAATCATATTCTTCAGATCTCGATTCAGAATAAAATTCTATATATTCTGCCAGCTAGCTTTGAAGTCTTGCTTCTTATTTAAAACATCTATTCTTAATACAATTTATCAAATATTCTTCTCTTTGATTGTTAGCTCTTTAATTTTATGCGTTTTCTGCTCTTGTGCCTCGATCTAGTAATTGATTGCATGGTTCTTTCACCCACTTTTCTTGTGCATCGATGAGTATTTACCTTTATGATTTTATCTGGTTTCTTGTAGTTAAAACCACTTTGCTCTCAGTCTCATGAGATTTAGTTCTTCCATCGTCAGTGGTTTCTTCATCAAGAACCAAGGAGAGGGGATAATGAGATACAAAAATGGACAAGAATCAGAAGTGGAGTGAAAGTAAACTGATTTACTGCCCAATCTTTCCAACATTTCCTCTGCATTCATTATCATGACTTAGACGTTGGACATCATAGTATCACAGAGCACAGAAGGAAGCCATTCGGCCCATTATGTCTGCGCCAGCTATTTGAAAGAGATATCAAACTGGTTCTGTTCCTCTGATTTACCCCATAGCCCTGCAATTTTTTCCTTTTCAAGTACCTATCCAATTTCTTTTGGAAAGCAACTATCAAATCTACACCCGCCACCCTTTCAAAAATGGAAAACTGTTGAGCAATCTAAGGTATAGTATTGCTACACTACCAATTGCTGATCTGAACAAGAAATTATTAAACAAAGAAATCCAGGTCAGTTTGGAATAAATAAATAAGAAATAAACAAAAAATGTTAAAAGACAAAGCCAGTGGCAATTATAAAGAAAGGGGACCTCCCAAATATTCATCTTCATGTGAATAATGCAGAAATAAAGCAAGTAAATAAAATCTTTACATTGGCAACCAGGTGGGTGAAGCAATGAAGACATTTACATAGAGAATTGCAGTTGCAAAAGAGACACATAATACCATGTTGTTCTGTGTAGTGAATCTGGTGATACAACCAGAATGCTTTAGT